ATTTTCGTTCAACAGCAGACGTTCTGCAATTTCTCGCAGCCTTTTGCGTTTGGTAATTTTCACACAAGGATAAAAAAACTTGAACAATTAACAAATCGGAATGTGTCATTTGAGGGTGACACCATACAAGTTTTTTTTTTAGAAAATTCGCTATTCAGAGGAATTTCCATTAGACGAAAGGTTTATGGTAGATGGGCGGAATCTCATTGCGTCAAAAAATTTTCAAACCTTTTCCCGAAATCGTCATGAAACCCTCATTATCAAGCCTACTCTATCTCAGGGAATTTTCGTTTCCATCTTTCCCGCCTCCAATCACTTTACCGTATTCCGGTCAAAACTGACACATTAATATTAATCAAAAGTTCTATATGAAAATGGAAATCATATATTATTTGTACAATACAAAACTCGTAAATAAAATGACATTACTTCACTCGGAAATTAAAGTACTCGGCCCTAAAGGGGCCTCGAACTTCAATATTTCCTCGCCATCATTGTCATTTTCATGACTCTTATGTAAATAACTATGTATTGCCAACATTAAAAAAATGAAAGGCCCTAGAGCGTATTTAATACTTATTACACTAAAGAAAAGTAATAAAGCCGTCCTACTCGCACGAATGGCTAAAAATTTTTAATCAATCTTCAAGCGTCCTTTGTTAATCTCTCGCGAAGTTCTAAGATAACACAAAAATTAAATGTTCTTTTCCTTACCCCTATCAAAAAATTCGGACACTTGGCTGGGGGTATTCCATACCCCCCAGGCCCCTCGGTTGTATATTCTTCCCCAAAACGTATAGTGTAACACCAGGAGTCTCTGGAGTAAGGAATTCTCGTCAGAAAAGCAAAATTCGACGTCCATTTACGAAAAACACCACGAGCGTCTTTTGGGCTGTACGTTTGGAGGGAAAACGTAGCACCGGGGGGTCTGGGGGGTATGGAATACCCCCCAGGAACAAAGGATAGAGTCAATGTTCTTTTCCTTACCCCTATCAAAATATTCGGATGTTTGGCTGGGGGGTATTCCATACCCCCCAGACCCCCCGGTTGTACATTCTTCCCCAAAACGTATAGTGTAACACCATGAGTCTCTGGAGTAGGGAATCCTCGTCAGAAAAGCAAAATTCGACGTCCATTTCAGAAAAACCCCACGAGCGTCTTTTGGGCTGTACGTTTGGAGGGAAAACGTAGCGCCGGGGGGTCTGGGGGGTATGGAATACCCCCAGGAACAAAGGATAGAGTCAATGTTCTTTTCCTTACCCCTATCAAAATATTCGGATGTTTGGCTGGGGGGGATTCCATACCCCCCAGACCCCCCGGTTGTATATTCTTCCCCAAAACGTATAGTGTAACACCATGAGTCTCTGGAGTAGGGAATCCTCGTCAGAAAAGCAAAATTCGACGTCCATTTCAGAAAAACCCCACGAGCGTCTTTTGGGCTGTACGTTTGGAGGGAAACGTAGCACCGGGGGGTCTGGGGGGTATGGAATACCCCCCAGGAACAAAGGATAGAGTCAATGTTCTTTTCCTTACCCCTATCAAAATGTTCGGATGTTTGGCTGGGGGGTATTCCATACCCCCCAGACCCCCCGGTTGTACATTCTTCCCCAAAACGTATAGTGTAACACCAGGAGTCTCTGGAGTAGGGAATCCTCGTCAGAAAAGCAAAATTCGACGTCCATTTAAGAAAAACCCCACGAGCGTCTTTTGGGCTGTACGTTTGGAGGGAAAACGTAGCACCGGGGGGTCTGGGGGGTATGGAATACCCCCCAGGAACAAAGGATAGAGTCAATGTTCTTTTCCTTACCCCTATCAAAATATTCGGATGTTTGGCTGGGGGGGATTCCATACCCCCCAGACCCACCGGTTGTATATTCTTCCCCAAAACGTATAGTGTAACACCATGAGTCTCTGGAGTAGGGAATCCTCGTCAGAAAAGCAAAATTCGACGTCCATTTACGAAAAACACCACGAGCGTCTTTTGGGCTGTACGTTTGGAGGGAAAACGTAGCACCGGGGGGTCTGGGGGGTATGGAATACCCCCCAGGAACAAAGGATAGAGTCAATGTTCTTTTCCTTACCCCTATCAAAATATTCGGATGTTTGGCTTTGGCTGGGGGGTATTCCATACCCCCCAGTTGTATATTCTTCCCCAAAACGTATAGTGTAACACCAGGAGTCTCTGGAGTAGGGAATCCTCGTCAGAAAAACAAAATTCGACGTTCATTTAAGAAAAACACCACGAGCGTCTTTTGGGCTGTACGTTTGGAGGGAAAACGTAGCACCGGGGGGTCTGGGGGGTATGGAATACCCCCCAGGAACAAAGGATAGAGTCAATGTTCTTTTCCTTACCCCTATCAAAATATTCGGATGTTTGGCTGGGGGGGATTCCATACCCCCCAGACCCACCGGTTGTATATTCTTCCCCAAAACGTATAGTGTAACACCATGAGTCTCTGGAGTAGGGAATCCTCGTCAGAAAAGCAAAATTCGACGTCCATTTACGAAAAACACCACGAGCGTCTTTTGGGCTGTACGTTTGGAGGGAAACGTAGCACCGGGGGGTCTGGGGGGTATGGAATACCCCCCAGGAACAAAGGATAGAGTCAATGTTCTTTTCCTTACCCCTATCAAAATATTCGGATGTTTGGCTGGGGGGTATTCCATACCCCCCAGACCCCCCGATTGTATATTCTTCCCCAAAACGTATAGTGTAACACCAGGAGTCTCTGGAGTAGGGAATCCTCGTCAGAAAAGCAAAATTCGACGTCCATTTGAAAAACCCCACGAGCGTCTTTTGGGCTGTACGTTTGGAGGGAAAACGTAGCACCGGGGGGTCTGGGGGGTATGGAATACCCCCCAGGAACAAAGGATAGAGTCAATGTTCTTTTCCTTACCCCTATCAAAATATTCGGATGTTTGGCTGGGGGGTATTCCATACCCCCCAGACCCCCCGATTGTATATTCTTCCCCAAAACGTATAGTGTAACACCAGGAGTCTCTGGAGTAGGGAATCCTCGTCAGAAAAGCAAAATTCGACGTCCATTTACGAAAAACACCACGAGCGTCTTTTGGGCTGTACGTTTGGAGGGGAAACGTAGCACCGGGGGGTCTGGGGGGTATGGAATACCCCCCAGGAACAAAGGATAGAGTCAATGTTCTTTTCCTTACCCCTATCAAAATATTCGGATGTTTGGCTTTGGCTGGGGGGTATTCCATACCCCCCAGTTGTATATTCTTCCCCAAAACGTATAGTGTAACACCAGGAGTCTCTGGAGTAGGGAATCCTCGTCAGAAAAGCAAAATTCGACGTCCATTTCAGAAAAACCCCACGAGCGTCTTTTGGGCTGTACGTTTGGAGGGAAAACGTAGCACCGGGGGGTCTGGGGGGTATGGAATCCCCCCAGGAACAAAGGATAGAGTCAATGTTCTTTTCCTTACCCCTATCAAAATATTCGGATGTTTGGCTGGGGGGTATTCCATACCCCCCAGACCCCCCGGTTGTATATTCTTCCCCAAAACGTATAGTGTAACACCAGGAGTCTCTGGAGTAGGGAATCCTCGTCAGAAAAATAAAATTCGACGTTCATTTAAGAAAAACACCACGAGCGTCTTTTGGGCTGTAGATTTGGAGGGAAAACGTAGCACCGGGGGGTCTGGGGGGTATGGAATACCCCCCAGGAACAAAGGATAGAGTCAATGTTCTTTTCCTTACACCTATCAAAATATTCGGAAGTTTGGCTTTGGCTGGGGGGTATTCCATACCCCCCAGTTGTATATTCTTCCCCAAAACGTATAGTGTAACACCAGGAGTCTCTGGAGAAGGGAATCCTCGTCAGAAAAGCAAAATTCGACGTCAATTTATCAAAACCACCAGGAGAGGGGCTATACGTTTTGATGGAAGACGGAGCCACAGTATATCGTATACTGTGACGGAGCACTGGGGGGTATGGGATACCCCCCAGGAGAGAAAGAAATGTTTTTTCCCTACATCTATCAAAATCGTACGTTGGCTGGTATACTATCACGAAAGTCTTTATGATTGAGAGATGCATCGGAGGTCTTGGGGGGTTTTCACATCTTATGATAGTTATAGAGGACGCCATAGTGAATTTTCCATTTCCCGAGACCTCCCGGTTTAAATTCTGATACTCGTCAGGAAAGCAGTAGTTGCGAGGATAATCAAGACTGATGAAACGTTGGAGTTCCCGGAAAGACTGCAGGAGTTTGAATACGACGAAAGGACCAGGCGGACTGGTTCATTCGCTCTTCCCAAATTGTGTTTGTGACATGTCGGCCAAAGTAATCCGGTAACGCAAAAGATATGCCTGACCTATTATTAAGCAACATCCCTGGGTTAAACGAGACAAAGCCGAGAACATCGGCGACATACTGAACGATCCAGCAGCTTTGGGAGTGGAGAAGAAAGGTGGTAGCACGAGAGTTTGAGTGGATCGTAGACTACCGAACAACGTAACAAAAAGGGATGTTTATCCCTTCCCTTAAATAAGTGACATTCTGGATACGCTTACCAGTGCTAAGTGGTTTTCCACCTGAACTTATTACCAAGTTAGTTTGGATCCTAAACATCGCGAGAAGACAGCCTAAAGGCATAGGGTCGGGTTTATGGGAATTTACGGTCATGCCATTTGGGCTGTGCAACGCTCCCTCAACGTTCCAGAGTAATGGAACTGGCGTACTTTGTGCATTAAGACGACGTAATTGTGTAAATGTATAAAGAACACCTCAAGAACGTCGAAGACGTCTTTATTCCGTTATTAAGATTACCCAGCAATGATGCTTCCACCTTTGCCCCTTCCGTGTTTTACTTCCAGTCGTTATGATTTAGTTGTTTCCCACAAGAGGACAACGTCATGACTTGCGATAGACGTAAAAAAATGTGTAATGTCGGTACTAAATACGTCATTTGATGAAACATGAGCCTATTTTTAGTCCCTGATCTTGTAAACAAGCGCACGGTTTTAGTTTTCCCACAATTGATATCCGTTTTCCCATGTAAAATGCGAGCGAATTTTGAGAATCCTGTCTCATATATATCTAGACACTTCTGGTTTGGGTAAGTTGATGTCTTAAACCCGTAAACGAGAGAGGGAAATCATCTGCGGCGTTTCCCGCTATTTCCCATACGTTTCGGTTTCGGTAACTTCCACACTGGCACGTGCGGAAGCGGTCGATAAAGCACTCGCGAAAAACGACGATAATCGTTCATTGAAATTCCCAAAACAAAGTTAAAAGGTCACGGCCTAAACTCAACGACGATTAATTATTAATTAGATACGCCCACCGATACAAACAAAAGTGTTCCCTCGATTTAAATTGCGAAATCGAACCGAAACTGATTAGAATGAAACGTTTGCGGCCAGGTACGACGTCCGAATGCGAAAGTGGGAGTGGTGGACGAAGGGATTTCCCTGAACCAGCTGGATCCTACTCTTCGAGCGCGCTTTCGTAATTCCCTGCCTGAATTCGAATTCGGACCGAGACAGTGATCGAACGGGTTTCGCGTCTGTTGTCGAGAGTGATATGAATTTTTTAAATAGACATTACCTCCTGCAGATATCGACGTACCTAATTCTATTCGCTCTGGTGCGCTACGCCAAATGCCAGCTCCAGAGTCCGTGTCCGAACGTTTTCGAGTATCGTTACGGCCCCAACAGGAATCTGTACGGATACATCGACGTGCCGGTTCCAAGTGACGATAGTAACGTTATACGTTTGGATGTGCAATTATCTGTTGGGAATCGAGTTGAGGTGAGTAATTACTATCATTGTGCATGTGTTTTGGAGAAAGTGCGCTAGGAGGTCTTGTGGTAGCTCTAAGGCGTATGACTAAAATTACTTTCAAAACAATTAATGAAGTGTTCGAATTTAATGAAAAAAGCCAGTTACACTTATTTTGATCCATGACCCGACGTAGCACACTCGAAATCCTTAAAAGAAGGTCACCACAATTAAATTAAAACGGGGGTAGGCTCAGATACTTAAAAAATAATTACACCCCAAAACGTTCAGTGATTTTGGAAAGGGACCATCGCACGTAACACCAGGACACTGTGCAGTAGGAAAATCCTCTTTAGCACTTTCGCAATAATGTTTGGGAAAGGGCCATCAAACATTAGACCAGAACCCCAGGAGTCTGTGGTGTTTGGAACCTTCGTCAGGACAGATTCGATGTCCTTTATATTACTCTTTCTTGCGCCTTGTGTGGAATACTCCCAGACCCTCCGATTCAACATTTTTCCCCAAGTCCCCAGTATATGAAGACCTTATCATCTTTCCTGTGTGTTTACCTCGGGGGTATTAAACGTCCCCCAAACCCTCCGTTCTATACTTTTCCCCAAGATTTGTCACTGTAAACAGTGAATATTTTTTGTATGTTCAGGTGGGGGTATCCCATACCTCTCGGTTCTACATTTTCCCCCAAGACTTTTCTCTGTAAACAGCGAATCTATCGTGTGTGTTTACCTGCAAGAATTTTCTTACTGATGGTTCGTGTACTAGGAGCAGAAACACCTCCTCGCACATTATATGCTCCTGATACAACATTTGTACGTGATTGGAAAAGATCTCAACCTTCATGTTCTCCTGGTAGCCGGGGGTATTTCTTAGACCCCCGGATCGACATTTTCCACCAAGGCTTCTCTCTGTAAACAGCGAATCTATCGTATGTGTTTACCTGCAAGAATTTTCTTACTGATGGTTCGTGTACGAGGAGCAGAAACACCTCCTCGCACATTTTATGCTCCTGATACAACATTTGTACGTGATTGGAAAAGATCTCAACCTTCATGTTCTCCTGGTAACCTGGGGGTATTTCTTAGACCCCCGGATCGACATTTTCCACCAAGGCTTCTCTCTGTAAACAGCGAATCTATCGTGTGTGTTTACCTGCAAGAATTTTCTTACTGATGGTTCGTGTACTAGGAGCAGAAACACCTCCTCCCACATTATATGCTCCTGATACAAAATTTGTACGTGATTGGAAAAGATCTCAACCTTCATGTTCTCCTGGTAACCTGAAGGTACTTCTTAGACCTCCGGTTCGACATTTTTCACCAAGGCTTCTCCCTGTAAACAGCGAATCTATCGTATGTGTTTACCTGCAAGAATTTTCTTACTGATGGTTCGTGTACGAGGAGCAGAAACACCTCCTCGCACATTTTATGCTCCTGATACAAAATTTGTACGTGATTGGAAAAGATCTCAACCTTCATGTTCTCCTGGTAACCTGAAGGTACTTCTTAGACCTCCGGTTCGACATTTTTCACCAAGGCTTCTCCCTGTAAACAGCGAATCTATCGTATGTGTTTACCTGCAAGAATTTTCTTACTGATGGTTCGTGTACGAGGAGCAGAAACACCTCCTCGCACATTTTATGCTCCTGATACAAAATTTGTACGTGATTGGAAAAGATCTCAACCTTCATGTTCTCCTGGTAACCTGGGGGTACTTCTTAGACCTCCGGTTCGACATTTTACAACAAAGGCTTCTCCCTGTAAACAGTGAATCTATCGTATGTGTTTACCTGCAAGAATTTTCTTACTGATGGATCGTGTACGAGGAGCAGAAACACCTCCTCGCACATTTTATGCTCCTGATACAAAATTTGTACGTGATTGGAAAAGATCTCAACCTTCATGCTCTCCTGGTAACCTGGGGGTATTTCTTAGACCCCCGGATCGACATTTTCCACCAAGGCTTCTCTCTGTAAACAGCGAATCTATCGTATGTGTTTACCTGCAAGAATTTTCTTACTGATGGTTCGTGTACGAGGAGCAGAAACACCTCCTCGCACATTATATGCTCCTGATACAAAATTTGTACTTGAATGGAAAAAATCTCAACCTTCATGTTCTCCTGGTAACCTGGGGGTATTTCTTAGACCTCCGGTTCGACATTTTTCACCAAGGCTTCTCCCTGTAAACAGTGAATCTATCGTATGTGTTTACCTGCAGGAATTTTCTTACTGATGGTTCGTGTACGAGGAGCAGAAACACCTCCTCGCACATTTTATGCTCCTGATACAAAATTTGTACGTGATTGGAAAAGATCTCAACCTTCATGCTCTCCTGGTAACCTGGGGGTATTTCTTAGACCCCCGGATCGACATTTTCCACCAAGGCTTCTCTCTGTAAACAGCGAATCTATCGTATGTGTTTACCTGCAAGAATTTTCTTACTGATGGTTCGTGTACTAGGAGCAGAAACACCTCCTCGCACATTATATGCTCCTGATACATAATTTGTACGTGATTGGAAAAGATCTCAACCTTCATGTTCTCCTGGTAACCTGGGGGTACTTCTTAGACCTCCGGTTCGACATTTTTCATCGAGGCTTCTCCCTGTAAACAGTGAATCTATCGTATGTGTTTACCTGCAAGAATTTTCTTACTGATGGTTCGTGTACGAGGAGCAGAAACACCTCCTCGCACATTATATGCTCCTGATACAAAATTTGTACGTGATTGGAAAAGATCTCAACCTTCATGTTCTCCTGGTAACCTGGGGGTACTTCTTAGACCTCCGGTTCGACATTTTTCACCAAGGCTTCTCCCTGTAAACAGCGAATCTATCGTATGTGTTTACCTGCAAGAATTTTCTTACTGATGGTTCGTGTACTAGGAGCAGAAACACCTCCTCGCACATTATATGCTCCTGATACAAAATTTGTACGTGATTGGAAAAGATCTCAACCTTCATGTTCTCCTGGTAACCTGGGGGTACTTCTTAGACCTCCGGTTCGACATTTTTCATCGAGGCTTCTCCCTTCAAACAGCGAATCTATCGTATGTGTTTACCTGCAAGAATTTTCTTACTGATGGTTCGTGTACGAGGAGCAGAAACACCTCCTCGCACATTATATGCTCCTGATACAAAATTTGTACTTGATTGGAAAAGATCTCAACCTTCATGTTCTCCTGGTAACCTGGGGGTATTTCTTAGACCTCCGGTTCGACATTTTTCACCAAGGCTTCTCCCTGTAAACAGTGAATCTATCGTATGTGTTTACCTGCAGGAATTTTCTTACTGATGGTTCGTGTACGAGGAGCAGAAACACCTCCTCGCGCATAATATGTTCCCGATACAAAATTTGTATATATTAAAGACGAAATTTGACTTTGAAAGTTGTTTCTGGGCGATTGGAAAAGATCTCAACCTTCATGTTCTCCTGGTAGCCTGGGGGTATTTCTTAGACCCCCGGTTCGACATTTTTCTTCACTAAGGCTTCTCCCTGTAAACAGCGAATCCATCGTATGTATTTACCTGCAAAAATTTTCTTACTGATGGTTCGTGTACTAGAAGCAGAAACACTTCCTCGCGCATTATATGCTCCTGATACAAAATTTGTAAATATTAAAGACGAAATTTGACTTTGAAAGTTGTTTGTGCGCGATTGGAAAAGATCTCAACCTTCATGTTCTCCTGGTAACCTGGAGGTATTTCTTAGACCCCCGGTTCGACATTTTTCTTCACCAAGGCTTCTCCCTGTAAACAGCGAATCTATCGTATGTGTTTATCTGCAAGAATTTTCTTACTGATGGTTCGTGTACGAGGAGCAGAGACACCTCCTCGCACATTATATGCTCCTGATACAAAATTTGTACGTGATTGGAAAAGGCCTCACTCTAAGCAGCGAATCTGATTTTGCTCCGTTACCTGTTTCTTGAACTAAAAAGTTAATCTGACTGTAGACAAACGTTCGTCGATCGACGGGGTGAAAGAGAGCGCATTTTGTGTAGCTCAAGAAAGACGGGGATCGTAGATTTGGACTACGTTGAAAAATTGTATCATCGCTATTTATTGTAGAACAAGAAACTGATGAAAGCGTGGGCGGATAACTTTACAAAAGGACGATGACGTCCGATTTTGCGGTTACAGTTGGTCCTTCGAGCCGAACCGTCGTGTGTTTCCCTATTTCTGAATCGTCGGTACTTTACGGCAAGACGTCATTGTTGCTTAAAATGGAGATTGATGAAAGGATGACAAATTATCTTTTGTTCCTCAACGGTAAATTACATAATTAGCAAAACCTCTGGGCAAATCCCCAAGTATCTGGCACGTGCCAGATTTATGGTTCATATAAAAACGGAATCTCTTAATTACCTAGGTAGTCCAAGTTGTCTTCATTTTTCTGGAAGTTCCTCCAGAACGACGAGTTCAGTGATTCCTCGACGACCTTTACTTTTCGGCCGCGAAACGGGCAACGAACGGTAAAAATTCATCTGATCCCATAAATGGCAGTTATTTATTGTTTCGCTCGAGTTGCAAACCGCAAAGTAATCATCGCAGCATCACGTCGCTCGGTACCCCATTACGCAGAATGGACCTACACTGCAACTTTTACGGGTGTACATTAAGATACCGTTTCGTTTGCCGCCCCGTTTCCTCTAACCCTATAATTCAAGCAGGCGCCTGTAAATTTAGAAAAGCCGAGTAATTTCAAATGTAATTGTATGCTTACGTACCGACCACCGACAGAGGATGTGGTGGCGACGTGTATGAAAAGTCCCGCAAAGGAAGGAATATTTCCGAATCTCGTCTTTTATTGTACAAGTGCGATTTCCGTAAATATTGGCGCCTAAGTTGCAATAACGATTTTTGTTCGGTAGCCAAATGGTCTTCCGAAAAACAAAGGCTCCCCTCGGCAGTTCTATTGCTATTTCCAGAATACCACCCTAAGAGGGTTTACCGGAAAACATGCTGTCGAGTTCTTCTGTGCTGGATGGTTTTCGATTCCTGCCGCTTTTATCATAATTTTACGGAACTTGTCGCAGACCCCTATGTTGCTGGGGGGAATACCCCCCCAGACCCCCCCGGTGCTATGTCCTACGCTGTGTGAAGAAAAGGATCTTCCAATATTTCTCCATTAGCTACCAAGCGAGTCCTGAGCTGAAACAGTTTGTGAAAGAAGGTGTTACCGGGGGGTCTGGGGGGTATGGAATACCCCCCAGTAAACGGCAGTTCTATTGCCATCTACGGAATATCAACATAAGAGGGTTTACTGGAAAACATGCTGTCGAGTTCTTCTGTGCTGGATGGTTTTCGATTCCTGCCGCTTTTATCATAATGTTACGGAACTTGTCGCAGACTCCCTTGTTGCTGGGGGGTATTCCATACCCACCAGCATACGATAGTCCCATCACCATTTGCAGAACACCATCACTTTTATAGGGAAACGTTTTTCAAGTCCTTCTGTGCTGGGAGCCTGTAAAGGCAGGGAATGGTCACGAAATGTTCAACTCAAGATACTCAAAAAAGGTTCGTAAACACTAAGTGAAAATTTGAAAGCATTTATGAGATTCTGTCGTCTTTTCGAGATTGAATTACATTGGTGTGACCCCAGTCACACGGGCCACATAAAGAAAAACGAAGGGAATGCCCCACGTTGGGCGCCCAAATAGATGCTATGTCCTTAATCATTCGGGCCACATAAAAAATATATGAATTCAAGGGACGTGAAGAAATAAAAAATTAGTACTCACAATCTGCCCACGATTAAATTGGTCCAACGGAATAAAATTACGAACGAAACTTCACGAAAAAAAACTTAGACCTTTAACAAATTCATCCGACGAACTTAAATTAAAATTTAACTGAACGGATACTAGCGAGAATTTTATATCAACGTGGACGACCAACTAAAATGCGTACAGAAAATTGTTGGTAAACCCCGTCGTCAATTTATACCGCTTATTTAAGTGATTCACGCCTCTACTCGAATTTTCTCGTTTCGCCGACGAAGAACGAACGAACAACTACGTTGCCAAATTGATGCCCATCTGTGTCGTTTATCAATGCAGATGTCGTTTTATCCAGATTCGCCAATTAATTTGTCCAATAACAGCTTTTTTGCGTGCATGAAATTTTTAAAAATGTTTTCGGAGATTCATTTTATAGAATAATCAACGTGTTTCTCAGTAACCAACGAAATATATTTGTTTGCAGGGAGGCAACGGCCTCATCAAGCTAGCTGAAGATGAAGTGAACGTCATTCAGAATGTGATACAGAAACGGCGAATGCAGTACATCCTTCATTTTCCCGCGTGGTCTAACGTTCCGCCGAGAGTGACAAGGATACAGGTCAATGGAAGGGTGGTCTGTATCGGGGATCCAATATCGAGTAAGTGCTTTAATTGTGAAACTGACCGCCAGCCAGATTACGCATGCTACGAAAGATACACGAATCGAAATATTTGTCGATTGCGTCACTATTTCGAATTCTTGGTTAGAGGAATCTCATATGGATTACGTGAATAATCGAGTCGGATTAGTAGGTGGCCTCAGAATTGGCCTTTCTTGCCTAAATTATAATAATAAACAGTAGAACAAAATTAATGGCTAAATCGTTTTATTAAAGTAATAAATTTTCACTCAATTATGCTAATCAAGCAGGCGAAGTAATTTAATTCGAGTCGGGAGTCCCAAACGAGATATACCACATTATTGTACAATTTTTTTTCCTTTATCTTTTGAGGGACCCTGCAGGTCACGAGACCTGACAGCTGAGCTCTTTCTGTATACCCAACAATCACACTTTTTGGTACCAATAAACCATCATAAGTAAATTTTAAAACAAAAATCTTCTGACACCTTCTTCGCGACCATCAAAAGTTCTTCACCCCTCCCAACCTTTTCCATTATATCCAGCCTCATTAACGACCCTTTCGAACTTTCTCAAATCTTCTTGTCACCCCTTCTTCAAGCATTCTTCAAACCTCCTACCTCTTGGTCATCGTCCTCCGATCCTCCTGCACTGCTTCACTCCCCTCGAACCTCCCTCTCTTTTCTTTAAAGACCTCTGGCCGCATCCTACCAGTCTGCTTTTCATAGGTTCAACACTTCTTCACACCCCTTTCGAGTCTTCTTCATGGCTAATTTGCTTTCTTCGTTCGTTTTTCATTCTTCGCTGCCCCTTTGAGCATCTTTCACACATCTTGCAAGCCTTCTTCAAACCTTCATGCTCATACAAGAAGCCTTTATTACACTTTCAGGCATTTTCCAGTCTTCTGCACGCTACCTTAACATTTCGAGTTTTCATCACGCGTCTTTCGAGCCTTTATGGCGTTTTCTTCGCCAAAATCAATTAGAAAATGTGGTTTTGTCGTTAAATCAGCGTTCCTCGAACATTCTTCACTCTTTCAGCCTCTTTCACGCCTCGTTCATCATTTTGACGCCCGCGTTTTTTTTATTTTTCTTCACGAGCGATTCAGGTCTTCTTCGTTCTTCTTTTGAGTGCATTTTTCCCGTCTCCTGCACACCTCCTCCACTCCTCTTCCGAGCGTTTTCCAGGCTTTCCTCAAATTTTCTTTAAACATGCACCCTTTTCAGACCTCTTTCAAACTTCTTAATAGAGCTTTCTTCACGCCTTCTTCGAATCATTTTCACGTTTCCTAGGAGCCTTCTGCAGGCCCCCCAGGAACCTTTTTTACCTCTCCGGGTAGCACCTTTTTAACGTTCCTCTACTTCGAGACTTCTTCATGTTTCACTCGAACCTTTGTGAACCCTTTAAACACCTCTGACTTTCTTCACGCCTCTTTTGAGCTGGCTTATCATCCTCCTCGCCTCCTAAAGATCTATTTCAACGCTATAACTCCTACTTTGAGTCGTTTTTGTGTATCCTTCAGGCCTTCCTCACACCTACTTCGCCTTCACTCCTCCATCGAGCCTTTTTCATGGTTTCTTCAAATCCGTCTAAACTTATTTATGCCTCCCCCGAATTTCTGCACTGTTTTATCGAACCTTTTGGTGCCTATTTGGAGCCTCCTTTGCACGTCCTAACAGTTTTTCCACGCGCTCACCCTTAACTTTGAGCCTTTTTCACCCCTCCTTCGAACCTTCGCCTCGGTTTCTTCAAGTCCATTTTTCGCACATTTTTCAAGCTGCATGCGCGCCATTTTTGCGCTATTCGAAACTCTTCACCTTCGCACCTTCTGCGGCCTTCTAAAGTCTTGGTCACGCCTCTTTCGAGCTTGCTTCACGCCTCCTCCAGGCGTTCGTCGTGATTCTTTCGCGCTTCCTACGAGCATTCTCCAGCCCCTCCTTGAGCACCCTTTCTGGCTTTTTTCGCGTACCTCTAATGATCCTTCGAGCTTACTTTACGCTTTTTTGGTGATCTCGCCCGGCCTTCTTCCACCCATTCTCACTCATAATTCGCACTTTTTTCAAGTCTCCTTCAAGCTGTCTCCACGCCTCTTTTTTTTTCACGGCTACTGCGAACCTTCTTTCACTCAAACCTTTGTGAACCTCTTCACGTCTCTCTCGAGCATTCTTCACGCTTCCTAAAAGCCTGTTTCAAGCCTTTTCTCCTCCTTTGTGTCTGTTTTGTGTCTAGCCTACTTCGCACACCCTTCATGCCCCCTTCCAACTTTCTTCACAGCTCTGTCGAACCTTTTTGCACCTTTTTCAGCCTTCTTTATGCGTCCTAAGAGTTTTTTCACGCCTTCACTCCTACTAAACCTTTTTCACTCCTCCTTCGAATGTTCTTCACTCCTTCTTCGATCCTTCTGGACCTCTTCCCAGCTTTCTTCGCCCGTCCCTTTTCACACATTCCTCCAGTTTCCTGTGCGAAATTTCTGCGCTCTAGTGTTTTACCTAAACTTTGACCACGCCCCCTTTGCCTTCACACCTTCTTCGGCACTTCTTCTCGCCTCTCTAAAGCCTCGGTTATCCCTCTGTCGAAACTTCTCTCTTTTCCCAAATTTTTTCACGTTTTCCTCTTTTTCTTACGCCTTTCTTCTCTTTCGAGCGTTCTCCGTGCTTCGTTAGACTATTTTGCATCCCATTTTCAAGATTTCTTCTCTCTCTCCTTCTTCACTTTATCTTTGAGCTTTCTCCATTCCACCTTCACTCACACCTTCTTCTAGTGTTTCTTCCGTTTCGGCTCTTCCCTTTAGTTTTCAGTCCCCTTTAAAGCTTTCTTCGCGCGTCCTTCCTCGTCTACCCTTTTAAGCCTTTTTCATACATTCTTCGAACCATTTTCATGCCGCCTTCAATTCTTCTTCGTACTATCTTCAAATCTTCTTTTCTCTTACTTTCAGCCTTTCGCAGTCATCTTCGAACCTTCTCCAACGTCTTCGGCCCTACTAACGTTTTTTTTTCAGGTTTCTTCAAGTCTTCTTCACACCCCCTTCGAACTTTTCGCTGTTTCTTCATGTCTAATTCTAGCCTATTTTGCGCCTTCTACGAATCTTCACTCCTTTCTAGAGTGTTCTGTGCCTTCTTCGTGCTTCCGTCAAGCCTCTTTCGAAACTCCCAAAGAGCCCCTTTCACGTCTTTCTTCCTCCTCTTACAGACTTTCTTGGCTCCTCTTTTAAGCATACTAGACACTTTTTTCGCTGCTCCATCGAGTTTTTTTCACGCTTCTTACGAGTCATTTGTACGTTTCTACAACAATCGCACCCTCCCAACGTTCCTGGAGTCGTCTTGACACTTTCTCGGGCTTTCTTCCCCCCTTCTTGAGGTCGTCTTCTTCACGACTTTTTCGAGCGTTCCCACGCTTCTTTCAAACCTTCTTCGAATCATGTTGAATCTTTCTTCGAGCCCTTTTCACGTCTTCTTCTTCATTCCTCCATCGAGCTTTCTCCACGTCTATTTCGACACCGTTCCCTTTGCCCTCTCTCTTCATTTTCGTAATTTCTAAATGCTCATATTAACTATTTATGTATTAGGGTTCCAGGTGTCAGTTTTAACGACGATAAATCTGGTACACACGCTAACGCTGAGCGTCCCGCTGACCGGTAGCAGCGGAGCAGGAATTCCGATTTGGCGGCCCGACAACGGCGACCGAGACATCCCACTACTACCCACCCGCCGTCCGCCGCTTATTCAGCCGGAAGTAAATCGGCCGTTTGATCGTGACGACTTTTGGAACGACGTCCCTCAAATTCCACCGCCTCGACGTCCACCAACAACTCGCCGTCCTCCACCGATTCGACCTGCTCCACCAACTCGTAACGAGGAGAGCCCGAGACCGTCTTGGGAGGTCTATCCTGAAGTTGAATCCATAACACCACGACGACCGCCCGCGTCTTCGCAAACGATCACGTGCGGGGTGCCGTCGATAACCAACTCGTTGATCGTGAACGGGCGGAACTACACGAACGGCGCCCATCCGTGGCTCGGCGCGCTGTTCGTGCAGAACAACGACGGGCTCAAGTTTATCTGCGGTTCCACATTGATCTCTAAAAGACACGTGCTCACTGGTAAGTTGCCTAACTCACTAACTTCACTAATTACACTTTTAGCCGCCCACTGCATTCGAACGCGAAGGAAACGGTACCGTCCCGACGAGCTCTGGGTGGTGCTGGGACGGGAGAACATCAGAAGGTGGTCGAATGACGGCGCCCAGATCATTCAGACCGAATCTCTGCACATTCACCCGGACTTCAGGTTTACGACGGCCGACGGAGATATCTCCCTGATCGCGCTCGCGGAGGAGGCGGTCTTCTCGACGTTCGTCAGGCCGGCCTGTCTTTGGAGCGGTAGCGCCGATCCGCGATTGCTCATCGCGAGTACGGGCGTCGTGGTGGGCTGGGGCAAGGACGAACACGGCCAGTTGGTCACGTCTTCTCCGCGACAAGTGATATTTCCCGTCGTCAGTGAGGAGGACTGTTTGCGATCCAATAACGCGTTTCGAGAGATCACTTCCAACAGAACATTTTGCGCAGGTAAAGTTTTTTGATTTTTTATAATTTAAAAAAACCCGTCCAGGACCACTACTAGGAAAAAAACCTACGACGGATTCCTGAATTTTACGGAATTTTTGAGAAACCGTTCAGGTGATTCTTAAAAAACCCTTGGGTAATTTTTAAGCGTTTCTTAAATCATTCTTGAGGGATTCATGAGAGGTTATGGTCATTTTGAAAGATTGTAGAGAAATTTTAAGAGACTCGTGAGTGAAAGAGATTGGTGGGGGATCCTGGAAAGTTCTCAAGGGAAGGCCCTTGGAGGATTTTAAAAAGAGTTCTAGATGAAATTAATAAAAGGTTCCTGAGCGGTAACTAAGAGATTCTAGAGATAAATCCTTAAGGGGGAACTTTAAAGAATATTGTAAAAACAGGAAGGTTTCTGAAAGAAGATTCTCGACCTTCTTGGAAGATTATGGAGAAACTGCTTGAGAATTGGTATGGAATACCCCCCAGTACGCACGGTGAGTCTACTACCATTTCCAATAAAGCACCATGAGAGTTCGAAAGATTGGGCTACTAGTTCAAAAGTTACAGCCCTTTGAATTTTTTTTCGAAATTGGTTTCTAGTCTATAACTTTTGATTGAGAAGTCTGATCGAAAAAGTACGAATTGATTTGGATTCTACGCACCCAAATTAATAAGAAAAAGTGTTTTCCCGAGAAATTTTGGTGTAGTCGATTTTTGGTAAAAAAGGAAGGTTATACACTGCCTTTTTTTGAGCCCCGAAAAAAAAATTGTCTCAGATCGACCCGGAAAAACAGTTTTCTTATAGAATGTGGCCTGTAGAATCCATAATTTCAAACAGTTCCAAGATTGGGCTACTAGTTCAAAAGTTACAGCCCTTTGAATTTTTTTTCGAAATTGGTTTCTAGTCTATAACTTTTGATTGAGAAGTCTGATCGAAAAAGTACGAATTGATTTGGATTCTACGCACCCAAATTAATAAGAAAAAGTGTTTTCCCGAGAAATTTTGGTGTAGTCGATTTTTGGTAAAAAAGGAAGGTTATACACTGCCTTTTTTTGAGCCCCGAAAAAAAATTGTCTCAGATCGACCCGGAAAAAAATTTTCTTATAGAATGTGGACCTGTGAAATCCATAATTTTCAACAGGTTCCAAGATTGGGCTACTAGTTTCAAAAGTTACAGCCCTTTGAATTTTCTTTCGAAATTGGTTTCTAGTCTATAACTTTTGATTGAGAAGTCTGATCGAAAAAGTAGGAATTGTTTTGGATTCTACGCACCAAAATTAATAAGAAAAAGTGTTTTCCCGAGAAATTTTGGTGCAGTCGATTTTTGGTAAAAAGGGAAAGTTATACACTGCCTTTCTTTCAGCCCCGAAAAAAAAATTGTCTCAGATCGACCCGGAAAAAAATTTTTTTTATAGAATGTGGCCTGTAGAATCCATAATTTCAAACAGTTCCAAGATTGGGCTACTAGTTCAAAAGTTACAGCCCTTTGAAGTTTTTTTCGAAATTGGTTTCTAGTCTATAACTTTTGATTGAGAAGTCTGATCGAAAAAGTACAAATTGATTTGGATTCTACGCACCAAAATTAATAGGAAAAAGTGTTTTCCCGGCAAATTTTGGTGTAGTGGATTTTTGGTAAAAAGGAAGGTTATACACTGCCTTTTCTTGAGCCCCGAAAGAAAAATTGTCTCAGATCGAGCCGGAAAAAATTTTTCTTATAGAAAGTGGCCTGTAGAATCCGTAATTTCAAACAGTTCCAAGATTCCATACTAGTTCAAAAGTTACAGCCCTTTGAATTTTTTTTCAAAATTGGTTTCTAGTCTATAACTTTTGATTGAGAAGTCTGATCGAAAAAGTACGAATTGATTTGGATTCTACGCATCAAAATTAATAAGAAAAGTGTTTTTCCCGAGAAATTTTGGTGCAGTCGATTTTTGGTAAAAAAGGAAGGTTAACACTGCCTTTTTTTGAGCCCCGAAAAGAAAATTGTCTCAGATCGACCCGGAAAAAAAAATTTCTTATAGAATGTGGTCTGTAGAATCCATAATTTGAAACAGTTCCAAGATTGGGCTACTAGTTCAAAAGTTACAGCTCTTTAAATTTTCTTTCGAAATTGGTTTCTAGTCCATAACTTTTGATTGAGAAGTCTGATCGAAAAAGTACGAATTGTTTTGGATTCTACGCACCAAAATTAATAAGAAAAAGTGTTTTCCCGAGAAATTTTGGTGCAGTCGATTTTTGGTAAAAAAGGAAGGTTATACACTGCCTTTTTTTGGGCCTCGAAAAAAAAATTGTCTCAGATCGACCCGGAAAAAAAAATTCTTATAGAACGTGGCCTGTAGAATCCATAATTTCAAACAGTTCCAAGATTGGGCTACTAGTTCAAAAGTTACAGCCCTTTGAATTTCTTTCGAAATTGGTTTCTAGTCTATAACTTTTTGATTGTGAAGTCTGATCGAAAAAGTACGAATTGATTTGGATTCTACGCACCCAAATTAATAAGAAAAAGTGTTTTCCCGAGAAATTTTGGTGTAGTCGATTTTTGGTAAAAAAGGAAGGAAATACACTGCCTTTTTTTGAGCCCCGAAAAAAAATTGTCTCAGATCGACCCGGAAAAAAAATTTTCTTATAAAATGTGGCCTGTAAAATCCATAATTTCAAACAGTTCCAAGATTGGGCTACTATTTCAAAAGTTACAGCCCTTTGAATTTTTTTTTTTAATTGGTTTCTAGCCTATAACTTTTGACTGAGAAGTCTGATCGAAAAAAGTACGAATTGATTTGGATTCTACGCACCCAAATTAATAAGAAAAAGTGTTTTCCCGAGAAATTTTGGTGCAGTCGATTTTTGGTAAAAAAAAGGAAGGTTATACACTGCCTTTTTTTGAGGCCTGAAAAAAAAATTGTCTCAGCTCGACCCGGAAAAAAAATTTTCTTATAGAATGTGGCCTGTAGAATCCATAATTTCAAACAGTTCCAAGATTGGGCTACTAGTTCCAAAGTTACAGCCCTTTGAATTTTTTTTTCGAAATTGGTTTCTAGTCTATAACTTTTGATTGAGAAGTCTGATCGAAAAAGTACGAATTGATTTGGATTCTACGCACCCAAATTAATAAGAAAAAGTGTTTTCCCGAGAGATTTTGGTGTAGTCGATTTTTGGTAAAAAAGGAAGGTTATACACTGCATTTTTTTGAGCCCCGAAAAAAAATTGTCTCAGATCGACCCGGAAAAACAGTTTTCTTATAGAATGTGGCCTGTAGAATCCATAATTTCAAACAGTCCCAAGATTGGGCTACTAGTTCAAAAGTTGCAGCCAGGGTTGCAGCCCTTTGAATTTTTTTTCGAAATTGGTTTCCAGTCTATAACTTTTGATTGAGAAGTCTGATCGAAAAAGTACGAATTGATTTGGATTCTACGCACTCAAATTAATAAGAAAAAGTGTTTTCCCGAGAAATTTTGGTGTAGTGAATTTTTGGTAAAAAGGAAGGTTATACACTGCCTTTTTTTGAGCCCCCAAAAAAAATTGTCTCAGATCGACCCGGAAACACAATTTTCTTATAGATAGAATGTGGCCTGTAGAATCCATAATTTCAAACAGTTCCAAGATTGGGCTACTAGTTCAAAAGTTACAGCCCTTTGAATTTTTTTTCGAAATTGGTTTCTAGTCTATAACTTTTGATTGAGAAGTCTGATCGAAAAAGTACGAATTGATTTGGATTCTACGCACCAAAATTAATAAGAAAAAGTGTTTTCCCGAGAAATTTTGGTGTAGTCGATTTTTGGTAAAAAAGGAAGGTTATACACTGCCTTTTTTTGAGCCCCGAAAAAAAAATTGTCTCAGATCGACCCGGAAAAAAAATTTTCTTATAGAATGTGGCCTGTAGAATCCATAATTTCAAACAGTTCCAAGATTGGGCTACTAGTTCAAAAGTTACAGCCCTTTGAATTTTCTTTCGAAATTGGTTTCTAGTCTATAACTTTTGATTGAGAAGTCTGATCGAAAAAGTACGAATTGTTTTGGATTCTACGCACCAAAATTAATAAGAAAAAGTGTTTTCCCGAGAAATTTTGGTGTAGTCGATTTTTGGTAAAAAAGGAATGTATTAAACCTCAGTCTGTTGTTCCCCCCAGACCCCCCCCCCCCCCGGCAACACCTACTTTTACAAACAGTCTAGGCTTCAGGACTCGAATGACAGTTGTTGGGTAAGCATTGCCAGATACTTTTCTCCGCAGGGCAAAGGCCGGAGCACCGGGGGGTCTGGGGGGTATGGAATACTGGCAACGTGAAAGTCGATAACCATTGCTGGAAGATTATATAAAATTGGGCGGAAGTCCAAAACCACGCAAGACAGAAAGCCTTCAGAACCTTTTCCCTATAAACCGAAGTCTGTTGTTCACTGGGGGGTATGCCATATTTCCTGACACAGGAGTTTAGACGTTGAAAGGCCTCTTCCGGGACATCCTTTCTGATAATGTTCTCCTGGTAGTTAAACTCCGTGAATTAGGAACAGAAACACTTCCCAGAACATTATGTTCTCCTGACCCAAGAATCCAAATCCAAAAACCGTTTCATTTGAGCATTGGAAGGGACCTCCTCATTCATTATGTTGTCTTGGTATCCAAAATTTCTTCTCCTCCCTCCTCTTTAAACGCCTATTGTCATTTCAGTTTGTGCAAGTATGACTAACCGCATCGTCTCGTTTCCTTTCAGGCTTCCGTAATAACTCGGGCCCGTGCAACGGAGACAGCGGCGGCGGTTTCCTAATGCTCGTAGAGGGTCAGTGGACGTTGCGCGGCATCGTCTCGATGTCGCTGATCACGCCCGACGGCAACTGCGACCTGCGACAGTACGTCGTCTTCACCGACATCGCCAGATACCTGCCATGGTTGTTACCTCTAATGTAATTAAATTATTTTCTAGTTGTAAATTCTTGTAGACAATTAAGATCATGTGAATATAAACATTAATTTATGCAGTCGCGCTTTTCATTAAAACTCAATTACGGCGGGGGCTATTACAATCGATGAGGAGTAATTAGCATTTTAGAAATTTGATTCCTGTTTACGTATTTTGATTAGTATGTGTTTTTCGCTCGAGCTGCGTGATGCCTTTGGTGCTTTTAACTTTGATTGTGCTTCTGCACGTGAGCGTCGGGGTTAGGTTGCCGATACCTTTTAGTCGGTGCCCTGAAGTCTTCAGATATGCGAGTGACGGTGACTTCGGTGAAGTATATGGGGTGATGACTTTTGAAAATGATCATTCTGGAACTTATCGAGTCGAATTGAATATGAGCATTCCTGCTTTTACTAATCAGGTAAGACGGATTTCTATTGATTATGTAATGATCGCCATATTGGAACTAGGTCTCTACATACTTTTTAATATAGTACAGGTCAACTTACACGCGAAGATCGACCATTTCGCCATTTAATTGTGCCGACTTAAATGTGCGCACATTATGCGCTATGCTTCTACCCTTTCTCAGAAACACCACAACCAACATCTTCATTGGCTATTGAAATGGGAATGGGGATAATTTTTAAGCGTAGATTGTATCCTTGAGAGAATATCAATACAAGTCAAATTTAGGGGTAGTAGCGTTCATTATTCATGCATTTGTTTAATTTTTTATGGACACCAATCAACTCCGTAAACATCTTCAAAAGTTGCAACTTTCACGAAAACTGGGATTAGAGGAGTAGAGAAAAGAAATCCGATAATTGAGAAGTAGAAAAATTACTAAGGAAGCACTAAATCGAAAATTCGACAAGATGAAAAAGTAACAAAATCGAGAAGTAATGAATTTGAGATACACCCCAATCAATACCCGCAGCATGTAATACGACAGCTCTATTCCCATCGCCAGAAAACTGCCATGAGGGTAATAAAGAGGTCTAGCGAACGGATTATCGGATCATTGTTTGCTGTTAATATAATTTTCCAGAAATGGTCACTCAATCTTCCTTTGCTGTGGAGGTAGTCCACCGGTGCTGCGTTCACTGGGAGGAGATAATTTGATGCCTTTTTCCCAAAACCTGCCATGATATTCTTTTAGGCTAAGTGTTTGTGGAAGAAAGGGGGTTAGAATACCTCAAGTCAGCTATAAGCACTCTCTTCCTTAAAACGTTTGACCTACAAGAATCTCATGTAAGGTTTTGGGGAAAAAACATTAGACACAAGAAGTACTGCAGAGAACCGAGCACTGGGGGGTATGCAAAACCCCCCAGCAAGGGAAGATTAAATGACCATTGCTTGAAAATTATCTAAAAGCAAAGAAGGGCTCGATAATCCTTTCCCTATAGCCCTTTACTACCCTCATGGTAGTATGGAAATGGCAATAGAACAGTTATATAATCGGTTGGAGAGGGGGGGAGGGGGTATTGCAGACCACCCAGGTCAGGTATAATCATTCTTTTCCTTAAAACGTTGGACCTACAGAAATCTCATAATAGGTTTTGGGTAAAAAACATCATATCCTCTCATCCCAAGAAGTACTGCAGAGAACCGAGCACCGGGGGGGTCTGGGGGGTATGGACCCCCCCCCCCCAGAAGAGGAAGATTAAAGGACCATTGCTTGAAAATGATCTAAAAGCAAAGAAGGACTGGATAATCCTTTCCCTGTAGCCCTTTACTACCCTCATGGGAGTATGGAAATGGCAATAGAACAGTTATATAATCGGTTGGAGGGAAGGGGGGGGGGTATTGCGACCCACCAGGTCAGGTATAATCACTCTCTTCCTTAAAACGTTCGACCTACAAGAATCTCATGATAGGTTTAGGGGAAAAAACATCATATCCTCTCGCCCCAAGAAGTACTGCAGAGAACCGAGCACCGGGGGGTGTGGAATACCTCCCAGCAAAGAAAGATTGAATAACAATTGCGGAAAAATTATCTAAAAGAAGAAAGACTCGATAATCCTTTCCTTATAGCCCTTTACTACCCTCATGGTAGTATGGAAATGGCAATAGAACAGTTATATAATCGGTTGGAGGGGGGGGGGGGTATTGCAGACCCCCCAGGTCAGGTATAATCACTCTCTTCCTTAAAACGTTCGACCTACAAGAATCTCATGTTAGGTTTTGGGAAAAAACCATCAGATCCTCTTGTCCCAAGAAGTACTGCAGAGAACCGAGCACGGGGGGGGGGGGGGCCTGGGTGGTATGGAAAACCCCCCAGCAAAGGAAGATTAAGTGACCATTGTTTGAAAATTATCTAAAAGCACAGGACTCGATAATCCTTTTCCTATAGCCCTTTACTGTCCTCATGGTAGTATGGAAATGGCAATAGAGCAGTTATATAATCGGTTTGAGGGGGGGGGGGTTGCAGACCCACCAGGTCAGGTATAATCACTATCTTCCTTAAAACGTTCGACCTACAAGTATCTCATATGTTAGGTTTTGGGAAAAAACATCAGATCCTCTCGTCCCGAGAAGTAGTGCAGAGAACGGAGCACCGGAGGGTGTGGGGGTATGGAATACCCCCCAGCAAAGAAAGATTGAATAACAATTGCGGGAAAATTATCTAAAAGCAAAGAAGGACTCCACAATCCTTTCCCTATAGCCCTTTACTACCCTCATGGAAGTATGGAAATGGCAATAGAGCAGTTATATAATCGGTTGGAGAGGGGGGGGGGGGGATTGCAGACCCCCCAGGTCAGGTATAATCACTATCTTCCTTAAAACGTTCGACCTACAAGAATCTCATATGTTAGGTTTTGGGAAAAAAACATCAGATCCTCTCGACCCAAGAAGTAGTACAGAGAACGGAGCACCGGGGGGGGGGGTGGGGGTATGGAAAACCCCCCAGCAGAGGAAGATTAAATGACCATTGCTTGAAAATTATCTAAAAGCAAAGAAGGACTCGATAATCCTTTCCCTATAGCCCTTTACTACGCTCAAGGTTGTATGGAAATGGAAATAGAGCAGTTATATAATCGGTTGGAGGGGGGGGGGGTTGCAGAGCCCCCCAGGTCAGGTATAATCACTCTCTTCCTTAAAACGTTTGACCTACTAGAATCTCATGTTAGGTTTTGGGAAAATAACATCAGATCCTCTCATCCAAAAAGTAGTGCAGAGAACGGATCACCGGGGGCCTGGGGGGTTTGGAAACAAAGGAAGATTTAATGACCATTGCGGCAAAATTATCCAAAAGTGGGGCGTATTGCATTTCACCTAGGTATCACTCTCTCTACAATAATATTGTGGTAGGTTTTGGGAGAAAGGCATCAGACTCTCCTTCCAAGAAGTAGTGCAGAGAACGTACGTAGCACCGGTGGGTCAAGAGGGTGTGGACCCCCCCCCCCCCCCCCTTCCAACGATACAACAATTTTATTGCTAAGGTTATAGAGTTCTTCTATGCTTTTAATATAATTTGCACTCAATCTTCCTTTGCTGGGGGGGGGGGGGGGGGGATTGTTACCCTCCGGTTCTACGTTCTCTGCCCTACTTCTTGGCAGGAGAGGGTCTGATGTTTTCTTCCCAAAACCCACCATGATATTTTCGGAAGCTAAGGGTTTTGTGGAAGAAAGTGTGGCCATGGGCTCTGGGGGTCTATACCCTCAACCGCTGATAAAACAGTTCTATTTCCATTTCCATAATACCATGAGGGTAGTAAAGCGTTATAGGGAAAGTGTTAACTTCTTTGCTTTTAATTCAATTGTGTCGAACTACTTCAAAAGTGGTCACGATAACGAAAATTCGAGAAAATTAGAAATCAAGAAACAATTTAGAAACCGATCTACTAAATAACTATAATGTATCTTTTGATGTGGGCTCGGTACTAAGATCTTAAATCCTCAGGTGAACGAAGGAGCAGACACAAGTATAGGATTTCATTCCCAACCTTATCACTTCGACATCGACGTTAAGATTGAGACCAAACACAATTCAATTTGCGCAACCAATCGCCCAATTATACTCTGTTTGTTTATTGAACTTTTTTTTTAGAATTTAGTCATAAGAAGAGTAACGACAAACAGCGATCTGCAAACCGGATCCGATTTGATGTACTACGTCAGTTTCCCGATGTCCGATCATGTACCTGAAGTTACCAGCGTTGTGTTCAATCAACACGTATATTGCGCCTATAATCCTGCACCGGGTAGGTACCGCCACAGTCCCCCCCGAACCATATTTCATAAAATTTTTCTCTTTTACAGGGGAGGGCACTTTTTTGACAGCCTTCGATTTCGTTTCGATGCCAGTATCGTACCAACGCATGCGTGTGACCACGCGACCTACCACGGTACGACCGCCTTTTGCGTTTCACAAACACCAAGAGCACGAAACCGTCGATTATCAACGACCTGTTCCTCGCCCTCCGACGGACCCCTCAACGACGACAACTGAAACTCCAACGGTAATTCTGCACAACCGCCACTCTGAAGTGTTCGAGTGCGGCACGGTGGAGGATGACACCCAGGCTCTCGTCGTGCACGGAGCGCCGACGTCCGAGGGTCAGTACCCGTGGCTCGTCGCCATGTTTCATCATATGGAGACCGGCGAGTACAAGTTCAAGTGCTCCGGCAACCTCATCTCCAACGAGCACGTGATAACGGCCGCGCACTGCGTGCGCCGGGACAAAACGGAGAACATGCCGAAGGAAAACGTAATCTTGGTCCTCGGCAAGCACAACATCAGGGCGTGGGCGGTCAGGTCGGAGATACGCGACCTTAAGGAGATCTTCGTCCATCCCGACTACAGGAGACCGTCGGACGGAGACGTTGCGATCTTGGTGATGTACAAGCCGGTCGAGTTCACCGAGAAGATCAGGCCGGTGTGTCTGTGGAGCGAGACGGAGGAGACCATCGTCGGCAGCGAGGGGACGGTCGTCGGCTGGGGACGCGACGAGTTTTTCAGCCAGTACGTCGCCCAACCGAGGGAGATCAGCATGCCCGTCGTGTCCCAAGAAGACTGTCTCCGTTCCGATGAGCGATTTATAAAGTTGACGTCGAACAGAACGTTCTGCGCGGGTAAGTGAGCGATACGTGGCGTGTGGGCGCCATTAATTTCAGGAACGTTACAGGTGCTCGCAATGGCAGCGGCGTGTGTACCGGTGATAGTGGTGGCGGTTTTGTCGTCAAGCGGAAAGGGAGGTGGATGCTTCGAGGTATTGTCTCAGCGGCTCTGGTCGATACAAGCACGAAATCCTGCGACGTCAACAACTACATGGTCTTCTCTGATGTTGCCAAGTATAAGTTGTGGATTGATCGAGTACTGGCCAAATAAATATTTAACTCGCAGTCGTTCTTTTGAGCCCAAGTTTTTAAATGTGATATTAATGTAGTAATTTTTGATATTTTTCTAATAAATGTTACAATAGGTACTACTTATTGACACCAAGAACCCCCTTAAATAACAAAATTTGACTCAGTTAGAAAACTTTCATTATTTAATATTGAAATTAAAGAATAGAGACTGACTTCCCCTAACCCCATTTACAATAATGCAGCGTTCACGGTATTGTTCAAAATTTAAAAGATAAAGAAGACAAAACTACCATTTAGTCGTCCAACTTTGGAAATATTGGACGCCATTTATATTTTCAAAGAACTCCTACTAAAAATCAAGATTTAGTAAAATTTTGAAATGATCAGTCCGCCTAATCCCCACTTTCTTATATCTTTAAAACATGCGCCTACAAAATGAGCAATCAAGTACATCTCCTTTCCCAATCCTGCGTTTATTAAAAGCAATCAGCCAGAAAGCGACATTAGCAGATTCCTGCAAGTTGTGCCAGAACACTCAGCGTAGCCTGCTCCCAGCGTCAGTCTAGAAACGGACCCAACTCATCAGCAATCGTAACGTAAAAGCTATTAATTTCGCGTAATCTCACGTTATAGACCGCTAGACACTATAACGTTAAACTTAACGTGCAGGTTATCTGTCAAAAACGTAATTTTGCCTATACTGAATAACGCAAAATAACGTTTTTATAATGTAATTATGTAATTGAGAGTTTAATTAATTTGGTCCAATTAAATAACATTGGTGGATTAATTCGCGAAATTAATTTAATTCGCAGTGTCAAGCAGCGCCAATTGAATTGATTGGAGGTTTTCTGCTTTGATTCGCGGATTAAATTAAATTATTGTAATTATTTCTTTGAGATTTTAATTAATTGCGTCTAATTAAATAATATTGGTGGATTAATTCGCGGATTTACATTTTCATTCGCGGAGTTAATTAAAACAATCTAATTATTTCTTCGAGATTTTCATTAATTTGGCCTAATTAAATAAAATTGGAGGCTTGATCCGTGGAATTAATTTAATTCGCGGGGTCAATAAAAGTCAATTAAATTCATTCTCGGTTTTGCGCTTTGATTCGCGAATTAAATTGAATTAATTTAATTATTTCCTTGAGATTTTATTTAATTTGATCCAATTAAAAGAAATTGCTGGATTAATCTGCGGAGTCAATCAAGAACAATTGAATTGATTCGCGGATTTAATTAAATTAGTTTAGTTATTTTTTTGTAATTAAATTGGTCCAATTAAATAAAATTGGTGAAATAAATCGCAAGATCAATTAAACTGATTTTGCAGTTTTGCGCTTTGAATCGCGGAATTAATGAAATTATTTTAACTATTTCCTTGAGATTTTAATTCATTTGGTCCCATTAAAATTGGTGAATTAATACGCGGAATTAATTTAATTCGCGGGGTGAGTCAAAGTCAATTAAATTCATTCTCGGTTTTGCACTTTGATTCGCGAATTAAATTGAATTAATTTAATTAATTGCTTGAGATTTTATTTAATTTGATCCAATTAAAAGAAATTGGTGGATGAATCTGCGGAGTCAATCAAGGTCAATTGATTTGATTCGCGGTTGTGGGCTATGATTCGCGGATTTAATTAAAATACTTTAATTATTTTTTTGTAATTGAATTGGTCCAAATCAATAAAATTGGTGAAATAAATCGCAAGGTCAATTAAACTGATTTTGCAGTTTTGGGCTTTGAATCGCGGAATTAATGAAGTTATTTTAACTATTTCCTTGAGATTTTAATTAATTTGGTCCAATTAAACTTGGTGAATTAATACGCGGAATTAATTTAATTCGCGGGGTCAATCAAAGTCAATTAAATTCATTCTCGGTTTTGCGCTTTGATTCGCGAATTAAATTGAATTAATTTAATTAATTCCTTGAGAATTTATTTAATTTGATCCAATTAAAAGAAATTACTGAATGAATCTGCGGAGTTAATTAAGGTCAATTGAATTGATTGACGGTTTTGAGCTTTGATTCAGGGATTTAATTAAATTGGTTTAGTTATTTTTTTGTAATTAAATTGGTCCAATTAAATAAAATTGGAGAAATAAATCGCAATGTCAATTAAACTGATTTTGCGCTTTGATTCGCGAATTAAATTGAATAAATGTAATTATTTCCTTGAGATTTTATTTAATTTGACCCAATTAACAGAAATTGGTGGATGAATCTGCGGAGTCAATCAAGGTTAATTGAATTGATTCGCGGTTTTGGGCTATGATTCGAGGATTTAATTAAATTAATTTAATTATTTTTTTGTAATTGAATTGATTTAATTGAATAAAATTGGTGAAATAAATAGCAAGGTCAGTTAAACCGATTTTGCAGTTTTGCGCTTTGAATCGAGGAATTAATGAAATTATTTTACCTATTTCCTTGAAATTTTCATTCATTTAGTCCAATTAAAATTGGTGAATTAATACTCGAAATTAATTTAATTCGCGGGGCCCCTCAAAGTCAATTAAATTCATTCTAGGTTTTGTGCTTTAATTCGCGAATTAAATTGAATAAATTTAATTATTTCCTTGAGATTTTATTTAATTTGATCCAATTAAAAGAAATTACTGGATTAATCTGCGGAGTCAATCAAGGTCAATTGAATTGATTCGCGGTTTTGGGCTATGATTCGCGGATCTAATTAAATTAATTATTTTAACTATTTCCTTGAGATCTGAATTTATTTTGATCCAATTAAAATTGGTGGATTAATTCGCAGAATTAATTTAATTCGGGTGGTAAATCAGGGTGAATTAAATTGACTCGCGGTATTGCGCTTTGATTCGCGAATGTAATTATTTAATTGAGAGTTTAATTAAGTTGGTCTAATTAAATAAAATTGGTGGATTAATTCGCGGGTTAATTTAATTCTTTCAGATTTTCATTAATTTGATCCAAATAAATAAAATATTGGATTAATTCGCCGAGTCAACAATTATATATATATATATATATATATATATATATATATATATTTGCGGGAGTGTGTAAGAGGTCGTCACTTTGCGGTTTCAAAAAAATGGGTTCGAATTTGTGTTTTGTTAAACATTGCGAAATTTCCACATGTACCGCTTTATAGTAAACTTGAACTAAAGTAAGTCTGGCGATAACAAGTGATACAAAAAACGCAGCCGAGCACGTGACAAAAATACGGGTTTTCTATTGGTTATTATGCTCGGAGTGTAATTCTAATGGGACTCCAAATCTGCTAAAAATCTCCTTCACCACGTCCGCAATTGTGATTTGGAAGAACGCAGGCTTCTATCCGTCGCTACTAAGATGTATTTGATTCCATTCTGTGTTCCTGGAAACGGACTTGCAATATCGATGGAGATTCTACATTGTACTGTCGCATTGGTCCTTTCCTTTTCGTCACAGGCCCAATTCTACTTGCACAGGCCGTGCGCCAGTTCTGTGCGTCCTTTTTGTATTTATCCAGACCTTTCAGGTCTTAGTCAAGCCCAAGTGTCTTCCGGATGAGCCATGACGAAGGATCTCCGATCATTTTTTGGGGAGCGACCAGTTGCATTTTAATAGTCGTCCCACCCTCGTTGTCAGCTGTTCTTTTTAAAAGACCATTTTGTATTTTCAGCGAGTCTTACTGAGCCTAATATGGCCAAAGCCAGCTCGTCCGCCTTTTCGTTGCCTCCTATTCGTAGTGCGTTGGCACATAACAACAAGCAGAAGTGCTACAATTGCGAGAGAGTTGGACACAAGCGAGTGGAGTGCTCGGACAAAGACAAAAACGTGTCAAAAGAAGAAAAGTGTTAGAGTTGTGGGGTATGATGTCAACGGCTCAGTCGTGGGGCTGACGAATGGTATTCGTCGCCCGGGACGTCGTCGTCAAGGAGCTTCCTCTGAAGGAGTCAAGGAGAGTGGCAGCTATCGATTCGCCTACTGTGAGACCTATTCCCCGATTATCATAATGTCGAAGGATGCTCGCCCTGGCAATCCAGCAGAACCTTATTCTTATTATACCATTATACCAAATGGACTTCAACTCAAAAAGACGCATATCCTATTCTTGTGTCGGTGACACTCCTGACAAAGGTCGCTGTATGTTTTTTTTCTTAGTTTGATAAATGATTGCAAAATTAACCAATTAAATATTATATCGGACGATTAACTCGAGATTTATCTATAGGCGACCTTGCGACCTTGTTGTCCTTTTTCACAATTTGGACCGGCTCTTGCACCACGATGACATAATGCCATTTAGTTTACCAGCTAATGCTTTCAACCTCATTTGAATCAAGCAAAGCAATGATACTAAGTGCGGGGATTTTACTTCTTGTTGGCATCGTAAACTGTGTTCCTTTCAAACCGTACGAGTTCAACGCGGCACCCCCAGGTATTGGCCTCAAATTAAGCGCTTAGTTTAAAATGTTACATTTAAGGTTACTACTGGAGAGAGTACGACGGAAAAATACCAGCCGACGCATTCCCCGGCGGCAGTGACAAGGATGAACTTCTCACATACATTGGCCAGATCTACCTGAAAGATTACGGACTGTTGCCGGCAACCATAACTCCAGGATCAACTTTCGCGGTCTCCTCGTCGCAGGGCAAGACGATACAGACCGACAAAGATGTCAAGGTGAGCGCCTACCGTTGCATTCCGGCCGAAATTTTGATCGTCCTTGTAGATACTCTGCAGCGTGGACCAGCATATGTTTAGGTGGGTGGTGAGCAAGATTGGAAACGAGCACTTGTTTAAAGCCGACTGTCCATTAGTAAACGGCGGTTCGGAAGCCAATCAAATCATACACATCGGACGGGTAATGCACGAAGGAGCGACTATAATCGGAAGAGTTTTCAGTTACTGGGAGATTTACAAAGGGTTGTGGATACCGCATAATGGACAACAGAAGCACTTTGATTCTTACGAAATTTTAACCTTCAATTGTCAGAGATAGGTTACGAATAAATAATTTCTTACGTTATGCGGACTTGCCGTAAATTAAACCGACTTTGTGTGTTTTCGTTCGATTTCAATTCAGTTACGCACGCTCAAAATTGTACACGTATAGAGACCAGCCACGTTGAGTTATGAAAAATAAGTAATTTTTCTATATATCAATTTTGTAAAAATGGCCATTTGTATTAGGGGTACATAATAGGTGAGAAGGTTGTATGTAATCTCCTTTTATGTAATCATGGTACAATCTCCATTTAAAAAATTGTATCAGGGTAACAGTGCATTTAAAGGTCGCGAAAATTCCGTTGGTTCCGTTTTGGCTTAGCATAAATAGCGAAGCAACAATAAAAAGAGGGAGACGGATAGCGACAATTTCATACGCATACATCTTGTCTGCGCGATTTTAATGACGGCAAGAGCTAAGTTGAATAAAAAGTTAAATCATTTATGAACTTCTTTAAGACGAAGATTATCAAAATGGTGCGTTTCTGGTTGTTGACTCGACCGCTTCTCCACCGCTACGTTCACCTATCCAGCCTCGATACGCATAAACGTTCGTGTAAATATCCGGCCACCCTAAAGCGCACGAATACCCCCACGAAATTACCCCGATTTGTCCACCGCTAGCGTTGTCCACAAGTGGTCCTCCGGAGTCACCTCCGCAAGCACCCTCTCCAGTTTTGGTAAGCGTGCAGATTTGCTCCTGTCCAACCGGCAAAGCGTTTAGTGGCAACTTTCGCTTGCATTCTTCGAGAGAAATGGTTTTCAAGCGAATGTGTTGTAATTGATCGGGAAATTCAGTCCACGGATACACTGTAGAGCCCCAGCCCGTCAGCGTGCAGTTAGTACCCGGTGGTGGATACACTTCGGTTAGTCCTACAGGTTGAATTCTGTCATTGAATATGATCTTTTCGTTCAGTTTCAGTATGGCTATGTCGTCATTCATCAGGAAGAGTTGAAAGTCTTCGTGGATGATGGCCTCACGAACGGTGTAGTTGGTCTGCTGGCTGTCAATCAACCTGTTAGTCCCGGCAACTACGGTCATATCCTTGACATTCTCACTGGAAGCGCACTTTGAAACGGGTGAAAATGACAGACCACATACCCCGAAACACAATGAGCAGCTGTCAGCACATGTCCGTCGTTAATAATCGACCCCCCACAAATGTGTCCCCAATCCTGCAGCCGTATCGAGATTTGATAAGGGTAGGCCCTATCGGGCGCGGTGGAGCCTCCGACCACCCTACCATTTGCAAATGCGCTTTCGACCGAATGACCTACAAAATGCGTCGGATCGGATATCAGGTTCACTCCTAAACTCACCCCAAATCCCCAAGAGGAGAAGGCAAACGGTAGCGAGCGTCATATTCGGAACTCTATCACTAAGTGAACATATGGCAATTTTATAACGTAGTCATGTGGGTTAATATTTAACGTAGATAACACTCTGGTTATCAAGTAAGCTCATATTTTGTTTAATTATCAAAATGATCTACCATACCACAAGATGGCCAAAAAAGGCAATACGATAAACGCTGACGTCACGCCCCTTTCACTCTCTTCCTCATCCCCACCCTGTTAACTATTTCAGATTTCCATCATATATTTATTCATTCACATTTTTTACGCTCCTTTCATGACGCCCTCCCCGTCCCATTACAACGCCCCCTCCCCTAAGTCTCCTGTACCAGGAGATCGCATTCAACTTTAAACAATTTTTGTTAAATTTACAAATTTGGTGGTACAGAAATGTGTATACGTGTACCACTTTATAATGAAAGGGAACCGAACTTATATTCGAGAAAAGATTTGGTGGGAGAGCGGGATTCTTAGCCGAACCCACGTTAGTTGTGGGAGCCAAATTTTACATCGCTTAATATTAATTCGTGATTGAACTTTAAAAGCGAAACAATATTATGTTACGTGGCGTGGTGAAAGAGGCGATCGGACGGCTGATATCCGTGAATATTGCGGAGCGCTACCGTACAAATACGTAAGCGAACATTTTTTCGTTTCAGGGCATTATTGGATTAAAATGTTCGCGGTTAAATAAGTTGATACTACGAAAGCGTTGGGATCCAAGGTGGAAAACGATCAATTGCGCTAGATTTAGAGTGGCTACTTTATTAATCACATTCGTGCACCTACGTTATTAATTGAAATTATGAACAAAACGACTACCGGTAAAAAGTTTAAAAACAATTAATTCAAGCTTCTGTTTGCTGTTAAATCCCCAAGTTACAAGAATACATTTTTGACATTTCCACATTGCGGAATTACTGGGGATAACCCAAAGTTCTACTAATTGAGTCAAAGTAAGCCTGAAACATGGTTGGTTCCTGAATCAAATCAAATGCGAAATTAATGCTCAACATGTAACCCAATTCAACTGGTTTTTACAGGAGCTTCACATTTCTGGGCACCTTTTTACGCCCTTTTTACCTACCCTCTCACTGTTTGTGAGACGTATTGGTCGATTAATTTAATTATAATTACAATATCAATGACGTCAACAATTAAATCAAATGTCAATAAGCTCAATCTTTAATTAATTAATCAAATTAAAGTCCAAATTCAAAGAAATTTCTAGAATGAATCAAATTATCCCCCCGAAAATACCCTCGCCCTCGTGGGCGATTTTTGAATTTCCCGCCGTTGGCCTCCATTTTGTTTTTATGTGAAAAAAAGATGGACAAATTTCAAATTTGCGACCATTTTTTCAGCCATTTTGCCTTCAATTAAAGGGCAATTAAATGTGTGTAATTATTATACCGCGAATTCAATTAGTCGAACCGTGAATCAAATGGGTTAATCCGCGAATTAAATAATTAGAAATTAAAGGGCAATTACATGTGTGTAATTTATTATTCATTATACATGGTGTAATTATTGTACAGCGAATTAAATTAATCGGTCGCAAATTAAATTAGTCGAACCGCGAATTAAATGGATTAATCCGCGAATTAAATTAATCGGCCTGGAGATTGATCTTATAATCAATTTAATTGATGACATCATCAATCAAATTAAATGCCAATAAGCTCAAAATCGCACCAATCTTTAATTAATCAAATCAAAGTGCAAATTCAAAGAAATTCCCAGAAGGAATCAAATTATCCCCCCTAAAACCCTCTCGCTCAGGTGGGAAATTTTTGAATTTCCCGCCGTTTGGCCTTGTTTTTATGTGTAAAAAAGAGATGAATCAATTTTAAATTTACCGCCATATCTTTGCAGACATTTTTCCTTCAATGAAAGAGCAATTACATGTATGTAATTATTCATTATGCCTGTATTGTACAGCTAATTAAATTAATCGAACCACCAAATTAAATTAATCAAAACCGCGAATTAATCGACCTGCGGATTAACCTTGTATTAATTTAATTGATGACGTCATCAATTAAATCAAATGTCAATAGGGTCAAAATCGTACCAATCTTTAAATAATTAATCAAATTCCAAATTTCGCTCAGGTGGGCGACCCAGCGAATAAATTTAATTGACCTTGACTGACCCCGCGAATAAAATCCAAGATGGCCGATAGGTGCCCGCCTTCTACTAAGACCTGGCCACGGTCAAGAAGCTAATGGATTGTTTCTTTGTAGAAAGTTTAGCTACAGATGTGCGAGGTATGGACGAGTACACTGGTCTTAAAGAATCTGAAATCATAATTATCGCCAAAGTCCAAATGGAGTTACGCTGCTAGGAGCATACGAGTCAGTGAGAAGCGAAGTGAGAAGAAAATATGAATGAAATCACTTCTGTTATGGGACCGAAGTGGGACATGAATTGTTTTGCCAGTGAAAATTTCATTGGCAACTGCTCCGAGTTTATGTCACAAGATCTTCGATAACTCGGATTTGTTAATAATACAGGGTAATAAAAATAATCTCCGACCTCTAACTGCCTTCTATCGTCAACCGTTGTCACAACCGGATGACTACAAAGTAATTGGGTCCAAAATTAGCGACTGATATTTTTCTGCGGGGGTAGCCAAGAAACCCCCTCTAAAAGTACTACATAAAACACCCATCTCTAAATCCCAATCACACCTACCTCTAATCCACGAGAGGGTGTAGAAACCAATTAATAACGAATGACTGAGTTAATAAAAATGTGGAGCCCTATCAAACTGCTCGTGGATGTTACGGGGGTTCTCCAACAAGTATGATTATACCATGAACAATAATAATGGGTTCTTCGTAATGGAAAAAATATATCGTTACATATACTATGCGTAATTTCGTGTTTGTTTACCCACGTATACCCGTGTCCACCGTTTACTTTGTAAATTCAAATTTTCATAATAACCACCATGAGCGAGTCAAAAAAGATAATAATAATACAGTTGGAAAGTAAAGTGGGGAGGTATAAGTACTAAAGGTGGTTGGACTTGTCACCTTTAGTGCCCATTGATCGCCTTTTACAATCTCCAGGGCGGGAGTGGGCCTATTCTATCCCCGAACCCACAGGGGTTACCTATAATAATAATAATAGTCTTTATTTCCCACAGACACACGCATATACATGATATGCAATGAAGAGAACAAAAACATATAAATTGTATTTTTTGTGTCAATTAAATCTTTTTTTTTTCAATTATACTGTTCGTCGCATTAACATATGGCGCCCGAGCACGGACTTTGATGGGTGCAGCACGAAATGAAGAATCCAGAAACGCAAAAGGAAGTAACACGTATTATGTTCTACTGATACGCGTCTTTCTTTTAAAGGTTGTAGTATCAGGAGAAAAGAAATGCAACGAGTGAGATAAATTCTTTTTTTTGTTTGCTGCCGACTAGCGAGAAGGCGACGAGTCAGGCAGGGATAGGTGGGGCCTTCAATTTTTGCTCAAGGCAATTTCGATTCATACCCAATCAGGGTTGAAGGCACCCAAGGAGGAATGATAGAGGTTGTACTATTTCAAAATCTTTATTTACAAATCTTATCCTCAATATAGCTCACCTTCTCTTGTGCTTTTAATGGCATAAACTCATTCCAGATAACCTAAAAGACCTCAACACGTACAACTGCCACTATTTGACCCGACTTACCAGTATGGGTTCGTAACCTAAACTCTTTAGCAGTCGAGTCTTCATGTGTATAAGTCCTAGAGGTTTGTTGGTGTCTCGTATGCACGCGTTCCAGTTGACAGGGACGATTGCGTACCAGGTCAGATCTTTAGAGGGCGGACGCATCAGATCGCCCAGTTGGTAGGCGTCAAATCCAGATGGTGTCACGAAGCGATCACCGTCCCTACAAATGATAATGTCTACAAGAATAGCGACGAGTGACTTGCACCTGTACAAACCTGATTTGGCGAAGTTGGGCAGAATGTGGTCGGCGTGCAGATTGTGATTGCCGTTAACCATTTTCGCTACGGCGTCGGTGACGTCCAACACGAATCGGTCAGCTGCCGTCAACTTTTTAAACTGATCCAGTGTTGGCGTGTACTCCACCAACCATTTGGCGGCTTTGCGCCTGTACGTGGGATCTAGACGGTTGCCGACGTAGTCGGGACACTCAACGTCTATGCAAACGTCAAGCGAAAAGATCTCTCTAGGTAGTTTCTTTGGGGATTTGCCTTGAAAGAGCCGTCAAATGTGGACTTCCAGAGGTTTACTCACCATACAGCTCGAGAATGTACTCTCTGTCTAAAATCTTGCTCATAAGCTCGTGCAAGTACATCTTCTTTATGCTCAAAAAGTTTAACACGCACGCCAGAGACCGCGGAAACTTCATGAACTCCAAGCGGCGTTCGGGACGATCCACCTCCTCCAAAATCGCTTGGAAAATATCGCGTTCGGTTTTTGGGGTATAATGGAACATGGTCAAGGCGAGCAGAAGCCTCTCGATGTCCTTCACGCGCACGGCCTCAGTGTTACTAAGATCCCGCAACACCTTTTCGGCGACCCTCTGCAACGACTCCTCGTGGAAGAACTGCAGCGTCGTCCCCAACAAAGCTATATGCGTACACGCCGTATTCGACAGTCGATCGACCTCCGACACCAGGTGATCGAGCAAATCCATCAGCTGATCGACGAGCAGCACGCTGGACGAGTAGCGCAGCACCTGAAAACAAGCCGACTGCATCAACAACATCGCGCCAGTACCCGTACTTTCAATACGGCCGTCGCAGTAATCTCGTGGGCGCTCGCCCTTTCCGCTTTTAACGTTTCCATCATTTGCTTTAGGATGTACGTTAGGTGGATCGGCCTTTGACTTTTAAAGCAGCCCATCGCGATCACCGCCATTTCGTCGACCGACAGCTCGCCGATGTACTGCTCGATCGCACCGTCGAAATCGTAATTGAAACTTCGACGGCAAATGTTTATGAAGAAAAACAGTCGGACCAACTGCGATTTGGTCAGGATATCACCGGATGTGATTATTCGTTCGATGAAGTGCGTCGTGTACTTGCCCACTCTACCTATAAGTCGTCGAAACTGTTTTAAGAACTGGCGACTAAGAAACGAGTAAATGGCGCCCGAGCAGGGACCGACAAGGTAGCACCCTTTCTGAGCTAAACGGGTGATTTTAACAGATTTTCAATGAATTCGCCCAAACTCCCAAATTTGACTGATCTTCACGTCGGCGACTTCCGACGAAATGCTTTGGAAATGAGTAGGAAACCCCCCTTATAAGACTGAAGAAATAGCAACTTACTTGCACAATGTTTCGAACGCAGTACTCTGGCACGGTTCGAGCTTCCTCCTTGAGTTTGGCGACAAAAGTCGTCGCCATCAAATCGAGCTTAAGCTTCGTGTCTAGTTTCACGTGCACCATCGAGACCAGCGCGATCTCGTCGACGCTCAAATCGCCAACGTAATCGAGCGTCGCGTGTCGAATCTCGAAGGTGAGCTTGTGCCGTTTGTGAATTTTTAAAAAGAAATAGAGGCGCATCAGCTCGTCTTTCGACAACGACGCCACCCGGCGAGACATGCGATCAATAACGTTATACAAGAAATCGCTCAGTTTACCTAAAACGTCAGTCTTACAGGCGGGGGGCCCCGTATGCGAGTTGGTAACGTACCCAAATTAAGCCGGTACCAGTAGTCGGCGAAGACGAACGTCGTTTCCAGCGGCCAGTTGTTCAGCTTCCAGCAGCAGACGTCGTCGAGCGCGCTCCAGACGTCGTGATAGTTGCGGGCCGCGTACGAGTCGCAAACCGGCAGCCGGATTAGGCAGTGGAACAGATCGCACAAGTTCGAATCGGTGAGGTGCTGGATGTTATCCATCAAACCGTCCACTAGCTTATCGAAACGGGGATCCGCCAGGTTTATGTCGTGCTCCGTGCAGTAATTCAAGACGCTCTTGAAGCAATCCACAATTTCCGAGGCGGTTTTCGTTCGCCAGTTTTGGTTTAATCGGTTATCAAAGTCGTATAGATTGTCGATACTGTTTGTTATCGAGAACACAGGCACGTTTTTGGTGGTTGGAAGTGACTGTATGATATTGTAGGCGTACACATTTTCAGTATCTCGGTAAATTGCCAGAGACGGTGAGGATGTGTGTAGGGAAGCAATTTGGGTAAAAGTTCGATTATTTTGTTTATAACGTGTACGTAAAACATGCGTTTGTGAATATAACTTAAGCACTGGTTTAAACTTATTGCTAACATTTTTCAAACACGACACTAACATTGCGAAATTAAATTGAAACTGTGAGGTTATGTTATGCGTAGATGTAATGCATTTTAAAGGTGCATTTGAACTATTCATAGTTTAGATGTCATAATCGCAAGGTTGCCACTTTTACAAAAACACGGGTAGCATAGATAAAGCAATTCCCTTGCAGCAAATGGAAAAAGTTCGTTTTATTACAGTCTGGAAGTGCGGGTGGTAAATATGGCTTACTGGTATCAATCGGACTTGCTGTCTGACGACACGCGGTACCCTCTGCGGTAAAGAAATTCTTCCCCGCCCCTAAAATAGTAAATGTGATCCTAAACAAGTATAAAAAAGTAGGCAACAATCGGAACGTGTGGAATGCGCCCGTTATCCTATTAGTTCTTTTGTCCAGGGTTAGCAACGTGTTTAACGTGACGCCGTCAGCAGATGTACTCTGTGGCTCTGTTTGCATACAGTTCAATTTCGATTAGAATTAGTTAAATAATGGCCATTACCTTATGGAACTTATTCGAAGCGTCCTTATTATGCCTAAATGCCGTTTGCGTATTGCACGAGGAGAGGTTTTTAGTTAAAAGTCAGTCTAGACATGTGAACATAACCTAAAAATTTGACTTGGTATTTTCTTGTAGTCGGCTGGAGCTCCAAAAGCCCAAACGTGCAGGGATTCGGTGAGCATCCGACCGTCAAAGGGCAGATATTAAATTTAGTATATTCCATACGAACAGTGGCTAGGAGTAAGTAGTTTCGGTACGTTGTTCACACGTGACGATTTTCGTTTCAGTTCCGTTAATATTGGTCAATATAGTGACGATATTAATAAAACTTGTACTCGGATAATGTGCGCAGGTGTAGGTGCTGTAAATATGTATTATTTTTGTAATGCCCTCTTAATAAAATGAAACTTATAAATAATGATATAGAATCATAATCTATCTACAGGGTGTACATGTATTTACACTTCGAATGACTATGGCTATTTAAAACTGTAATTCTCTTAAAGGTTCTTAAAAAATTCCAAGAAGACTTTGAACATCCTTGCACCTCTTGAAGGCCCTTAAAGACTAAAAGCATTTTAGATGTTCTTGAAGAACTGATTCTTAAAAAGGCTCGAACCATAGGATATTGCAGAAAACTCTAGAGCGTCTTTAACAGTTTTAGTGTATAATCAATGCGCATATGTTTAAAAAGCCTGAAAAGACCTTAGTGAATGAATTTAAACGATTCATCAAGGCAAGATCCTTAAGGAATCATTAAAGGTTCTAAGATTTAAAGATTAGGAGATAGAAATGCAAAGGAAGAGTTGAATGTAAAATAATGAAAGGTAAGGTAACAGGTTGAGACACGTGGAAAAAAAAGCTTGAAGGAGGAAGGTAGGTATAAAGCAGGAAAAAGGTTCTTTTACCAACTTAAAAGTAATCATGAAATATGGAGTAACATATCCTCGCATTTCGACCAAATTATGTTAACTTTGTATTACGGTTGTGGAAAATTTAGAGTTTCCCCCGCAATTTTTGTTGTTGAAAACTCATAATTATGGGATTAATAACGTCGCGTAACTCTTAGGATCTCTAAAACATGATTCAGTGGTTACACCTACATGTTTGTATATTGGATTTCATTATTTAACTGTAAAATAAACTTAAAATGCGTTATTAAAATGGACGTAATAACGGAAATATAGTTTTAAAAGTAAAATAAGATAAAGCCCCATATCACCTCCTGTAATTATGCGGAAATATTAATAAACATATTTCTCTAAAAATTAAATTGGCGATTTTGAGGGGCCCATAGGCGCAAAATACGTAGATGCGACCCCGGTTGACAAGAGGTGAAACGCGTAAGCCGAAAATAAGTTTAAATTAAATCTAAAAAATATGTTCATGCAAAAGAAAAATGTACTTTAATTTTGTGTATTATTTATTTTCTATAATTAATAATAATCTATATTTTTTAATAATTTTATTTATGTTGAAACCATTAAGAACCGATATATATATATATATATATATATGTATATATATATATATATTTTCGAAATTTGTATTTGGTCCATAACTTTTGATTGAGACGTCTGATCGAATAAGTACAAATCGTTTTGGATTCTACGCACCAAAATTAGTGAGAAAACGTGTTTTCCCGAGAAATTTTGGAGCAGTCGATTTTTGGAATAAAAGGAAGGTATAACACTGCCTTTTTTTGAGGCCGGAAAAAAAAATTGTCTGAGATCGACCGGGAAAAAACATTTTCTTATAGAGTTTGGCCCGTAGAATCCATAATTTCAAACAGTTCCAAGATTGGACTACTAGATCAAAAGTTACAGCCCTTTGAACTTTATGTATATATATATATATATATAGTTCGAAATTTGTATTTAGTCCATAACTTTTGATTGAGACGTCTGATCGAAAAAGTACAAATCGTTTTGGATTCTACGCACCAAAATTAGTGAGAAAAAGTGTTTTCCCGAGAAATTTTGGAGCAGTCGATTTTTGGAAAAAAAGGAAGGTATAATAACACTGCCTTTTTTTGAGGCCGGAAAAAAAAATTGTCTGAGATCGACCGGGAAAAAACATTTTCTTATAGAGTTTGGCCCGTAGAATCGATAATTTCAAACAGTTCCAAGATTGGACTACTAGATCAAAAGTTACAGCCCTTTGAACTTTATGTATATATATATATATATTTTCGAAATTTGTATTTGGTCCATAACTTTTGATTGAGACGTCTGATCGAAAAAGTACAAATCGTTTTGGATTCTACGCACCAAAATTAGTGAGAAAAAGTGTTTTCCCGAGAAATTTTGGAGCAGTCGATTTTTGGAAAAAAAGGAAGGTCTAACACTGCCTTTTTTTGAGGCCGGAAAAAAAAATTGTCCGAGATCGACCGGGAAAAAACATTTTCTTATAGAGTTTGGCCTGTAGAATCGATAATTTCAAACAGTTCCAAGATTGGACTACTAGATCAAAAGTTACAGCCCTTTGAACTTTATGTATATATATATATATATTTTCGAAATTTGTATTTGGTCCATAACTTTTGATTGAGACGTCTGATCGAAAAAGTACAAATCGTTTTGGATTCTACGCACCAAAATTAGTGAGAAAAAGTGTTTTCCCGAGAAATTTTGGAGCAGTTGATTTTTGGAAAAAAAGGAAGGCCTTTTTTTGAGGCCGGAAAAAAAAATTGTCTGAGATCGACCGGGAAAAAACATTTTCTTATAGAGTTTGGCCCGTAGAATCCATAATTTCAAACAGTTCTAACATTGGACTACTAGATCAAAAGTTACAGCCCTTTATATATATATATATATATATATATATATATATATATATATCACTGCATAAAATTGAAAATCGTACTCGTCTGTCAAAAGTCCTTGGAATATTGTTTCTTGCCTATAACTGTTGACATGTTGAAGCAATCTTCACCTACATCTGCGATTCGTTTAGATTTTGACTTGTGGAATAATCCAAATCGCTCAGAAAAGTGAAAATGGGTTATAGGGCTTTGTATTTGTGGAGAAAACCTAAAACAAGCGTGGCCGCGCAGCCGATAAAGGTACATGATAAATGTTTCTATAATCTGTCCAAATAAAACGCACACTTATAAATAATTATACTTTATTAATACTTTAGTGACAAGGGTGATGACGGAATGAAATCATAAATTAGTCTTAAATTAGGAACACTTAACAATTAGTCGGTGAGCTGAAATCGAACGTACAGTGTAGAAACGCCCCCCACAACTGTTAACATTTACTTACCAATTCTCGGCCGTCGCGAAAAGCACATCGGCTCGTGTCTTGACGAAGTAAATCACTATCATCGACATGATCATCGTGATCGAGCCGATCGCGAGCGTGAACCGCTCGTGCGCGGGCGCCGGCTTTAGGAACATGCGCACCGTCAGGTCCTTCCACGTCGACTCGCTCCACGAACTGTATTTGCCCGACTTCCAGTCGTAGTCTGCAAGAGAGCCGTCAGCGATTCATTGAAAATTCGAAGCGCTTACCGTCGATTATGAACGCGGGGCTGACCGCCTCCGAAAAGTTCATGGTGGTGCGGTAGCAGAGGGTCGAATTTAAATTGTCCAGGCTTTCGGACATGTTGAAATATTGGTAGAGCTGCGAAAAATTCTTTTTGTTATTAAGTGGCCGCGCTGCGGGATGTACTCACAGGCGTGTGGTTTTCTTTGACGCACAGACCCGAATCTGGCATCACATCTCCGGTCAACCAAGCTAACGTCAGGCCGATGGCGTACGTTAGCAAATTGGGCACGACGGTCACGCCGACGTACAAGCCGTAGCTGTTGTAGGGAGTTTCGCGCAGTTTCTAAGACGAAGACGAAATTTATCTGCGGTCGCTACGAGCGACGCGAACTTACCTTTCTCTGGACGGCCTGATGCACCTTGCAGTCGGCGTCCAACAGGTAGCAGTTGTACAATTCGTCAACCTGAAAGAGGAAAGCGGAGGGCGTAGTCATTTACTAAGATTTTGCTACAAAAAAAATATTACGGACGTAACAATTCGACAGGCGCAAAATGGACGTAATCCTGATAGAGGCGCAAAATAGGCGCGTATACCGCTTCATAGTAAACGTGAACGAAAGTGTGTCTGGCGATAAGAGCGATAAAGATGCGCATTTCGAAAACGCAGGCGCGATCTCAACCGTGAAGTTGAAGCTACCTTTTCCAAGGAAGGATATATCAATTGTAACCCGAAGAAAACCTCAGACTCATCAATAACTGTAAGTTACCTTAGATTGTTGATTTGTATATTAGTTTTAGAAATTTTTTATTTAACGTAATCATAATATTCCTAAAGGAACCGACCTGTGAAAATCAATCCTGACTTACCAGTTCAATTCTGACCCGCTCGCCGCCACTGTAATTCCTTCCCACGATCTTGCTATAAATTGATCTCGCCAGCATTTCGGAAACATTGGCGGTGAAGCTTTGGATGCTGTCGGGGGGTATGGTCGAGTAATCGGATGTGTTGTAGTAGTGATAGTCGACGTTCGACACGTTGTCGAAGATCGAATTGAAAAATTTGTTAACGTAGGCGTCTTTGTAGTTCGCGATAACGGCGCCGCGCAGCTTCGCGTTCTCCTTCAGGAACGAGTGAATGGAGGCGGGCGGTATGGAACCGTCGACGGTTTCCAGTCTGGAAAAGTTGTTGTTCGACTGTAGCGTCGAGAAGAAGTCGCTCTTCTGCAATGAGAACGTTAGAGGTGGGAGGATATCGGTGGGCGGTCCTAACCTCAGCGGTATTGTGGACGAAAATCCCGTCGCCTTTTGATAGGTGGCTTAGCTCAAGATAAAGTTCGATGTCCTTGACGCGAATCAGCGGCATTGGATTCGTCTCCGACTCAGACTTCAGTGGAAACTCGCCGCGTTCCATGTCGTAGACCACACGTTGGGAACCAATGTAGTCGTAGGTTTCGCCGTTGAACAGTAAGAATAGTACATTCATTTCTGCAAGTACGCCTCTGATTAATATAAACAGAAATGATAAGCACGTCTTTTGGTATTCTCATGAAATTGAAATTAAACACATGATTGAAGAATACCACAGATGAAGGAAGCTGAGCGATAGGCCTATAGCTACTCGAGCGAGGGCAGAAACCGAGCATATATCATGAAAAAAACACACTTTACATATGATGAACGAATAGCGCGAGGCGAGGCGGCGCAGCCGCCGGAGCCGAGCGTATGTCTTATCAATAATACCACACTTAAAAAATGTGAAGAATGAATAGGGCAAGGCGAAATCGAGGCATGAGCTCATAAACAATACCTCACTTTCAAAAATTTGACAAATGAACAGCGTGAGGTGAAGTCAAGCTATGGACTCCTATTTACTTGAGCGAGGCGAGGCGGCGCAGCCACAGAAACCGAGCATTTATCATGAAATAAATTACACTTTAAAAAAAAATGATGAACGAATAGCGCGAGGCGAGGCGGCGCAGCCGCCGGAGCCGAGCGTATGTCTTATCACTAATACCACACTTGAAAAATATGATGAATGAACACAGCTAGGTGAAGTTGAGCCATGAGCTTATAAACAATACCTAAAATTTGACGAATGAACAGCGCGAGGTGAAGTCAAGTTATGGACTCCTACTTACTCGATCGAGGAGAGGCGGCGCAGCTGCTGGAGCCGACCATATGTCATAAAATATATCACAATTTAAAAATTGGAAAAAATGAATAGCGCGAGGCGAAGCTGATCTATATGGACTCATATCTAGGTGAGCGAGACGAGGCGCTACAGCCGCCTCGGAGCCGAGCGCATGTGTTTCTTTAAATACGGAAGACAACGAGAAAACAAGGTTGCCAAGTTTCGCGTCGGTGAAAGAGCGTGTAAATTTGTTTACGCTAAATTTCGAGCAGTCAGCCCTATTTTGTCCACTACATGGTCTAAAGGTTCTCTTCTTAGTAAGTTTGTACCATCCCAACAGCCACCGAAAATGTTATTTTATTCATCAAGCCAGTTTGGTTTGTTATCTAATTTTGTGTTATAAAGCAAAGAGAAGTTCAAAAGCTGTCAGGATTTGTGAGCGAGTTAAGTACGCCTAGTATCGCAAACCTTGTCCCACCTATTTGGATTATTAAGAAAAAATCTCACACTTTATTGATTATAAAAAAAAAAGAAAAAAACTAAGTGATTTTAAAATTTCTTAATTCAACTGTCGCCCGCCTGTGTGCGGGGTAATATCTCCAAACAAGCTTTGTAAGCTTTCAAGGATTTTGTTTTAACTTTTTATGTGTTTGGGAATTAATTTAAGTTATTTGGATTTCTCCTTGTGGCAGATGCTGGAAATGTACGAAAAAATTCTAAGTTTTGATTTTGATTTGTTTTGAGCTAGCTGGACAGGTGTCTTGTGGGTGGTGTACTTGCCCCAGTGCCCCAATGCAAGATTACTATCACCTACCGTAATTATGGACGTCCCGCACCATCCGTTTTAAGTAATCAGCCGTGCTTAGAAATGTGACCAGACTGGCAATCGGGCTGGCGGCGCCCGGAAACACTCCGTTAAACAACGACGTAGTATCGAGACGCGCCGCCAACGCCACAAAGGACTTGCTCCTCGCTCGCTCGTCGTCCATTGGAAACAGCGTGGACCACACGTTCTCGCCGCCGAGCGGATCGCAGAACTTGACCGGATTGAGGTTGGTCTTCGACTGCGAACGTCTACGGCACGTGGGCGTGTTCGTCGACGCGAACATGAACGCGTCGAGCTCGACCGAGCACAGCGACCGTTTGCTGTGCGTCTCGTACGAGTAGTTGTTGAACTTGCTGAAGCACGCTTTCATCCTGTCTAAATCGTCGTCGTTAACGTAGTGCACCGGAAACGGCAGGTCCTGATAAAGAATGCCGCTGCCGTCCGGATTCCACGCCGTATTGCAGGTCTTGTCGACGTTCGACATTTGGTTGGGGCAGCTGCGCTCGTGCGTGTAGCTTTCCAACGCGGAGTTGTTGTACAAGACGATCCCGGTGATCAGATTCTTGTCGAGTATTAGCTTTAAAGTCGACGGTTTGAGGAGCTGCAGAGGCATCACCGGTATGTAGCTGCTACCGGTGCCGTTCTCCATTATAAAATTGAGATCGGACAAAGTCTCCACGTAATGTATGATACCGGTCGACCCGCCTTTCTTAGCTGAAATCATTCGGATTAGACGATGGGGAGTAGGTAGGGATTAGGGCTTACATGAGCAACCCACTTGATGTGTGGCATTTAGTCTACGAAAGCAAGTGGTTCGACCATCGAAGATCTCGTACATTTGATCCTTTGTGCGTTCGGCATAACCTTAAAAGGCGGATTAATTGTCGCTGCGCTGAATTTGTTTATTTACCTGAATTTATTAGGCATAATTTTAAAATTATTATGAGAAAGTCTTTTAAATTCATGACTCATAATTTCTTTTCTCTCCTATTTATTTTTTCATGAGTTGAAATTCGGAAAGCCAACATTAATCAAATCAATGCTACCAACCGCACGACAAAAAAAAATTCTATTTCCACCAGGTGTATACAGGGTGTAGCATAAGTCAGAAAAAATGATTTCTAGAAAAATAAACTTTAATTCTTCATTCAATTGAATCATAATTCGTATAAATTAACTAATGATCTTCCTGAGTGAAAACTACTCAACTGACCTGCTTGACTCCTTAACGGTGCTCTCCGACATGTGCGATTAAACTGTTTTTCGCCGTCTTCCGACACACTTTAACGTGCCTATTTAAATTACTGTGCCATTTCGTGGAGAACTCGCACATTTCGCATTTCACTTTGTTCGCGTCGGTGCCATGGCGCGAGTTCAAATGCCGCTTAAGGTCCCCCTTGCTTTTGGAGTGGTACTCACAGCGATCGCAGTTAAAACGATCCGTGCCGTGCTTCCACCGCACGTGCTTGGCGAGGTTCGTGTTCCACTTTGTGACGTAGCTGCAATGTTTACACTTGAATTGCTTCGAACTGTGGCGGCCCTTCACGTGGTAGTTCAAGTACGGCTGGTAGCTCGTGGTGTAATCGCACTGTTCACATTTCAGCACTTCCGGACTGTGATGTTTCCTCATGTGCGCGTTTAGAAATTTTTGCCTTTTTGCCGTGAAGGTGCACAGATCGCAGTTAAACACGTCGAAACCGTGTCGTCCTTTCACATGTTGGACGAGGTTTTCCTTCGCTTTAGTGTTAAAATCGCACTGTTGGCATTTAAATTCGGTCCAATCGTGACAGGACCTCACATGTATGCTCAGACTGGCCCTCCATTTAGTGGTGAACTTGCAACGTTCACATTTAAACAATGCAAACCCGTGCAGCGATTCAATGTGACTCATCAAGTTAGATTTCCGACTAGCCGTGTAATTGCATAGTTCACATTTAAAGTGTCTGGGACCATGGGTGCCAGTTATGTGCGAAATGATACACTCTCTCGAATTCGAAACGTAATTGCACTGTTCACATTTAAATTCTCTCGGATGAGTATCTCTCACGTGACTGTTGAATTGTTGTTTGCGACCCGTAGCGAAATCACACTGTGCACATTTGAACTGTTTCGAATCGTGCCACTGCTCCGTGTGTCTGAGTACGTTACCTTTCCACTTGGAAGTATAGTCACACCGATCACATTTAAATTTAGGCATCGCACGATGCACTTTTAAATGCTCAATTATGGCCTTTTTCCGTTTTGCGGTGAAGATGCAGTGATGGCAGTTAAATTGAAACGAAATACTAGAGCTCACCTCTTTAACCAAGGCCTGCTTCGTCTCCTTACAGTCCTTTGAAGATGAATAAGCTGTCTCTAAATGGGGATTTGGCTGTCTCACTGCGGCACGACGACGAATTGCTCTGCCATAGCAGTCGTCCTTATTTATAACAAAATCCTGTGGCGTAAGCGTGAGATACCACTCTAACTCGTCTTCCACCTTTATCTCCATCTGGTCATTTTCGAGCTGTGGCGCTCGTCTTTTGTTCAACAAGGCATTTGTCGACATGCTTGCTTAATCAAGTAACATGCGGGAACACAAAACAGAAAATTAAACAGGAAGATTTGCGTTACCTCCAAAAACATACAAACACAAACAAACTTTAGCGCCCTCTAGGGAATGACCTATATGCCAGCGGTTCCAAACACAATGGTGTCATCCTCCGGAAGTTCACAGGGATAAAAAAAATGTTCTGGAAACCAGGTTTTCTCTACCGCACGTGCCAGACGGATCTGTTTCCAACTCCTGCAAGCTTTCTCCATACTTCTGCAGGCGGTTCTTCAGTTGCTCGTAATCTTGCAGTGGTTTCGAGACTGTTCGCAACAAAGGGCGCCCCCTTAGAATGCCAAGATGAGAGTAGTCGTCCTCTCTGCGTCGTTCCATTTATTTGCAGTAAACAATTGCCTCGCGCCTTGACGGGTAATAGCGAATCCACTCGCAGGATGGCGCCACTCGTCGTGGTCACTTGGGCCATCTGTGATCAAGAGCAGGGATTCTACCTTGCCGTCCACATCCACTGTTGTTGGCCACTCTTCACTTCTTGAAATAGTTGGAGCACTTTTTCTGCCATTTTAGCCACGGCAGACCCACTAAATTACTTGTTTGACCCCACACCTGACACCTACGTGTACTAAAATGCTAGAGAATGAGGCACGTTCTGCTACACCTTTACAAGTATAAAAAACGTAATCGAAGTTTGGTTCTAGGTAGGCCCGTTTCGGGCATTACGCGTGAAGCGTAAACAACGTTCATTTATGTCGCGAGGAGCCTTTGGAAAGATGCCCTACATTCTGACTTTCCGAGATCTCTTCTGTTTTCCTGGGCTTTTTCTAAACAATTTTGGAGTGTTTAGAAGACTTGACAACAGCGCACCTCCAGTCACCGTGCCAGGCGACACCTCTAAAAGGGACTTCACTCAACCCATGGCTGTCTACGTGAAGACAAACTGCATTGTACTGCTCTAAAAAACACAGCGCTCCGAGAGAGCTCGATAAGCTATAAAAGGCCCTCTAGAATTCACCTCAACTCTATGGAAAGCAATTTTTCCAGGATCTCATAAGAATCTAGCCCCCCTTTCAAAATTGCATCAATCTGTGCTTCGTAGAACTATCTCCAGAGCGCTATGGAGCGTTTCGTATCGTTCTTAGAACTGCAAAAGTTCTAAAAATACAGAGGTCTCCAGAATCCTTAGGTGTACTGGGAAACCGATCAGGTAAGATGGCTGCTGAATAAAAACAACGGTGATTTTATAGAATTGGCAACCACGCACGCGGCCATTTTTGTAACAGATCCGCTTGCGCCATCTACAAAGGATTCTGAAACAGGTTAATATGAAATATACTTTAATAAAAAAAATTAACCAATATCAAACCCTAAAATACTTTCTAAATTATACCCGAACAATTTAAAATCGAACTCGTACATCCTGTACAACTGCTCGATATCCTTTAAGGACAGCTGCCGCAGATATTGCTTCAATCGTTCCGAGGTCTGTCCGGACTTCGACCGCGGAAATAGAACGGAGGGTGCGTTGATCATCTTCAATATCACGTCGGAGTCTTCGTCGAGCTGCTCGTATTTGCCAATGAACGTGTAGTTAATGACGCAGGGGTGGCACAGCTCGTAGATCGGCTTCCAGTGCTCGTTCGCGACGTCGTTGCGTATGCCCTCCCTAATTAAGTACTGGGCGAACTCGCGAAAGGTCACGTTGTCGCCGTTCTCCAAATCGCGTCGCGTCGCGTTCGCGCGGTAATTTTTTACGATGTACCTTCCGACTCTCGCCTGAAATGCCACAGTTTAAAATTGAGCGATCGCGAGGTGGGTACCTGGAAATATTTCGCGCTCGGAAGCGTGTCCTCCAGCTTGTTTCGGTAGGCAGATAGCACCCTTTCGAACGGCTGACGGACGATGACGAAGCTGAGGTAGTGGTTTAAGTAATATTGGGCCTCTTTGGTAGTGTACTCGGATAATCGAATAAGTGAGGAGTTCGCGTGCGCGAGACTCGCCGGAATGTCCATTAAGTTTGTCGCGTTCGCGCGCTCGGTTAGTACCATTAGAACACGTTTCCAATTGGTACAAGCGACCTAAAAATAGAAAATAGATAACGTTTATTTAATAATGGAAGGAACAGAAATCATAAATTTGCTCATGCCACGATGTACACCATTTAATTATGGGTGAAAGCACAATCGCTTTGGCCAAATTCACTTTTCACTGAGAACGAGGGGCATTCTACCTAGTGTGAGGGTCTAGGTATTTGTATAACATGTTGTTTCTTCTTTTTTGAGAAGCAATTGGTATATTTTTGTTTTAAGTAAGGGGTAGAGTTCAGATATCTGAACACAAACCTTTGGTACGTAGCAGTATAACAATTTGTGCTTGTGGTCCACCAGAATGTGATGCAACTGATTCGAATTGAACTCGTAACTACGTAGATCGAGGTTGTAGCACGCCGCCGTTAGGACCTCCTGTCGGGAGATCTGCTCGTACCACGGGTAACAACTAGCACCTACAAAATCAATTTTGAGTAAGAAATTTCGGGTAAAATGAATAGGTCTAAGGTCAGGAACTTCAGGCAAAAACAAAAAACCAGCTCATGTAAATCTGATGCTTGGTGTGGACGCTTTTGTCTTTTATTTTAATTTTTGTTTTACTAGATACAGACTTCGATGGTCTATGAGCGAGTTGTCATTAAGTACGGTCCTGCCAAAAGTCGCACTGCGCATGGGCAATAGTAAACTTTCTTATTTGTGGAGCAATTTGGTAGAAATTTGTATCGTGGGTTACTCTAATAAAAGCAAACAAAACGAAAAAAATCGTATTGCGCCCATAATAGATTACACCCCAAAACACAAACGTAAAATAGCGCATTTTTACCAACCTATTATTACGACAAGATTGACTGAAAATGAGCATCAGAATGTATAATAATAATAATAATAGTGCCTTTATTGCAGTGAAAAGAGTTCTTTGTAATACACAAATATGTAGAGGCGAAGTTCAGCGAATGCTGTTCTTGCACTTAACCTCTAGGTTTAAATACAAAAAGTAAACTTAGCAACGTCAAACATATATTGGTTCTTTTTTGAGCCGAATCAAGTTTGTTTTGACTTTTTTCACCTTTTAAAACATTCTTACGACACCTAAAACGACCCTAACTACATTTTCACGATTAAACAAAAAAAAAGTAAAATTGGCAAACGGTAAAACAGTGTATGTTAACAAAATGGTGATGATAGGTCCGTTTAAAATTTAGATTTTTGTCTTTATTTGGAATCAAGTGATCTGAAGCAGAAGGATTTACATTTGTTTTCTTGAGCATGCCTGCCACTTACATCTGAATAATTTCGCATAAATTAATTGATTGGTTCATTTTTTTTACTCCCGAGTTACTGCCAGCTAGATCCTTCCAAGGGCCTTACAAGTAAAACAAGGAGGGAAGGGCGATTGATGGGATACCATATCAAAGATCAGCAATTCAAGGCTATTTTTGTCTTGCCTAAAGTTCCTGTACGAGCAGAAAATGTCCTCTAATTACCTTCAGCTCAACGCATTACCGCTCTACTGCAGTCTACTCCCAAAGCATTAGTCTAGAAGGGAAATGTTAAATAAAGTGAAGCGTGAACAGTCTTTATTGGTGCAGAAAGCCATCAATCGTCTACTTACCATCAATAACAATAATCACAGTCACACAGCAAATTAAGCTAACTAAAAGAAACATCCCGAGATAAGGCTAGTTGTAGCGGTCATCTTTGTGTAAACGTTTCACGAATCTTATCTCCGACTTATTTGTCACGCCGTAGTTTATGACGAGCTCATTGTTATCTTTCATCGTAACGAGATCGTGCTGCAAGTGGTACGTTCGCCACACGTACCGCCACGACACCTTCGTCTTGCTTCTAAGCCGTTGCTGTTTGAGATCGAAGTTTCTTTGGATCGCCTTCTTCAGATCGCGCACGGTCGTCCCCTGTTGCGGTATCTAAACGAGTAATTTAAATTCCAAAGCAATTAAGTGACGTGTTCAAGGCAACCTATAATTAGGCTACGATTGGTGGCTTTTGAACTTACAACGACAGCTAATGGGGATTCTAGATTCCTTAGAACAAAGACGGTAATTGATTGGCCTTGTAGGACGGCAATTTGGGAGATCACTTCCTCGTTCGTCACGTCGCCTGGTAGGTCGGAGAGGAGAGGATCGGCGGCGAGTAGACGTCTCAACGTGCTGTGCGTTATTTCGCATAAATCTTCGTGGTTTAAGTTTTCGATCTCTTCATCTAGCGACGAAAAGTTGCTGAGCATTTTTCAATAACAATTTTGTAAGGTTATGTTTGATGTTTAACTTTTGTTTCTGCTCATCTGCTGAAAGCAGTGGTTACTCACACGCCATCATGAATTGTTTTCATACTGTTGCAATAGGTGGCGTTGCTATATGACTTTATTCTATTTATTTACATACTTTCACTCTTTTACATTGCATTGTTATGGGATTATAAAAAGTATAACAATATTAATTATACATACGTCACTGTCACAATTATCTTCGTTTTGGTCCAAAGTATTCGATGTTAAAAGCCACAATCAACATCAAATACATACCCAAAATTAACTACATTTCTGAAACCCCAGAATGTAGGGTACCTACAGACCAACACATTGAAGTTTCCATGGAAAAAGGAAACACGCCACTTTGCTCCCGCAAATAAAGGTGCAAAATCTGGTTTTCGGTAGAGCGCGGAGATAAATGTGATTTACCCAATCGAGTTCAAATAACAAGATAACTTCTACCTAGGTACATTGTGATAAAAAAGTTGAAAACTGGGCAAAACGTGGGACTAAAACTAATGAAAACAGGCGAAACAATAGTGGACCTTAGAATGATCCTCGAGGAGCGCCACCTACAATTTCTATTACTTTCAAACAACATTCAAGAACTTGCAACGTGTTTATTTACAACTGATCATCAAAATAAAACAAAAATTGTAAAAAAGAAACTAATAATGTATCGCGTTGTGTTTTTTAAGGTTCCCCTTATGTGGAGTCTCATACTGGCAGTGCTCACATTGAAACATTTTCGCATCCTGTCTGTGACACAGTCGAATATGTGTTGTAACGGTACTTGATTGTCCTGCTCTAAAATCGCACAGTGGCGATTTGAAATTCTTCTCCCCCGTATGCACCACCGCGTGTTTCTTTAGATTACCTCTTAATGCTGTCGTATATTTACACAGCTCGCACTTTAATTTTCTAGGTTTTCCATGCTTTAGTCTGACGTGGGTTTTAAGACTAGAAGATTGTGTTGCCTTGTAGGGGCAGTACTCACATGGGAAGTTGCGTTCGCCCGAATGCACAACGGCGTGCACCTTGAGGTTCCCCTTTAGCTTCGTTACGTATTCACATTCCTTACATTTGAAACTTACGTCTTCATTTTTTTGGATATTTAGTTTGGGGAGGTGCACGGCGGCTGCCAAGTGAATTTTGTAATCGATGATAGGCTTGGAGTCTCCGTCCTCTAGCTCTGTAATTTGAGGAATGTTTTGCGTGAAGAATGCACTTTTGAATGCCATCTCCAGACTTACTTTGGGTTTTTCTACGCTTGTTGGCCATTTCTTTTAGGCACTATTTACTTTTACTTACTCAGCAAATCAAATTATTTGAGGTTAGAGTTTGCAGTTCCCAGTAATACAGATGAACTACTCTGTAAATCAAAGTAACTACCGTCCTTGATATTCTACCACTAGAGGCGCTCTTATAACTTGGCATACAGGGTGCTCCATCTAAAATCGACAAAGAAATTACACAATGATTTTATATATCGTTCCAGTTTCCAGTGAACTTATTGATTTGAAATTTCTTCATCGCACTTATAATTTTGTCATTTTAAATGATTTCCAATCACTTTAGGGATTTAGTGATTGAATGGCTTTAAATGGGGAGAAGAGATAGAAGCAGAAAAAGGAAAAAAATGACGAACAACACGAAGCGTGAATAAAGGAAAAGGAAGGAACAATAAGAAAAATTATAAGGTGGTCAAGCCCGAAGAGGAAGAACCTGAGGAACAGCTAGAAAGAGAAAAAATAAGGAAAGGATGCTTCCGATGATCGATTTGGGGAAAAGGGCAAAAGAAATAACAAGAATAGAATCAGAAAACAGAGAAAAAAGAGCTAGACAAAGAAGAGCGCTAAGAAGAGGAGCAAGAATAGGAAAAGAATGACAAGGAGGGAAAGTACAGGAAAAAGAACTAAACAAGGGAAAAAAGCACAAGTAAAGGAAATAAAAGGAAAGAGAAGAACTGAAATGGATCAAACTTAAATATCAAAATGATAAAAATCCTCGCAACTGATTAGGTATATTCTACTATTTGCCCAACACTGAAACTGCATCTAGAGAATGGAAACTATAAACGCCCTGAACAGTGAGAAAAAAGGCAAAAAAAGAAGCAAAAGAGAAAGAACGAAAGAATGACATAAAGAAATAAGTAATGAAGAGAGGAAGCCCAAAAAAATTGAAAAAATAGGAAGATCAAAAAGAATAAGTGCAAGAGGCAGAAGCAGAAGAAAAACATGGTGGAAAAGGACAAGGCTCTGCAACTGGAAGAAATCCTGTTGAAGGCCCAGAACAAATAAATAAATAAATGAATGAACAAATAAACAAGGCGAGGAAGAACTAGAAGATAAAGAGCAAGGGTAAAGGTGAGCATAATGAGGAATAGAAGAGGGAATGGAAGCGGAATGAAAATGCTGTGGGCGCCGTGTAGTTTGCGAATTTACATGATCTGTAAAGGAGTCATTGAGGAGAAAAAAAGTGTGACAGGCAAAAAGAGAGGAGTAGCGAGAGGAAGGGAGAATAAGGAGAGAAAACGCGAAGAAACTTTTCGAAACGTTTTTTAGGAGGAGCAAACAAAGATAACATCCATAGAGGATGCAAAGAGCGTAACAGAAAGAAAGGAAACAAGAGAAAGAAGATCTTAGCAGAAGAAAAGAAGCTGAAAGTAATAAAGAAAAGACGAGAAAGAGACCCAGCGCACAGAGATATAAAGTAGAGAATTCGCAAGAAGAAGAATAAAGAAACAACAGTAGACCAAAAGTGAAGGGAAAGAACAAAGGTAGAACGAAAATGAGAAATTGAAGAACTAGAAAAAGAGATGAGAAAATGTAGGTGGCGAATGCCATAGGAAAACAGAAGAAGACGGAGGGCGACAAAAAAGAAAGTGATACAAAAGACAACAATAATAAAGATAAATAGGCAACGAAAATGGGAACAGGGGACAATGTGGGAAAAGAGATGGGATTACAACTCGAGAAAGATGTTCAGGAGTAATAGGAAGATGGGGGTGGGGGGTTTACTGGGATTAAGAAGATGAGATCAAGAGAGGAAAAAAACAGGGTAAGATGGGATAAGGAAGCAGTAAGAAAATGTAAAGGACAGAAAGGGATGAACTGGGGGAGGAGAAAATCACGAGGAAGAGAAAGGGGGAAGCAACGAGAAGGGAAATAGGAGAAGAAGAAAAAACCAGCAGTTGTAGAGGATAGAGGAAGCGATGTAAAAGAAAAGGGGTTTGAGCGAAGAACAGCCATATAAAATATAGCGTAAGGTGAGAAGAAAGAGAAAAATACGACTGCAGCAGTAGAGGTCGGTGATGTCGTGGGGAGACAGAGAAAGAGGGAGGATGGCGAAGGCACGAAAAGAGGAAACCGAGTAAACACTGAGAAAAAAACTGTAGAAGGTGGCGGAAAGAAACAAAAGAGCTTCAAAGAAGAACAAAAAAAGAAGAGAAGAGAAATATGGAGCTAATATCAGGGGAAGAGGAGGACATAGGAGGAGAGCGAGTAAAAACTGAAAGAGATGGAGAATGCGAGGAGAAGACGTTGGAAAAGTAAAAGAATGATAAAAAAAGAAGAAAATAAGCAACTGAAAGTATATGTGTCATCCGAAACAGAAGGACACTCGAAAGAGATAGAGGAAGAAAACATAGGAAAACGCGAGGAAAAAGGAGCTACATGGTAAAGATGAAGAAACGCAAAAAAATGAGGTAACGCTGGATAAAAGAGTAAGGTGGATAGAGGGAGGTGGAGAGGAGGAAGAAAGGCAAACAAAGTTAAAACTCGCACAGGTAGTGAGGTAGAAGGTGAAGAGGAGTTAAAGAGAGGAGGAGAATTGATGGAAGAAAATATATAAAAGGAAGTGGGAAAGAAGGATGTCTCCCAAGTGAATCAGAGGCGATAGAAGAAAAGCGAAAGAGGCTAACGTTTGGAATCTTCTTAGGTACCGTTGCCAGAAGAACAAAATGGAAGTACATCCTGTGGCACCTGTAAAATTCGGAATCAATTCTAAAATTGTTAATTAATTAAATAAAAAGCTGTGTAAGAGGAGGAAGCGCAAACGAGCCAGAAGGTAACGGCGTGTGTAACAGATTAAGAGGGGATTAAGACCGGGGAAATAACTGGAAGGGGGTAGGGCGAGTCTGAAGAGTAGGACAAAAAAGTAGGAAATTGAGAAGAAAGAGAAAGGTGTAAGTGGGAAGCCATGGAGACCCACAGGATCTGAACGGGATAAGACAAGGTAGTGAAAAAGATAAGATAATAAAAAAGCAAGAAAAGAAGAAAAGGTAATTCGGGAAACGTGCGGAAACAACTTATTACTGTCCGAGACAGGATATAACTGAAAGAGGAATAAAAAGAGGAGAACGTGAGAACAAGAAAAACAATAGCAGACCGGAAGTGAAGAAAAAGAACAAAGGTACAACGAAAATGAAGGGATGACAAACTGAAGAAAATAAATGATAAAATGTAGGCCATGAGGAAATAGAAGAAGACGGAGGGCGAAAAAGAGAGGAGATAAGGAAATAAAAAAGAATTGAGGACAGGGGACAATATCGGAAAGGAGATGGGCTTACGACACGAAAAAGATGACCAGGAGGGATAGAAAAAGGAAACGGGGGGGGGGGGGGGGTGAAATTCCGTTACATAAAGGCGTTGAGAGGAGCAGAAGATGGTTAAGGATTTTAAATGTCGTAGAAGGAAAGGAACAAGAAAGAGAGAAGGATCACGAGACGCGGAATGATATGGAAAGAAAAAAATGGGGGGGGGGGGGAGGGGAAAGTGCGAAGACAAGTGCGATGAGGTGAAGGAGAGGGAAGATTCATCTCATAATTATTTCCCTTTCACTTTCAGTATTTTCGTGGTGCAGTGGAAAGAAAAATAGTAGGGTTATTGAGAGAACGAGAAGAGGAAATGTGAAAGAGTGATAGTGAAAGGGGTAATGTGGGAGGTAGGGTAGAAAAAACCGATGTGAATGTAAAAAAGAGGGGAGTGTGAGGATGCGGAGGAGCAGGAGAAGGAATGAAAAATAGAATAGGAAAAGAAGAGGGCGTGAAAATGAGGTAGCAGAGGGGAGGGGTACTTTACGGAAAGGAATGAGTCGGGGGAAGATGCAACAGGAGGAGGAGAAGAAAAAGAAAAAGTGAGGAAAAAGGATGGGGAGAAGAAAATTGTAAAGATGTGGTGTTTGGGTAAACGAAGAGAGGGGAAAGAAGTTGAGAAGGGAGAAACTGGCCGATGACCGAAGAATCGCATAATTCATTTCACACCGAAGTTAAGGATTAAATCACTTCCTGTTCGATTCCATGGTAGCCAACGCAAAAAATCATGTTGGATGACACATCACACTATCCCTCCAGAGTGTCTTTGTTCCAGTAAATGATACTGATTGATCAGAAACAACTTCGTTCATTTCTGTCACCTTGGCCAATATCGTTAACGGAGCGATAACCGACAATAATTGCCAAGTGCAAGATTGCGGTAATAGGTAATAAAAACCCAATGGACCACGACGTTCCGCTATTAACAAAAATGTTCAATCAGTGTGACTATGGGACTGTTAATATTTGCGTTATTCACATTTGCAACCTGTGACTATGGTCCCATCTCCGATGAGGATGAAGTAAAAAGGGTAATTGGCGGTGTGGCTACCACGATTCAGAAATTCCCATACCAGGTGTCGTTGGAGGTGAATGGAAAGCATCTCTGTGGCGCGTCCTTGGTGAAACCGCACGTTGTTGTAACCGCTGCCCATTGCACATTGGCGTACGTGCCATTGGGGTTGATTTTTATCCGTGCATATTGTGTTACTTGCAGGTATCAAGCTCAGCAACTGACGGTGAGGGCCGGAACGACACTTAAAGGAAAAGGTGGCAAAGTCGTGAACGTCTTCTGCATCATCGAGCATCCGGATTTCTCGCCGAAGACCTACGATTACGACGTCGCCGTTGGTATCTTGGAGAGCAGATTGGAGCTATCGCCCACGATTCGAACGATTGACTTACTACCAAAGGACAGCGTGATCGACGAGCACGTGCTCGCCTACGCCACAGGATGGGGTCAGATGAAGCCGAGGAGCGGAAGCTGGTCCAATCGCCTGAGAATGGTTCGGGTGCCCAAGGTGAGCAGGGAAAAGTGCCAGAGGCTCTTGCGTCGCAAGACCGTCACGCCGCGAATGGTCTGCTTTGGGTACGACGAGGGTGGAATGGACGCTTGCAGGGTAAGGAAGTTTCCAAGATAGCGTCGGTAATTATCGTCTTGCAGGGAGATTCCGGGGGACCGATAACGATCGACGACGAGCTGGTCGGCATCATTTCGTGGGGTGACGGTTGTGCGAAACCAAATAAACCGGGGGTTTACACTGATATCACCAATCCAGAAATATACGATTTTATAGAGGAATTCTTATAAGAAAAATCTGTTTAAGACTCTCTCTCTCTCTCTCATCTACCCCCGTACCAATTTTACCCCACCCCCACAACCATAAGAAAAAAAGGGGGGGGGATAGAATACCCCACAGTCAACACACACTTCCAAGTGAGGATAAAGGGATGACCAATAAGGAATTTACCATATTTGTTGACACATTTTTGCAAATTTAGCGCTAAACCTCAGATGCACACTTTATGGACACGGGAACAGAAAACGAAAAATCCTATTACACGACAAAGGGAAAATAAAACATGTAGATTCTATATGGCAATATACCTGTGTTAACAAATATGGAAAATACCCTATAGGTCACCCCATCGTCCACCTTGGGTAATAGTATACCTAGATAAGACAGATCGACCAACTAAGTGCAAAATCCACGATCATATTTTCATCCAGCGTTATATCTAAAAATGATTCGTACTTTGCCACCGGTGTGCTACAATTTCTATAAGGCAAACATGAAAGTCATAACCCTGATAGAGCTTGATTTTGAAATAGGTTTGTATCAGGAGCACAGATCCAAGGATTTTCACACCTGTACGCGTATATATGATCTGGATAAAGAGAGAGAAATAGAAAACTATTTACCAGGATAACATAATGCATGAGAAGCTATCTGTGAATAAATTAATTTTATACAAGAAGATTTTCGTATCGGAAGAACACACCGCGTGAGAGTTTTTAACATTTGTATATTGCTGCGATCCTGATCTCATCATTTTTAAAACGAAGACTTCTGCGACCCAGATCCAAAAATTTGCATCAGGAGAACATAACACGTGAGAGTGTATCCCTCAATAAATCTGAGCTCATTGTTCCCATTTCTGCGATCCTAATTTTGAAAACAGAAGCGATGTGTTAAATTGTTTATTAATAAATTTCAATTCAATTCGGCCTTGTCACATGACCAAAGACGGCATCGAAATAACAATAGAATAACTCCTTGTTGTCTTCGGCTGAACAACTCAAATTGAGCTCTCTGATTGTCTTCAACACTGATAGGCCGAATTCGTGATGAAGATCTGTAGGAATTTCCATTGGAAGATGTGAGATGAACATCCCTAGAAAGTACCGTCGATTGAGAGAGGACAATCGCCTTCAATTACCTGGACAGTACGAGAGTGGCACTTTCGTTTCCCTTGGCTCAATTGTGAGGCGCGTGACGCGAAATCCTGCTCCAGTCAGAAGATCTGCAAGATGGCCCATCGGGTTTTGCGAGAACTGATAGGGCGACATGAAGTTTTCGTAATGGGCGATGTGAGGGCGCCACTTTTCCGTTTGAGCCATGTCAGCCACGACCTTGAAGAAATTGTTGGAGGTGACGCAGGAAAAGCTGAAGTCACCTCCGGGTCTCAGCATTTCGCGAATATGTTTTAGTGCAGTCCTGAAATGGAAGATTGGTGGACAGGCTATCAGAAAATTCGAGACTCACGTATGTTCACGCACAAAGTGCAGACACGAGAAGGAAAAGATGTGGTCAAAGTAGTTGAGGTGAGCATCTACGAACTTCCTGTCGTGGACAATATCAACTTGTTCAAAGCGTAATTTTCTCCCTCCATAGTTACCACTGGCATACTCCACTACGGTCCTGTCCCTATCGATCCCGATTACTTCCCTTGTTGCTACCGGTAACACTGGTTGAAGAACATCGTGTGTTACGTTGCCTGTTCCACATCCCACATCCAGCACTTGGCAATCCTTTCTTCATTGAACGAAGGGTAGCAATTTTTCAACAGCGCTCTTCGCCTCATTTTCTGCAAGGAGGTTGTGTTTTATAAAGCATGCAGCTCTGTGCATTTTTAATGTATGAGGCAATATCTTCTCCTAATATCTGACTTCACGAAAATTATCGAGTGACCCGCGATAAAGAGTGTACAGTTCAAACGGGCGCGTGTTTGAAAAATTGTACAACTACCACAGAAACGCAAAAAAAGATGTAATAAACACTTTGCTATTTATCATGTTCTCCTGATACATTTAGAATTTTTCATCTTGATAAAATGGAACCGGCGCGTAATTGCGCGCCAAAGAGATCGCGAGATCGGTACACACTTTCCCGAATACGTTTGTCGTTTTATCGCGGAAGATAAAACCTCTTTTGGCGTACTTTCATTTTATCGCTGGACTTACTGATGTTCATGTTTCGTGTGAAGCGGTATATGTGTAAGTTTCCCCATGTCGATCTACACTTCGAAAACACACTTCCTGTAACAGTGACCACCAAACTATCTGCTCAACAATCCTTGTTTCTCTGTGATCCTGCGAGAAATTATCAGGAGCACATGATACTAAGTATAAGATAAGAAAACGTTGTTGGTGGGAAACATCTGCTAGTAAATTCTAATAGAATAATCTGATAAGAGGAATTATCAGGAGTACATATTACAGATGTGCTTTCCCTTTTCCGCAATTCTTTAAAAGAGATATGCATGAACGTTTTTCACCTGTTTACGTTGCTTCTGATTGCTTAAGCTATTGTATTAGATCGAGAGAACGTTACCCGGTTCTGTAATCCCGATAAATAGTTTTAAAAGGGCCATTTGTATTAGGGGAACAGCTTGTGTTAAATTAGATATGAGATACGTGTCTTTGTTATCATGATGCGAAAGTTGTTTGTATCAGGAGCACATAATACAAAATAATTTGTTCTAATTGTTAAATGAAAGGTAGAACAAAATAATTTCTGTCGTTTTCTTGAGTTTCTTTGATCCTTTAACAACAAATTTTAAAGGAGACACGTGTCTGGTAATACATTTAAACGTTTTTGCTATGCTACGATCCTGATAAGAGAGGTTTAAATCAGGGGGGAGATTTTCATATAATATTTTTCGAAGAGATGTAAGCGTCTTGTGATCTCTTTACAATTTTTAAATGAGTTATTGGTATCAGAGGAACATACTGTGTCTGAGGGTGATTTTGAACCTCATTTACGCTAACGCGATCTTGATGCAATCACTAAACAATTCTGCGGTCCCATTATAGTATTTTACGAGAAAATTTCTATTAGGACATGATACGAAAGAAGGCATCGCTCATTAAACTAGAACGCTGTTTGCATTTCTGCGATCCTGTATTTGAAAATTGAATTTGTATAAGGAAAACATAGTGCACGGGAAGACCTCCTAATACACTGTGTGCGTAGATCCAACACAACTCCTCCTTCGGACTTCAGTGACGCTCACACAATATTTTAAGCAAATGATTTATTGAAAAATACATTCATTTGCATTATGTTCGCTTGATACAGATAAGAGAGATTCTAAAAAAGATTATTAATGGATACCTTCCGGCTTACAAAGTTTCACAGAGTTGACTATAAGTTTGTATACATGATCAGGACTGCAGCCTCCCAAAAAAAGTCTAGCGGCATCCTTTCTTGGTACAGTTACCTTTGAAAATTGGTACATGAAAATGCAAAAAAAAATGTCGTAATAAACACTTTCCCCACTTAATTATGTTCTTCTGATACAAGTTCCTTTTTTCAAAAGCAAGATCGCAGAAAAGCAAAGCGGTTTAGGATTTGTTGAGAAACGCCTTCTTTCGTATTGTGTTCTACGGATACGAACGTCGTTTAACAAATTATTGTATCAGGAGCATAGAAATGCAATATTATTATTAGCAAATGTCTTTGAACGTATAAAGTGGCTTCAATCAAATACGAGATCCTCTGAAAAATGCTTGCTCAATATTACAGTAGCGTATTATGCGCGCCTAATACAAACAACTGTTGTATCATAATAACAAAGACACCTAATTCTCCTAATACACATTTCCCTTTTAAAACCATTTTTCGGGATTACAGAAATGGGTAAAGTTCTCTCGATCTAAGCAATCAGGAACAACGTAAACAGGTAAAAAATGTTCATGCACGAATAGGTATTTACTTCTGTAATATGTACTCCTGATAATTCCTCTTACAAGATTATTCTATTAGGATTGCGGAAAATTGCTAACAGATGCTTCACACGAATGACGTTTTCTTGTCTTATACCTACTTAGTATTATGTTCTCCCGATAAAAATTTCTCGCATGGTCACAGAGAAGCAAGGATTGTTGAACGGATAGTTTTCAACGTGTGTTTATATCAGGACCACAGCAACTTTAACGAGTGGTCACTTAGTCGTTTCAAGAAGTGTATTTTCAAATTTGTATTTAGTTCGACATAGCGGAACTTACACATATACCGCTTCATACGGAACTATGAACGTAGGCCCAGCGATAAAACGAAAGTAGGTCAAAAAAGGTTTTACCTACACCTGGTATGGGAATTTCTGAATTGTGGTAGCCACGCCGCCAATTATCCTTTTTACTTCATCCTCTTCGGAGGTCCCCTCCTCTCTCCTTTAATCAGGAGAACATAATGTATGAGGAGGTGTTTATAATCCTTTTTTGCGTGGGTGTATCCTGATCTAATCACTGTTTACGTTGAACTTTGACTTAATGCGATTAGCCACTCTTTTTATCGCGGGTCACTCGATAATTTGTAGGGAGTTAAGATGTGAGAAGTCTCTGTTTGATATTATTCAATAATGAACAGAGCTGAATGCTTTATAAATCACAACCACCCCGCAGAAAGGGAGGCCAAGAACGCTGTGGAAAAATTGCTGCCATTCGTTCAATGGAAACAGGATTGCAATAAGTGCTGGATGTGGGATGTGGAACAGGCAACGTAACGCACGATGTTCTTCAACCAGAGTTACCAGTATCAACGAGGGAAGTTATCGGGATCGACAAGGAGAGTATCCCGGTGGAGGGGGAAAATTACGTTTTGAAAACGTTGACATTGTCCACGGCAAAAATTTCGTAGATGCTCACCTCAAATACTTTGACCACATCTTTTCCTTCTCGTGTCTGCACTTTGTGCGTGAACAAGGGTGAGTCTCGAATTTTCCGATAGCCTCTCCACCAGTATTCCATTTCAGGACAGCACTTCAACATATTCGTGAGATGCTGAGACCCGGAGGTGACTTCAGCTTTTTCTGCGTCAACTCCAACAGTTTCTTCAAGGTCGTGGCTCATTTGGCTCAATCGGAATCGTGGCGCCTTCACATCGCCCACTACGAAAACTTCATGTCGCCCTATCAGTTCTCTCAAAACCCGATGGACGAACTTGAAGATCTTCTCATTAAAACCGGATTTCAGATCAGAAGTCTGACAATTGAGCCAAGGGGAGTGGAAATGCCACTCTCGTACTGCCCAGGTAATTGGAAGTGATTGTGCCTGATCAACGACACTAGCATTCCAGGGCACTTCATCGCGCACCTTCGAATGGAAATTCCGGCAGATCTTCATCACGAATTCGGGCTCTCAGTATTGGAGACAATCAGAGAGCTCAATTTGAGCCGTTTAGCCGAAGACAACGTGGAGTACTACGACGATTATTTCGATGGTATTTTTGGTCATGTGATAAGGCCAAATTAAATACTCATTTCTGATCTGTAACAATTTATTAGTAAACACATGGCTTCTGTTTATAAAATTAGGATCGCAAAAATGGAGATAAGGGGTTCAGATACGTTCTCCCATGTTATGTTCCCCTGATACACATTTCCCTTAAAGAAACCCAGAATGCAAAACGTTTGGCAGATACTTTCCTACAAATAAATGACTGCATTATACTTTTCCGTGTACAACATTTTTTTAATCTAACACTCCCTCCGTCTTAAAAATGACCAGGAGCACAGCAACACAAATAGGTTAATAATTTTTAACGTCACGCGTTGTATTTTCCTGATACGAATATTTCTTGTAAAAGTCCACGTATAAAATTTATCTATTGCCAGACACCTCTCGCGTATTATGTTATCCTGATACATGGTTCTCTTTTTAGGGTTTCTACAGTCAGAGAGACCCGCATAGAGGTTGTGAAACTCCTTGCATCCGGATCACAAGAACGCAAAAAGATATACTGATACAAACCTCTATTAAAAAGTTATCCGATTAGGATCGCAGAAATACAAGAAGATTGCATCATTTCAAGGATTGCATTTTTGCAAAATTAAATAATCTAACAGTTATTGAAGGACGTGTTTTTTTGCATTATGATCTCCTGATACAAATATCTGTCAAAAATTATTATTGTAGAAACCAATTTCGAAAAAAATTCAAAGGGCTGTAACTTTTGAACTAGTAGCCCAATCTTGGAACTGTTTGAAATTATGGATTCTACAGGGCACATTCTATAAGAAAATTTTTTTCCGGGTCGATCTGAGACAATTTTTTTTCGGAGATCAAAAAAAGGCAGTGTATAACCTTCCTTTTTACCAAAAATCGACTACACCAAAATTTCTCGGGAAAACACTTTTACTTATTAATTTGGGTGCGTAGAATCCAAAACAATTCGTACTTTTTCGATCAGACTTCTCAATCCAAAGTTATAGACTAGAAACCAATTTCGAACAAAAATTCAAAGGGCTGTAACTTTTGAACTAGTAGCCCAATCTTGGAACTGTTTGAAAGTATGGATTCTACAAGCCACATTCTATAAGAAAATTGATTTTCGAGAAAGGAGTACTTTAAAATGTTTTTGTGGTGCCCCTCAGAGCTACCCCCCCCCCCCCCCGCCACTTTCATTACTACACTAATACTTTAATGGCCCGTAACCTATGCAATTCCACCTGGCCCGTAAGTACCCAGTCCGCCTCTGATCGTTGAAATGTGGCGCAGGTTAGAAAGTCGAGCTTCAGCGCCATCTCTTGACAGCATGGGTTCTGCAAATAAGGGAATGAGGAGACAAAGAGAATGAGAGTGAGAACTAATAATAACCCCCTCCTCCACCCGAGAAGGTAGATTGAATGTTCGTCTTCCTGCAACTGTCATAAGATCATCGTGTGCCGGGGGGTTTTGGGGAAGGATGTAGAACGGGGGGAGGGGGGGGTGAATATCCCCTAGAGAAGAAAGATAGGGATACATACGAATATGAGCGCGTGATTCTGTTTAGAGTATTTTTCGCTAATAACCCCCATCCCAATCGCAGGGGTTGAAAAAAGAATTGAACGCTTGGAGCAATGATATAAGAGAAATCGTTTGGCACTCAGAATGATGTTTATTTGTGTACTTAAGCCCAAAACCCTTAAAGTAAGGGCGGTTTCACTGCTAGACACTCCAATGCAGTAAGTTTATAGTTGAAGAATTCCGTTCCATTCTCATCAACTTCGTTCATTTTCAAGCTTCGAATTGCATCTGCCGACTCCAAAACGAATTCACGCTGGATCTCGCCGGGAAGTTCGAATGGGATTCGACAAACGATAAATTCTGGAAAAAGGCGCGAGGTTATGTTACACGTTGGGCAGCTTTTCTTACCTGAAGCATCGGCGAATGGCATCTTCCAGCGTTGCGGATTCATGGTGAGATCCATCACCTGAAAGCCCACTTTCAGCAGTAGCGATCGGATTTCTTCGTCAGGGTGTGGGGTCGACTCGTAGGGGTATAAATAGTTTTCGTATTGGGAAATATGCGGGGTCCACTTTTCCATTTTGGCCATGTGCGCCATTATCGAGAAGAAGTCGTTGTGCACCGAGCATATGAAGGCGAAACTTCCACCCGGCTTCAACATGGTGTAGATGTTCCTTAGAGCAAGCCTGAAATTGGGGAATGAAGAAGCACACTAACCATCAATTTATCACTTACTCTAATTCCCTCACGAATTGAAGGCAGTAAAACGAGAAGATGTGGTGAAAGTCTTCCCGGTGATTCGCAACGAAGCCGCCATCGGAGACGATGTCCACTGCCTCGAACTTTATCCTGGGTTCGTTGGTGGCGTACTTTGCGTTTGCGTAATCGACCACCGCAAGCTGTTTGTCAATCCCGACGATAAGCGCCGCTTTGGGAAGGGCTGGCACGATCACATTGTGGGTTACGTTTCCCGGTCCGCACCCGATGTCCAAAACGGCGCAGTCCTCCCTCCACTCGACAATCTCTGCACATTTTTTTAAAACACGCTCGCCGTCCTTTTCATTTAATTTACTGAGTTCCACATAAAGTTCTGCCTTGCTCATGGTTAGTCTAGTAATCTTACAAATATCAAGCTAAGTACTTTTTGATTGCAATGAACGCCGATAACGGTATTTATACTCGGTTCCACATCAGCATAGATTTATCGCTGTGCCTTCTGGGGCACTGAATTTATTTATTGTCTCAAATGAATAGTTTATTAATTTTTGCGAAATTTAATTCTTCGCAAATTGATTAATTTGTCCACCCACTCGAAATATGATTACGTCAATGTCCATTTGGCTATTACTCCAGTAGAATAATTCGTTGAATGCAATCATTTAGTTCTCAGACGAAAGGTTATATAAGACACTCCTAATTATTTAGTTAGAGTAATTATTAAATTAGATTTCGTTTGACTTATTTTCTTAAAGGCAAAGGTCATCCTGAGCGAGCTGTTTTGGTCACGTAAACCCCATTAAGATAGTATTATCGCCAGTAATTTTTTCATGCCATTAACCGGTCAGTATGCAACCGGAAGTCAATGATAGATCGCCGAATATTGATAATAAACACGGAATAACCAGCCCTCTAAGGAGACTATCCTTTACTATACTTCCTAACCCTTATTACCTACAAAGCGCACTACCCAAACGAAAATTCGGAAAAAGTCAAGCCCGTTACAAAGGCTTGGGGGTCGTACCTCTCTGGTACTAGAAAGGAAAACTAAATCATTTCAGAAACGATAAAGAGCTACAATATTAGCCTCAAAGGTGGTTTATGACGTGTCAAACGTTGATATGTGTTGCACGTTAGAAAGTCCAGGTTCAGCGCCATCGCTTGACCGCATAGGTTTATGGAAAGACGAGTGGAGGTGGAGGAGAAGAGAATGAGAGTGATAACTTGTATAGGGTAGGATGTAGAAGCGGGTGGATCGAGGATACTTCCCAGGGAAGACAGATTGAATGTTCATCTGCCTGAAACTGTCATAAGATCATCGTTCGGTGGGGGGTTTTGGGAAATGATGTAGAACCGTGGGGTCTGGAGGGGGGGGGGTATTCCAAACCCCCTGGAGGGAGAGGATTACGACAGTGATATAGGAGTAAAGAAAAAAACACATAATTTTATGTCTACGTCAACTATAAGAAGAATAACATACCAATAAATAGAGAGAATTGAAGAATATTGGGAGGAGTTTCAAGAAAGACCCAATTGAAGAAGAGTGAGTTGAAGTATTAGATTTTAATGTTAAAATGAGTTTCTGAAAAAGGGGCCGGCCTTTTACATTACAAGGGAGCAAATAAAATATGTAAATTCTACATAGTTGTGTAAACAAATATGGCAAATATCATGTAGGTCACCCTATTGTTCACATTGGGTGGGAGTGTAGTAAATTAAATCTAGATAAAAAAACAAAATAAAAAAATTACGATTATTTTCTCCAGTTGAAACAAGTCCCACTTTCTTCGAAGGTAATTCCAATCAGGATTAATAATCATGAGCTAGTCGTGGACAGGGCTTTACGAAATTTGAACGTATTTTAAAAATCAAGAGTTCGTATATTTAGTATGTATGTAGGTAGATAATGCTTTATTTAAAACATAATCTTGGGTGCTTTTACAAGGCGAGCTGCCACGATTAAAATCTCGCTTATAAATGGCGAATATCATTAGGCGATCCTGAGGTTCTTTCAGCGTATACGTTAATCCGTTTATTATTTATCCCGTATGTCCACCCAAACGCTCCGGAACTCAACGGTTCTATATTACTTAATAAAGAGTTTGGATACTGATCTGATCTAATCGGCCATGAAACGTCGTAATTAGGAAATCTAAAATTGGATTGCCTTAATCGGTTATCGTAACGTTTAGCCATACCGCTTTTTGGTCAGCAATACCGAATTCGGGTTGCTCAACGTGTCAAACGTTAATTTTATTTGTATTCATGGCTGGACTGTGATCTTAAAAATACTAAATTAGGTATTTATCGCAATGAACGCTGATAACGGTTTTTTTTTTATTGCGATTTACCTATATTTATCAATCACATAGTTATCGCTATCTTTCTACTGAGTGAAATTGATACGAACTTACGCGAGCGTTGTTGCCCAATTTATTGTCTCGAATGAATTGTTAATTAATTTACGATATTTAATTCGCGCATTCGAATGGAGGTGAATCACTGATAATTGCCCATTTTATTTCCACGCGTAATCACTTAGGCGCTTCTGGGGGAATTGATTCGTTTGTTCAGCCATCCAAAATATACACCTTTCCGCACAAAATTTGTGATTAGTAACTGTTGCGCACGATGACTTGCCGCGGCACGTTTCTCGAGGCTCGAAAACGAATGCCTTAATTCTGTCTTCTCTGGACCTGTCCCTACTTTTTTCAACTTGACAAGACCGCTTACAAAATTGTGTTAACGAGGACATATTTAAATGTGAACGTATTGGAATCGTATAGCGCAACTAACAACGCGCGCTTGTGCCATAAATTAAATCCACGAGTGATTTTAAAATTGCAACTCGGCGATGCTCGTGAAAAGTGCGTCATCCTGATTGAGCTAGTGCAAGTCACAACGCAACCGGAAATCAGCGAGTCATAAACGCAGCAACGTGTAAAAACTTGATAAGTGGTTTCATCTTCCTGCAACTGTCATTAGATGATCGTGCATTGAAGGGTTTTGGGGATAAATGTGGAACCGGGGGGTCTGCGAGTATGGAAGGGAAGAAATATTAAATGTTCATCTTACTGCAACTGTCACCAAGGGCAGATACGACAACCTTGACGTTTACGTATGGAGGAAGGATAATTCACGCCAAAAAATCAGCTATCCCGTCACGAGACCGGAAAAAAGGGAAATCGTTATTTCTTCTAGAGCACACTAAAGGCAAATGTTTTATTTATATTTAGTTTCAGCCGAGTCCTTCGGAGAGAATTTTTCTTTTACTGCTAATCAAATATTAATAAAAGTTTAGGGATCCGGACATAATTTTTAAACAGAGACATTATAGTGTATGTGGTTTCTTTGTATTAACTTAGGAAAAGCAAGATTTCGTTTCATGTAGATTGAACTAAGGAGAGTTTCTAAGTTGAAGGGTTTGATTTAAAGGTTAAACGAGTTTATGAAAAAGGGGGCATCCTTTCGCATGACAAATAAATTGTGTAAATTCTAAATAGCAATATCCTTGTGTTAACAAATACGGAAAATACCATGTAGGTCACCCCATCGTTTAGATTGGTTGGTACTGTAGACTCTAGATAAGACAAACAAAATCCTAAAACCACGATTATTTTATCGAATTAGGGCAGGTGTTCGAAAAGTAACTTTTCCGATAATCAGGAAAGAGACCACTTTCAGGATTAATAATAACGAGCTAGCCATCGCCAGGGCAGAAATGGTACGTTTAGGCATACATAGCTCAGAATTGCAACTACCCGTTACAAGGTTCAAATAACCAGCTCTATTTAGTATATAGGTAGATAATGCTTTATTTATAACGTAATTTTTGGTGCCTTAAAAGGCGAGCTGTCACGATTAAAATCTCGCCCATAAATGGCGAATGTCATTAGGCGATCCTGCGGTTCTTTCAACGTATATGTGCGACTAATCCGTTTATCCTTTATCTCGTGCGTCCACCCGAACGCTTCCGAACTCAACGGCTCTATGTTGCTCAATAGCGAGTTCGGATACTGATATTTGTTTTCGTCGGCATCAAATTCGGCATTAATGACAATTTTTTTAAAGCTAATCGGCCATGAAACGTTATCGTAACTAGGAAATCTGAAAATGAACTGCGTTAATCAGTTACCGGCACGTTTAGGCGTTGTACCGTTTTCCACAAGAACTTAGGGAGGAGTTTGTACAAGCGATTACTCCACAAATCTCTACGCCTCCATTGTACATTCCGGAAAACGATCGTACGCCGGTAAATGCAACCATGTGGTATTGGTAGCGATCGCCTGTAACGTTCGATTTTGATTCTAATCCGATTTGGAAGTGGCAACAGAATTCAACACCCCCATCTTGACCACACACCACCTCCTGTATTTCTCTCTGACCAGGGGTTACAAGTTTGGAAGAATAAGCTAAAAGTGAATGATAAAAAAAGTATTTCTTGCACTGGTCCTCACCTGTCAAATTATCGGATAACAAGTAAAAGCCGTCCAGTTGCTTCGCTTTTTGGTCAATAATACCTGAATCGATAAACCTATGAGCGACAGAGGGAATTTTGGCAACGAAGCCCTTCGATTCATCCTTTCCAACGATGGTGACGATTAACGGACCGTCAGCGCCTTGGTAGACTCCTGTCCCACCGCTTCCAACCCGAGCATTGTTAGCACCCGATGCTAACAGTGTCGCATTGGTAGCATAGGCCCATTGGTTTTGAGCTTGCAATGCCGTCAAGAAGGGCAACTCTGAGAACCACATCGTCGGGTAAATCACCGATTTCACTCCATGTTTATTCGCAAGATCCAAAGCCGGCTGCTTAAACAAAAGGTCGAAACAGATAAACATCGCGAAGGTTTCGTTGAAATCCGTACGAAAAATTGAAATATCGGCCGTTACTGGCCTAGTCATGAAAAATTCGCCGAACAGATTGTACTTTCGATACTTCGAAACGATTGAACCGTTCCGGTTTAGCACCACGTTGGTGTTGTAAAAGTACCACCCGTCCTCATGGCACTTTGTAGTGGCGTTTTTAGAGCATGGTGCCCTTTCGTAGAGATTTACGACAATGTAAGTGTGGTATTTCACCGCAGCGCACGCTAAAGGTGTCAGATAAGTGCGGTTGTTCGTGGTACAAAGCGATTGACCATTCAGATCGATTTCGATCGAGTAAGGTAAAACGTCATCGTGCTTTATAATGGGAGCGTTGGAAGCCAAAGTTAATTCGGGATACACTATAATGTCGAGTTCCTGCAAATCACGTGGTCATTTATCTCGTATGAAATCATGCAACAATCATACCGAATCACGACTGACTTGCTCCAAAATTGATAGATAGCCAGCAACGTTTCGGGATAGCCTTTCTTCTGCGAGTAAACTTTTATCTTGTTCGGGGAAGAATTCCACCACGGCAGCAGTGTACTCCGATGAAACCTAGGACTCGAATATTAGTCCCTACACTACAAAGTGCTCTGATTGGCTTACCATGGCAAGGCTGTAGTTGAAGAAAATTAATAATAGAATCTTCATCCTGCTCTTTAGGAGTAACATATCAACAAGACCCGTAACTATTGTTTGAATTTCACGATTAAGCATCAAGGCATTAAGTACTCGGTTGCTAATCAATCTGACCTACCTTAATCTTATCTCGAGATTGGTCGTTTTAGCAAGTAATTCCTCTTATTTCGTAAAATAAGTACACACAATGATTTTTTTACAAATTTCATGGCCTTTGCGTGTAGTCGTTAAAAAAACTTCAAGTTCAAGCCTTAAGAATACTCAAGACTGTTGCCCTCAACTATTTCATGTTCAATTCGATTTCTAGGAAGTCTCAAATTGCCGAACGAGGGTCCATATACCTATTGCTGGGGTACGATTACGATAACAAGTAACTGTGCACAATATGCATCTTTGTAAATCCCAGTTTCCTGTTGATTTTTTTATAATTTGCCCCAGAAAGACCCAGCGATAGCTCTGTACTGATAGATGCAGAACGGAATATACCTAAATATCATCAGCGTATAATAAAAAAATACTTACTTAAGGAAAATGCCACATTACTTGCGAGGAAATACTGAAGAGTCAAGTAAATTTCGGGCAGAAGGTGCTCATAAATTTCTAGCAAGGGCTAGATGGGCAACAACAATTACTATTAATGTAAAAAGGCGTCAATAAAGTATCTAGGTAGCCAATCCTAAATAGTCAGTTTTTAGATATTCAATTTGTGCGAGTTGCGAAATCTACTTTTTTCATGATGTAAGGCACTCAATAAGTCAAGTACCTCGGATCTAAATCCGCACGTTGCCTGATAAATTGTGACTCAATGCTATTTAGGATTGGCTACCTAGATACTTTATTGACGCCTTTTTACATTAATAGTAATTGGCATTTTTTCCTTTGTTTCTGTTATCCTCTTCATTTTTCTATCCCCCCCCCTCGCCCTTTTCTGCTTTTCCTTGTTGTTTTTATATTTCCATATCTCATGGTCAATATTTTCCTCTTTCTATCCACATGGGCTGTATTTCTTTTTAGTGCATTTTTGAAAAAAATACGCTATTATATTCGTTATGGCTGGTCGGCCGGCTGTCCGCGTGAGATCTCGGGAACTACAATAGCTAGAGACTTCAAATTTTCACTAAAAGCTTTCTGCTATAGTGTAGATGTGCAGGCACTAGTCTATTTTGAGTTAGATTACTTGTGAGATCGATAATTGAAGAAAATAATTTCGATATGGGTTTCGGAGGTGCTATAATTTTACCGTTAGATAGCGCTACCAGTATAAAAACTTATTATTTACTTTGTGATTTGTTTTACAAAATTAAAGACGTACCCTCAATTGAAATTAAATAAAATTAATTATTTAACGCAGCCAAAATTACTCGTGAGATCGATAATTTTAAACTTCGCTAATTAAATACCTACTGACCTGCATTACCAAAAATGCGCTTTAATCATGCATATGCTGATTCACAACTTGTTTATTCTTCTCTCTACTTCTCCCTTCCCTTACATATTTCGGCATCCCTTACGTTAATACCTCCTTTTGTACCTTCTGTTTTCTCGTGAATTCTTCTTTTGGTGCAGTTGTATACCTTGGTCTGTTGTTGTAAGTTCTTCTTCCATTCTTTCCTTTTGTTTCTCTCTTCCTTTCAACCTCCTTTGTTTCTTGATGCTACCATTCTTTGTTTATTTATCTTCGTTGACAAACACTCTTTCTCCCCTTTCCTGGAATCTTACATCCCTGACCCCCCGACTCATCTACATTTTTATTTCCACCTCTAATATGTAATTTGGTGTTCTTTGTTCCCAGCAGCTACCCATTTCATTCGCACTTATTATGTTTTTCGCTTCTTCTCTGTCTATTATTGTCTAAAAGTCTTCTGTTTCAATTTTTATGATTTCTTCACATCCTTTCTTTTTCTTCATTTTTTCCCTTACATTTTCTGTTTTCTCAAATCTGCCTCTTTCTTTCTATTTCCACCATTTTTCTGTATCTGTTTCTCTCTTTTACACTCTCGCTTCTCCTTCATTTACCTGTTTTCATGTTATTGCCTTTTTAATATTCTCCTTTTTTTCCACTCCTCTGTGCTCTCTCCTACTTCTTCTTTTTGCTCCGCTAGTTCCTTTCTAACGGGCGATCAAAAACGAGTTGCTGTCGAGCCGCCTTTGCAAGTTCAAGTTAAGTACGATTTCCCATGAAAACAAAAATTCCAAAGGTGACTCGACAGCAACTCATTTTTGATCGCATAGTATAGGTCTCCATATTTGTATCTTTTTATCGTCCTTTTTAGACGGCTGGTCATTCGATTCTATCTTTGTTCGTACCTTGCCCTTGGAGCGAAAAATCGGAACGGTTGCCTCAGATAATACGTCAGAAAAACGGTCCCCAGGGATCTTGCGGCTTCTGGTGAATAATTTAAAAACAGAATTACGGCAACGGCAACAATTTTTTAAGTGGAACGGAAGCATAGATTAATTAGCAGTATCTACCGCGATACAAAATGCAGGAAAGCATAACACAACCCCCCTTATAATTAGCGGGAGGAAGAAAGCAAACTCTGGCCTTTGAATTCAACGGAATGGTGATTTAAAGTGTAGACATATTTTCGTTATTGTTCGCTATAAAGCGGTATACGTATAAATGTTAACCAAAATATGAATTTAAAAAAAACCTTTTCCTTTCTGCCTTGTTCATGGCTTCGCTGGGATTGTGAACTTAATGAGGAAAGTAACTACTTACTTTTCCCACAATTTACGTGATTACTCCCTAAGTTCTTGTGGAAAACGGTGCACCATCCTATGGTTAAACGTGACGGTGACTTACGCAATTCATTACAAGATTTCCTAATTACGATAACCTTTCATGGCCGATTACCTTTAAGGAAATTGTAATTAATGCCGAGTTTGATGTTGACGATAACATCAGTATCCAAACTCTCTATTGAGAAAACAGAGCCGTTGAGTACGGAAGCGTTTGAAGATTATGTTATAAATAAAGCATTATCTACCTGCATACGAAATACGGCTAGTTATTTGAACCTTCTAACTGCTAGTTACAATTATGAGCTACAGATGTCTGAACGTCCTATAAAATGTACATTTTTAAATTTCGCTGACGGCTAGCTCATGATTATTAATCCTGAAAGTGGGCTCTTTCCTGTTTACTGGAAATGTTACTTTTCTACGTCAACTGAATGTAATAATCGTAGTTTTAGTATTTTGTTAGTCTTATCTAGATTTAATTTGCTACAGTACCACCCGATCTGGGCGATGGGGTGACCTAGATTGTATTTTCCGTATTTGTTGACATAGGAATATTGCTGTATAGAATTTACACATTTTATTTGTTCTTTTGTCATGTGATGAGATGACGCCTTTTTCACAAACTCATTTTAACCTTAAAGTCCAATCCTTCGACTCAGTTAGAAGTCTCTCCTAAGGACTCGGTGGAAACTGAATATAAATCAAACGTTTGGCTTAATTTAATCGGCTCTTTTGGAGGTTAATTACTTCCATCTGCATGTTTACACTTTGCAATGTACTTTATTAATGGCATCGAGGCAATTCGGAGGGGTACGCCGAATCCGGTATCTAGGTTTACTATTACCCAACGTGGTCCTATAGGGCATTTTCCGTATTTGTTAACACAGGTATCTACACGTTTTATTTGCCCTTTGTGGTGTAAAAAGAGTTTTCGTTTTCTGTTCCCGTACGCATAAAATGTGCATCAGAGATTTAGCGGTAAATTGGCAATCATGTGTCGACAAATATGGTAATTGTCGTATTGGTCATCCTATGATCCGTGTTGGAGAGTCGTGTAGTAAATTAAACTTAGATAGGCGGACTTATTGTAATATTCTACCACTACAATTACGCGTTTATTATATTCTCCTAATGCAAATTTCTCTTTGATAAAGTTTATTGGCACTTGGCATTTAGTGATGTGTGAGATGTTCTGAAAATGAAACGAAAATCATACGTTCGTTAGTTGATATCTCAAATATTTGTAAGTCTATAATCTTATCTAAAAAGCGTTAATCATAGTCTCTTGACATGACCAAATATATTGTAGAAATCGTAATTGCACATCTCCTCCCCGTTGTCGTCTAAGTAGCTCAAGTTTATCTCTCTAATTACGTCTAAGGCACTTCGTCCGAATTCCTCTTGGAGATCGGACGGTATACTCGTCTGAACGTGCGATATGATGTGTCCTAGATGAAACGATAAGATCTGATCGAGATCTGTGGGTGAGTTACCTGCGAAGTAGGCGAGCGGAAATCTCATCTCTCTAGCTTCCATTTTAAGGTACGACACCTCAAATCCAACTTTTTGCAGAATTTCTCTGAGAACTTCTTCGGGATCCGTTACGTATTGATAGGGCGACATGTACTTGTCGTAGTCGCCGATGTACGGGCGCCATTTTTCCTTCTCGGCCAAGCGGGATATTATGACGAAGAGTCGGTTACGTACAACCGAAGTAAAACTGAAGTCTCCTCCAGGTTTCAGCATCTTCCACACTTTTCCCAGTGCAACTCTATGAAGGTGATTATGAGATGACCTGAGTCGTGTGGACTTACTCTTGTTCCTTTATGAAGTGAAGGCATGAGAAGGAAAATGCGTGGTCGAAGTACCCCTCGTGGGTTTCAGTGAAGTTTGTGTCACTAACCATGTTCACCTGTCGGAAGATCAGCTTGGGAATTCCTCCGTACGTCTTGTTAGCATGCTCGATTGCTGATTGCAGTTTGTCAATCCCCACCACCAGTTCAGCAGATTTCGGTAGAATTGGAAGAAGAACGTCGTGGGTGACATTGCCGGGTCCGCACCCGACGTCCAGAGCTCTACAGTTATTCTTCCACTGAACTAGTTCCGCAAATCTTCCTATGATGTATCTTGCTTCCCTCTGCGCGGGCGAGCTATGGTTTATGTAACGCACGACGTTATTCATGCTCGAGCTAATCTGGAACGAGAAAAGGTCTAAAACTTACGCTGAAATTTGTTCTAAATTTTAAGGACGGGTCGTCATAGGTTTATCTTGACAGATTAATCGACTTGTCTACTGCAGATAAATTTTGGCAAGTTCATTATCTCAAGGTAATCAATTAATACTATTTTACACATACGTGGATTTTAATACAATATATTTTGTGGGAAAATTTACAAGGGCAAAATAATAAATTTGAAGCGTTTTTTATTTGTGCGATTCTGGTTTGGCGAGAGAATCTTATATCAGGAGGGTATAATAAGCGGAAGGATTTTATTGACAAATTTACAAGCGTACAATTATTAAAAAAGGTAGGTACTCGCATTAGGAGAGCATAAATGGTTTTTTTTTGCATTCCTGCGGTCCTGATACAATACGACTTCGAGGGAATTTCTAACATTTCATTTCGAAAAAGGGGAGGTTAGAGCATAATGCTTAAGCAGGTACATATTTAATCTTTGATCTTGAGATCATCATTTCAGCTAGTATCAAGAGAACATGATTCGAGAGGACTGGCACCTTGACACGATAATTATTCATCGGCTAAAACGTAAAACGAGGAAACGTGCGGGGATGAGTACTAATAAACTGCACCTCGTTTTTTGTTTCTGCGATCCTGATACAATCACTTTTTAGGTGAAATTCGTGTCAGTGAGACACAATCGAGAAATCATGCATAGCATAGCAGGAAACCATAATTCGTGAGATGCATTTTAAACATTTTCGCGTTCCTAGGATCTTATTTGCATCAGGAGAATGTATAATGTAAGTGTGCACTCTCCGATGCTTGTAATAATGAGGAAAATGTATCTATATAACGCATTATATGACCCTGATGCATAATTTTTGAGGAGAAATTTATATCGGGAACGCGAGGAAACGTGTATCTCACTCTCTTCCTGGTCTGTATCCAAGTGGGAAGGTAACGGATTTTTCACATTCTTCCTTTTTTGCAGTTCTTAATTCAAGACGGTGTCTGTATCAGGCAAACATACCTGTGTTGCTGCGATCCTGATACAAATGAAGATTACGAAAACTTAGTTCTGCTGTATCAAGAGAAAATAATACTATGGAACCTGTCCCAATAAATATAAACCCAATTCCTAAAATTCTGCTTTAAGAAGAGAGGCATGTGTCAGGAGAACATAGTAAGCCAAACTGCATGTATTAACAAATTTATCATCTGCTTGTCTTGTACAATAATCGTATCGTGAAGACATAATAGTTGAAAAAGTGTCCACCAATACATTTCTGACTTTGTTGTGTTGCTGCGATCCTGATACGATCATGCTTTAAAAGGAAGCTTGTAATAAATTAGGGAAACTATACGTAGAAAAGTGTTTGTACATAAAACATAATGCGTCAGAACCTTTTTCTGTATGTTTAGTTTAACTATTCTGTGTTGCTGCGGTCCTGATATAAACATTTTTTAACCATTTTTAGAAGGAATGATCTTTTAAGAGGAGTTGTGCGCATTACAGAAAGTACAGATCTCTCTCAAACCTTAAACGTTATCTCATTTTTACGATTCTTTAGATATTCGCACAGGATCAGGAGAACATAACACGAGAGAACCCCTCTGAACGTCTCCATTTCTGTTTGAATAGAAAAGCGATGTATTTATTAATAAATTTGTCACAGTCCAAAAGTGAGTATTTAATTTGGCCGTATCACATGACCAAAAATGCCATCGAAATAAGCATTGAAGTACTCCACGTTGTCTTGGGCTAAACGACTCAAATTAAGCTCTCTGATTGTCTCCAATACTGCGAGTCCGAATTCGCGATGGAGATCTGCCGGAATTTCGATTGGAATGTGCGAGATGAAGTGCGCTGGAAAACTATCGTCGTTTAACAGGGACAATCACCTTCAATTACCTGGACAGTACGAGAGTGGCAGTTCCGCTTCCCTTGGCTCAATTGCCAGACTCGTGACCCGAAATCCGGCTCTAATCAGAAAATCTACCAGTTCGCCCATCGGGTTTTGCGAGAACTGATAGGGCGAGATGAAGTTTTCGTAGTGGGCGATGTGAGGGCGCCACGTTTCCGATTGGGCCATATGAGCCACGACCTTGAAGAAATTGTTGGAGGTGACGCAGGAAAAGCTGAAGTCACCTCCGGGTCTCAGCATTTCACGAATATGTTTTAGTGCTGTCCTGAAATGGAATACAGGTAGAGAGGCCATCGGAAAATTCGAGACTCACCCTTGTTCACGCACAAAGTGCAGACACGAGAAGGAAAAGATGTGGTCAAAGTAGTTGAGGTGAGCATCTACGAACTTCCTGTCGTGGACAATATCAACTTGTTCAAAGCGTAACTTTCTCCCTCCATAGTTAAGATTGGCATACTCCACCACGGTTCTGTCCCTATCGATCCCGATAACTTCCCTTGTTGCTACTGGTAACTCTGGTTGAAGAACATCGTGCGTTACGTTGCCTGTTCCACATCCCACATCCAGCACTTTGCAATCCTTTTTCCATTGAACGAAGGGCAGCAATTTTCTCACAGCGCTTTTCGCCTCCCTTTCTGCGGGGTGGTTGTGATTTATAAAGCATTCAGCTCTATTCATTATCAAACAATGAACTCACATTTTACTTCCGGCAAATTATTGAGTGACCCGCGATAAAAAGAATGGCTAATCGCATTTAGTCAAAGTTCAACGTAAACCCAATGTAAACAGTGATTATATCAGGATACACCGACACAAAAATGGTTAGAAATGTATTATAAACACTTCCTGGTCCATTTTCTTCTCCTGATAAAAAGAGGAGCATAATTGGCGGCGTGGCTACCACGATTCAGAAATTCCCATACCAGGTCTCGTTGGGGGTGAACGGAAACCATGTATGTGGCGCGTCCTCGGCGAATGCAATCCCTGTCTTGTGATCACGTGCCAATGTTAGATATAATCCTTATCTAAAACTTCATTTAGAATTTTGCCCGTTAGAAAAACCGAAATGGAACTTTTTTTCTGAACGCAACAACCTCGACGAGCGCGTGGCCTGTAGAATCCATAATTTCAAACAGTTCCAAGATTGGGCTACTAGTTCAAAAGTTACAGCCCTTTGAATTTTTTTTCGAAATTGGTTTCTAGTCTATAACTTTTGAATGAGAAGTCTGATCGAAAAAGTACGAATTGATTTGGATTCTACGCACCCAAATTAATAAGAAAAAGTGTTTTCCCGAGAAATTTTGGTACAGTCGATTTTTGGTAAAAAAGGAAGGTTATACACTGCCTTTTTTTGAGCCCCGAAAAAAAATTGTCTCACATCGACCCGGAAAAAAATTTGCTTATAGAATGTGACCTGTAGAATTGTAGCCTTTTGTCGTTACTTAGGTAATTTAGTTACCTTCCTAGTGCCAGAGAGGTGCATTGGTACGACTCTTAGAAGCCTCCCATGACCCATATAACGGGAGCCCTTATTGGACTTGACCTTTTTCGAATTTTTGTCAGAGTTGTGCGTTTTGCAGGTCATACGTATACAGGGTAGTTATCCCAAAAGTTTATTTCCATAGTTTTAAAAGTCTATGGTTTCCGAATGAATTTGGCGATCCATAATTTCATGTCACCGACTTCCGATTGCACAGTGGCTTTGAAAAAGTTACTGGCGATAATACTTAATTCTTAAAGGCGTTGAGCAAAACAGCTCAGTCAGGATGACGCAGTTTTTTTATTGACCGTGGATTTGATTTATGGCCCTAGCGCGCGCCTCATTGGTTAGGCTTGACGAATCCGATGCGTTAACCTATTGGGTGGTCTTGTCGACTGATGAAAAGGGTAGGGACAAATCTAGAGAAGGGAGAATGAAGGTATTCGTTTTTGGGTCACGAGAGCCACAATTTCGTGGTTCAAAATACAGTAAGTAGCAAATTTTGAGTGGGTGAAAAAGTTCGCGGAGAAGGACCTCAGGGATTGCGGCAAGTCATCGTGCGCAACAGTTACTAATCAGAAATTTTGTGCGAAAATGTGCATATTTTGGGTGGGTGAACAAATGAATCAAATCGCCCAGATTGGCCTAAGGGATTACGCGTGGAAATTAAATGGGCAAATATCAGTGATTCACGTCCATTCGAATGCGCGAATTAAATATTGTAAATTAATAAACAATTCATTAGAGACAATAAATTGGGCACGAGCGCGCGAGTAAGTTCGTAACAATTTCAGTTGAAAGATAGCGATTAGTCTGTAGCTGATATATGTAAATCGCAATGAAAAAACCGTTATCACCGTTCATTGCGATAATTAACCTAATTTAGTATTCAGCCATGAGCAAGGCAGAACTTTATGTGGAACTCAGTAAAATAAATGAAAGAGACGCCGAGCGTGTTTTAAAAAAATGTGCAGAGATTGTCGAGTGGAGGGAGGACTGCGCGGTTTTGGACATCGGGTGCGGACCGGGAAACGTAACCCACGATGTGATCGTGCCAGCCCTTCCCAAAGCGGCGCTTATCGTGGGGATTGACAAACAGGGCGCAGTGGTCGATTACGCAAACGCAAAGTACGCCACCAACGAACCCAGGATAAAGTTCGAGGCAGTGGACGTCGTCTCCGATGGCGGCTTCGTTGCGAATCATCGGGAAGACTTTCACCACATCTTCTCGTTTTACTGCCTTCAATTCGTGAGGGAATTAGAGTAAGTGATAAATTGATGGTTAGTGTGCTTCTTCATTCCCCAATTTCAGGCTTGCTCTAAGGAACATCTACACCATGTTGAAGCCGGGTGGAAGTTTCGCCTTCACGTGCGCGGTGCGCACCGACTTCTTCTCGATAATATCGCACATGGCCAAAATGGAAAAGTGGACCCCGCACATTTCCCAATACGAAAACTATTTATACCCCTACGAGTCGACCCCACACCCTGACGAAGAAATCCGATCGCTACTGCTGAAAGTGGGCTTTCAGGTGATGGATCTCACCATGAATCCGCAACGCTGGAAGATGCCATTCGCCGATGCTTCAGGTACGAAAAGCTGCCCAACGTGTAACATAACCTCGCGCCTTTTTCCAGAATTTATCGTTTGTCGAATCCCATTCGAACTTCCCGGCGAGATCCAGCGTGAATTCGTTTTGGAGTCGGCAGATGCAATTCGAAGCTTGAAAATGAACGACGTTGATGGGAATGGAACGGAATTCTTCAACTATAAACTTACTGCATTGGAGTGTCTAGCAGTGAAACCGCCCTTACTTTAAGGGTTTTGGGCTTAAGTACACAAATAAACATCATTCTGAGTGCCAAACGATTTCTCTTATATCATTGCTCCAAGCGTTCAATTCTTTTTTCAACCCCTGCGATTGGGATGGGGGTTATTAGCGAAAAATACTCTAAACAGAATCACGCGCTCATATTCGTATGTATCCCTATCTTTCTTCTCTAGGGGATATTCACCCCCCCCTCCCCCCGTTCTACATCCTTCCCCAAAACCCCCCGGCACACGATGATCTTATGACAGTTGCAGGAAGACGAACATTCAATCTACCTTCTCGGGTGGAGGAGGGGGTTATTATTAGTTCTCACTCTCATTCTCTTTGTCTCCTCATTCCCTTATTTGCAGAACCCATGCTGTCAAGAGATGGCGCTGAAGCTCGACTTTCTAACCTGCGCCACATTTCAACGATCAGAGGCGGACTGGGTACTTACGGGCCAGGTGGAATTGCATAGGTTACGGGCCATTAAAGTATTAGTGTAGTAATGAAAGTGGCGGGGGGGGGGGGGGGTAGCTCTGAGGGGCACCACAAAAACATTTTAAAGTACTCCTTTCTCGAAAATCAATTTTCTTATAGAATGTGGCTTGTAGAATCCATAATTTCAAACAGTTCCAAGATTGGGCTACTAGTTCAAAAGTTACAGCCCTTTGAATTTTTTTTTCGAAATTGGTTTCTAGTCTATAACTTTTGATTGAGAAGTCTGATCGAAAAAGTACGAATTGATTTGGATTCTATGCACCCAAATTAATAAGAAAAAGTGTTTTCCCGAGAAATTTTGGTGTAGTCGATTTTTGGTAAAAAACTAAGGTTATACACTGCCTTTTTTTGAGCCCCGAAAAAAAATTGTCTCACATCGACCCGGAAAAAAATTTGCTTATAGAATGTGACCTGTAGAATTGTAGCCTTTTGTCGTTACTTAGGTAATTTAGTTACCTTCCTAGTGCCAGAGAGGTGCATTGGTACGACTCTTAGAAGCCTCCCGTGGCCCATGGAACGGGAGCCCTTATTGGAGTTGACCTTTTTCGAATTTTTGTTAGAGTTGCGCGTTTTGTAGGTCATAAGTATACAGGGTAGTTATCCCAAAAGTTTATTTCCATAGTTTTAAAAGTCTATGGTTTCCGAATGAATTTGGCGATCCATAATTTCATGTCACCGACCTCCGAGTGCACAGTGGCTTTGAAAAAATTACTGGCGACAATACTTAATTCTTAAAGGCGTTGAGCAAAACAGCTCAGTCAAGATGACGTAGTTTTTTTTTATTGACCGTGGATTTGATTTATGGCCCTAGCGCGCGCCTCATTGGTTAGGCTTGACGAATCCGATTCGTTTTGGATATGGCCGCGTTAACCTATTGGGTGGTCTTGTCGACAGATGAAAAGGGTAGGGACAAATCTAGAGACGGGAGAATGAAGGTATTCGTTTTTGGGTCACGAGAGCGACAATTTCGTGGTTCAAAATACAGTAAGTAGCAAATTTTGAGTGGGTGAAAAAGTTCGCGGAGAAGGACCTCAGGGATTGCGGCAAGTCATCGTGCGCAACAGTTTCTAATCAGAAATTATGTGCGAAAATGTGCATATTTTGGGTGGGTGAACAAATGAATCAAATCGCCCAGATGGGCCTAAGGGATTACGCGTGGAAATTAAATGGGCAAATATCAGTGATTCACATTCATTCGAATGCGCGAATTAAATATTGTAAATTAATAAACAATTCATTAGAGACAATAAATTGGGCACGAGCGCGCGCGTAAGTTCGTAACAATTTCAGTTGAAAGATAGCGATTAGTCTGTAGCTGATATATGTAAATCGCAATGAAAAAACCGTTATCACCGTTCATTGCGATAATTAACCTAATTTAGTATTCAGCCATGAGCAAGGCAGAACTTTATGTGGAACTCAGTAAAATAAATGAAAAGGACGCCGAGCGTGTTTTAAAAAAATGTGCAGAGATTGTCGAGTGGAGGGAGGACTGCGCCGTTTTGGACATCGGGTGCGGACCGGGAAACGTAACCCACAATGTGATCGTGCCAGCCCTTCCCAAAGCGGCGCTTATCGTGGGGATTGACAAACAGCTTGCGGTGGTCGATTACGCAAACGCAAAGTACGCCACCAACGAACCCAGGATAAAGTTCGAGGCAGTGGACGTCGTCTCCGATGGCGGCTTCGTTGCGAATCATCGGGAAGACTTTCACCACATCTTCTCGTTTTACTGCCTTCAATTCGTGAGGGAACTGGAGTAAGTGATAAATTGATGGTTAGTGTGCTTTTTCATCCCTCAATTTCAGGCTTGCTCTAAGGAACATCTACACCATGTTGAAGCCGGGTGGAAGTTTCGCCTTCATATGCTCGGTGCACAACGACTTCTTCTCGATAATGTCGCACATGGCCAAAATGGAAAAGTGGACCCCGCACATTTCGCAATACGAAAACTATTTGTACCCCTACGAGTCGTCCCCGCACCCTGACGAAGAAATCCGGTCGCTACTTCTGAAAGTGGGTTTTCAGGTGATGGATCTCACCATGGATCCGCAACACTGTAAGATGCCATTCGCCGATGCTTCAGGTAAGAAAAGCTACCCAACGAGTAACATATAACCTCGCGCCTTTTTCCAGAATTTGTCGTCTGTCGAGTCCCATTCGAACTTCCCGGCGAGATCCAGCGTGAATTCGTTTTGGAGTCGGCAGATGCAATTCGAAGCTTGAAATTGAACGAAGTTGATGAGAATGGAACGGAATTCTTCAACTATAAACTTACTGCATTGGAGTGTCTAGCAGTCAAACCGCCCTTACTTTGAGGGTTAAGTTCTTACACAAATAAATATCGTTCTGAGTTCCAAATGATTTCGCTTATATAAAGTTATAATGACATCATTGCTCCAAGAGTTCAATTCTTTCCTGGGGGAGGGGGTTATTATTAGTTCTCACTCTCATTCTCTTTGCCTCCTCTTCTACTTCCTGTATGTCTTCCTTTTCTTTCACTTTCTCTCCCTATACCCTTATTTGCAAACCCATGCTGTCAAGAGATGGCGCTGAAGCTCGACTTTCTAACCTGCGCCACATATCAACGATTGACACGCCACTAACCACCTTTCATGCTTATTTTGTAGCCTTTTGTGGTTACTTAGGTAATTTAGTTGCCTTTTCTAATGCCAGAGAGGTGCATTGGTACGACTCTTAGAAGCTTCCCATGGCCCATGTAACGGGAGCGCATCATTGGGCTTGATCTTTTTCGAATTTTTGTTAGAGTTGCGCGTTTTATAGGTCATAAGTATACAGGGTATTATTCCAAAAGTTTATTTCCATAGTTTTAAAAGTCAATGGTTTCCGAATGAATTTGGCGATCCATAATTTCATAAGTCACCGACTTCTGGTTGCGCAGTGGCTTGAAAAAATTACTTCCCTAACGTTGACCAAAACAGCTCAGTCAGGATGCAGTTTTCTTAAGTATCGCATTTTTTTTTAATTGACTCTAGCGCGCGCCTCATTGGTTAGGCTTGACGAATCCGATTCGTTCACGTTTTGGATATGGCCGCGTTAACCTATTGGGTGGTCTTGTCGACAGATGAAAAGGGTAGGGACAAATCTAGAGAAGGGAGAATGAAGGTATTCGTTTTTGGGCCACGAGAGCGTTAATTTCGTGGTTCAAAATATACTAAGTAGAAAGTTGTATATTTTGAGTGGGTGAACAAGTTCGCGGAGAAGAACCTCGAGGATTACCTGTGGAAGTACAATGTGCAAATCCCTTTGAATTCGCGAATTAAATTTCGATCGCATAAAATACTTACGATCATTTATTTGGCGGATACATATCGATCGAAGATCGGCTACCCTGTCACGAGACCGGAATTTCAATCAAGGGCGTCCAAATTAGAGAAAGAGTCGGTATTCCAGATACGGCCAATTACGATAACATTTACCAAATGAAATAATTCATTTCTTGCGCAAGATATTATCATTGTAAACGAATTCTCGACTGACCTATGGCGTTAGCGCTATTATAATCTATTACATGCTGTTTTCTGTTGATTTTGCCATAATTTGCCCCAGAAGGCACACCGATAACTCTGTATCGCTATCGGCGTAATTTGCGATAAAAAAGTGATTACCTAATTTAGTATTTTCAAGTTCACAGTCCAGTCATGAACAAGGCACAACTATATGTGGAGCTCAGTAAAAAAAATGAAAAGGACGCCGAACGTGTTTTTAAAAAATGTGCAGGGATTGTCAAGTGGAAGGACGACTGCGCCGTTTTGGACATCGGGTGCGGCCCGGGAAACGTAACAAACAATGCGCTCGTGCCGGCCCTTCCCAAAGCGGCGCTTATCGTCGGGATTGACAAACAGGGCGCGCTGGTCGATTACGCAAACGCGAAGTACGCGACCAACGACTCCAGGTTGAAGTTCGAGAACGTGGACGTCGTCTCCGATGGCGCCTTCGTAGCGAATCACCGGGAAGTCTTCCACCACATCTTCTCGTTTTACTGCTTCCACTTCGTGAGGGAATTGGAGTAATTGATAAATTGCAGTGAGTGCGCTTCTTCATCCTTCAATTGCAGGCTCGCTCTAAGAAATATCTACACCATGTTGAAGCCGGGTGGAAGTTTCGCCTTCACGTGCTCGATGCACAACAACTTCTTCTCGATAATGTCGCACATGGCCAAAATGGAAAAGTGGACCCCGCACATTTCCCAATACGAAAACTATTTAAACCCCTACGAGTCGACCCCACACCCTGACGAAGATATCCGCGCGGTACTGCTGAAAGTAGGCTTTCAGGTGATGGACATCACCATGGATCCGCACCACTGGAAGATTCCATTCGCCGATGCTTCAGGTAAGAAAAGCTGCCCGCCGAGTAACAATAACCTCGCGGACTTTTCCAGAATTTGTCGTTTCACGAGTCCCATTTGAACTTCCCGGCGAGATCCAGCGGGAATTCGGTTCGGAGTCGGCAGATGTAATTCGAGCCTTGCGATTGAACGACGTTGATGAGAATGGAACGGAATGCTACAACCTTAAATTTACTGCATTGGAGTGTCTAGCAGTCAAACCACCCTTAGTTTGAGGGTTAAGTACACACTCTGTTCACAGTTCCAAGTGATTTGCTCTTATATAAAGTTGTAATGACATCATTGCTCCAAGAGTCTAATTCTTTTCCTCCACCCTTTCGATTAGGATGAGGGTTATTTTCCTGAATTTGCATAATTGTTGAACTTCAAATTCAAAAAATGGCTGCTAATCTCTCCCACCAACAGAATCCTTTTCTTTTACCAACCACATTTTTACCTATCAAAAGGGCGAAATTGAGTAAAATGGGGCGCGGACACGTCAGTGAGGAGTCTTAAACTTTCTAAAATTTCCCCCCCATATGAAATATGGGTTCCGGTTCCGCACTATTTAGGTAGAATCATTTTTAAGGGTTCCGCGTAGACTCTACCTACAAAAGGGAGAGAACCGAAAAATACCGGTTCTCTGGCACTAATAATAACTGTATCGGTTATCAAAACTTTTTAAATAATGGTTCCGGTTGCAAGTCAGAAGCTTATAAATGCAATCGGTTCCGGTTCCAATCCCTGATTGGAAACCTTTTACCGTCACGAAAAGACGTATTTTCCTTAATTTCCTAGGTCGGGACTTTATTTTGCCGAAAATTAATACAAATATGAAAACCTTAACGCGAGTAGTCAGAGTCAGAAAAGGAACAACCCGCCTCTGGTGGAACTCATATACTCCGGTCACGAAATAACGAATTTATAGCAATGCCGAGCCACAGCCGAAGGCGAGATCGGCATAAACCAACCGCTCGTTCGAAATTCTATACCGTGTTATACTGTTTCGGTCACAAAACACAGAGTTCATACCAATATGGAGCGAGCCGAAGGCGAGATCGGAATAAATCAACCGCTCGTTCGAAATTCTATACCGTGTTATACTGTTCCGGTCACAAAACACAGAGTTTATACCAATGCCGAGCGAGCCGAATGCGAGATCGGCATAAATCAACCGCTCGCCCAAAATTATGGAGCGTATTATACTGTTTCGGTCACAAAACACAGAGTTCATATCAATATCGAGCGAACCGAAGGCGAGATCGGCATAAACCAACCGCTCGTTCGAAATTCTATACCGTGTTATACTGTTTCGGTCACAAAACACAGAGTTTATACCAATGCCGAGCGAGCCGAATGCGAGATCGGCATAAATCAACCGCTCGCCCAAAATTATGGAGCGTATTATACTGTTTCGGTCACAAAAGTTATACCGATGCCAACCGAGCAGTGTCCCGAAGGCGAGATAATAATAATCATAATAATAATAAAACATTCATCTTACTAAATACCGCAAATATGATAATAATAATAAACATAATCGTTACTTGATTTTAATCCGTGCGATTAGTTAACCAGGCTAGACCTGAGTTCTGACTTGCCTTTAATTATACCCCAAAAAAATGTACAGGAATAAAATAACGCACTTCTACAAGGCGAAGTTCGAAGACTACCGCTGTTTATTCTTTCACTTAACCCTGGAACTATTCCGACTGTTACATACATTAAAATTAAACAAACTTATATATCCGTGTGGCGCAGTTCAGTTAAAGCTGAACTGTGGTGCTAAGGGTCCCTGGTTCGAATCCGGGTTCGGGCATGGATATTTGTAAATGTATAGATGAGTTGAGTTGGTAGACCAGCCTTGGCTGAAACCCCGCCTACTCAAAAATAAAGGCAAAATAAAAAATATATATACAAAATAAAATAAATATATAAGAAATAAAATAAAAATACTTGACGTGTATTTAGAACAAACTGGGATTGAAACAAAACGGCAATTATGCGCTGTTAAAGCATACACATATTGACGAGATTATTATGCGCCAATTATTTAAAAATTTGCGCGTTTTGTATCTTAAAGGTAAATATACCCCATGCGTTGCTGTGACCCTGATACAATTTTTTAATAAAAAATATGTTTTTATCGTCTTATTTATTATTTCTGAAACTAGGGAGGCCAAGGGAAAGAAGTACGGGAAGTGGACAAACGCCCATTGATCGCCTTTTACGATCTCCAGGGCGGGAGTGGGCCAATTCTACCCCCGGACCCACAGGGGGAAATTTATTTTATTTATCGGAACTTTCTATGTATATAGTCATTTCTGCAACAAGCCATCCTCAAGGACTGGATAGTTTGGAACAGTCAGCAGCCGAGAAAAGATTTGTATCACTAGTTTATTTATATCAATATAACATTAAAACAAAGCGTAATCTGCTAACATACACATTAGTACACAGCTCTACCGCTGAAAAGCGCCAAATCCTAACCCAACACCGCGCATCGTGTGGGTTGCGGTTCGCGCCACCTCGTACTGCGCCTCCATTGACGTGAACATCTCCTCCTGTTTTCGCAGGCTGTCGTTTGCGGGTTTAGTGGCACCGGGCTGACTGCCCCTGATTCCCATCAGACGCTTGAATTTATTCGCGACTTTACCTACGGGATTCGCCTAAAGATATGCGTTAAAGCGGCCGCCACTTACCGTCGGTGTCCTGCGCGAACGTAGTGTTCTGCCAGACCTTTTGCGTTTGGGTGGGCGGCGCGGTTACGATCGCGGGCGCCGCGGCATCTTTCTTCTGCCACAGCATCTTTCTTCTCTGTATCTGCTCGGTGAATCTGCCGGTGATGCCCGGCATGAAGAATCTGTCCTTATCTTGAGCCTTGTCGCCGGCAACCTCTACGGAGCTGCCCGCCGATTCAGCACCAGGTTTCAAGTCTATGCCTACGGTAAGAGTGGAAGAAAATTAAGACGCACAGTTGAGGTTATGCGAACCTAGCTTTTCGAGGCGATCCATTTTGTTGCCGGAACGGTCGAAACGTTTCGAGTAGCCGCCCCTGACTCGCTCCCGACTGCTCGACCGCTTTGACCTTTTCGGCGAACGACTTCTGTGCCTCTCTCGACTTGACGCTCTGTATGTGTGTCGATCTTCTTTGTAATCATCTTTGCTTCGGCGATTGTCCCGATACCTCGCCTTCTCGTCGCGACTCCTGTCCCGTTTGTGGTCGCGATCGTCCTCCCAGCTGCGCCGGTCCTCCCGATCTCTACTTCGTCGGTCTTCGCGATCTCTGCTTCGGCGATCTTCGCGATCTCTGCTTCGGCGATCTTCGCGATCTCTGCTTCGGCGATCCTCGCGATCTCTACTCCGCCGACGATCTCTGCTTGGATCTTTACCGCGCGAATCTTGATACTTCGGACTGGAGCGAGCGTGCTCGTACTTATACTTATCCTTCTCCTTTGGCACGTCGTCTTTGTATTTCGAGTGGTAATCCTTCGATTGCCGGCGCTTATCGAACTTTGCCGAATCGTTCGAGTCCTGAGGAAAAATGTCGTCTTACCTATACAGAATATACATATTACAGCTTTATAATTAAAACTTAAAGTACTGGTAGGCAGTTTGTGAAATAACGCAAATGTACAGACATTCGACCTGTGGTCATTTGTTCGCTCTACTTTCTATTTAGTTGAAGGCGCACAATTGAGTAACAATAGCGCATAAAACTTAATTAGTAATATACGAATGTAATTTCCTATGGAAACGAACACAAATGTAATTAAAGTCGCGCTACTTGTTTTACGTTTGATTAAGATCAAGGCGCTCAATTTAATTGCAACGGCGCATAATAAATTGTTATGCGCCGTTTACATAAAAATTATTAATGCGATTATTATGCGCCACAAAAATTTGTGCGTTTTGTCATTTTGTGTAACATTAATAGATGCGACCTGGTTTCAAAAATCTGCCTCAGAAAAAGTTGTCTTATCATGCGCCGCCAAAGAAAAAAATAGAGGCGATTATTATGCGCCATTAACATACAAATTTTGCGCGTGCCGTATCTTAAGGGTAATAACGTGCATTTTTTTAACTGGGACAGAAACAATACGCTAATTATGCGCCTTTAAGAGAAAATATATATAATAATATATTTATATATATTATAAATATATATATATATATAATAATATATTTATTATACGACGCTAAATGAAAAAAAAACGATTATTATGCGCCGTTTATATAATCGTTTTTTTTTCATTTAACGTCGTATAATAAATATATTATTATATAAATATATATATTTATTATACGACGCTAATGAAAAAAAAAACGATTATTATGCGCCGTTTATATAAACATTTTTGCATCTTATCTTAAAGGAAAATATAACGTTCACAAAAAAAACTGGGACAAAACAATACTCCAATTATGCGCCGTTAAAGGGAAAAGTTACTGATACGGTTATTATGCGCACTAATTATTAAACACAAATTGGTATAAAATGGGTACATTAGAATAATAAAGGAGATAATAAAGGAGAAAGGAGAGAAAAAACTGGAACGGAAGCAAAACGGCAATTATAAAGTTTTGCAAAGCACGTAATATATTATTATTATTTATTATGCGCTGTTAAAGCAAACATTTATGGATGCGATTATTATGCGCAGTATATAAAAATGTGCGCGTTTTGTGTCTTAATGGTCAGTACGACCTGGTTTAAGTTAAAAAAATCTGTCCCAAAAAAAGATATCTATTATGCGCCGCCAAAGAGAAAAAATAGAGGCGCCATTTATAAAAAAATTAGTGTATTTTGTATCTGTGGGAAAATCTGGCGCCTATTTTTTTTAAACTGAAGCAAAAAAGACGCCATTTATGCGCCGTTATTGGAAAAATGATGAGTCGCCATTTGAATAAAAAAATTGTGCGTTATAAGAGTAAATACGACCTGGTTTCAGTTTTTAAAAAAATCTGGCGTCCATTATGCGCCGCTAAAGGGAAAAAAGGAGATTATTATGCGCCTTTTATATAAAAATTAGCATTTTTGTATCTTAAAGGTAAGTATGACATGCCTTTTTTTAATCTGGGACAGAAACAATGATTATGCGCCGTTAAAAGAAAGAAATTATCGATGCGATTCTTATGCGCCGTTTACATACAAATTTGTGCGTTTTGTATCTTAATGGTAAATATAACGTTAGCTTATTTTTTACATCTAAATCAAGCACATTATGCACCGTTTGTACAAAAATGTTTGCGCCAATAATAAACACTCTGTAGAACTTACTTATGTTAAAAAAAACCGAGTCAGAAAAAATACACCAATTATGCGCCCTTAAAGGACAAACTTTTCGATGCGATTATTATGCGCAGCTTATATATAAACTTACCGTTTGTATAATAATTTGTACATCAACAGCAAACATTCTTTAATAGAAACTTAGTGGTCCACAGTAAAATTATGCGCCGTTTGGAAAAAAAACTAAGCGGCAAAAGCAAATATTATTTTTAAAAAATTTTGCGAACGAATTATTATGCGCCGTTTGTACACAAATTATGCGCCCTAACGAAACACTTTTATCTCTGATTGGGAGACGAAATAAACAAATAAAAAAAAAAGATGGCGACCTAAGTTGAAACCACGCCCACTCCAGAATTGAGTTTTGCTCTTTCATTTAATCCTTAATTAATATGAAAAACAAGCCGTAATTAACTGACCAGTCGAAAATCTGTACATGAACATACATTTTTGACATTCAAATTCTAAAGAAAAAACAATAAAAAGGGGCTCAGAGGCTCTCCTTTTTGTACAATTCGCTCGGAAGTGAATAACTAAATGTAATTAAGGTAGCTGTCGTTACCTGGCCCGACAGCGTACGTGTACTCACCGAATTGTAGCAGGAGGTTGTGTTCAGAATGAGAACATTGGTCGACACATGCGGCGTTCACGCTCGATACCACTTTATCTTTACCAATAATACAGCAAGAGATTGAGTTAATATCATACGTCAAGATAAATTATTTCAAGCTTTAAATGAAAATATATTGACGGACGTCGTAACGAACGCGCCCCTTTCTCTTTTTGTTCGTGCACTTAAGAAAACTCGCGACAACACGAGCGCGATCGTTACGACCCAATCTTTGCCACTCGTTCAAATGACAAAAACCAACGAACGAGTGGCAAGTTTACGATTATCTACTGAGAAGTTAGGTGTAGGTTTTCCGCGTGGTTTTTTTTTTAGTTATACACAACCACCTTTCAGGGTTGATTTAATGCTAAAGCTATTACCTCACTTAGATCCATCTGAACCTCCTCGTAGTTAGCGTCGGCCTGGGACGAGTGCTGTAATGGAATTATTTATGGGGGCGATTTGAATAAGTTACTTTGACGGTACTGTACCTGTTTTCTTGAGTGCGAGTGGTCGTCGTAGTCGTCGTCGCTTCCGTAGCCGATTAGCGACTCCATGTCTTCTGCGGTTGCAGTTTTTTAGATTAAAATTGAGATTTGTAAACAACAATCATAAATAGTATAAAGATGGCTGAACGTTTGACGTTAGGGATTTCACTTTCAATACTACGTGGTGTTGGCAGCACTGCGAACCAACCTATAGTCAATTTCGCAACCTTTAAATTGTACCTATAGTCCATGTCATGCGCTTGATACGTATACGTCACGCCTCTTCATTTTCTTCATGTTGCCTCTTTCAAATTCTTTTGCACCTCCTTTCAAGCCCTTTTGTACACATCCTTTATATCTTCCTCCTCCTTCCATTTCTATCTCTTCATGCTTCATATTCATTTTTTTGCGTCTTTTTGGCCCCCTTCACGTACGCTTGTTCACTTCACATGTTCCTCAAATATTCTTCACGTCTACCCACTTCAAGCCTGCTACTAAGCCTTTGTCGGGCTTCTACTTCACCTCTCACTCCTTCCAATTGCTTATAGATAAGAAGTGGATAGGAGTAGATTAGGATGAGAATGGAAAGTAAGGTGAGAAAAGGATGTTAAAGAAATTGAGAAGAAAAGCCACGAGAAAGCGAAGACATAGGTAGACAAAGGGCATGTAACGATGGGAATAGATCCATAAAGGAGGCGTGTAGAAAGTAGAGAATTAGCAAGGAGAGCAGAACCAGGTGGAGAAACGAAGAAAGTCGAAGAGCAGGAAATTGAGGATGGAGGAAGTACAGAAAGCGGAGGAAGTACTAGAGAAAGGTCTCTCAAAATCCATTGTCAGTGGTGCCGAATTACTGAAGGCACGACTAGGTTCTTGTGACTCTGCTGACTCTACAACCACTCACGCCTGAACAGTGTAGGAGGAGATAGAAAAAAAGGGAGAGCAGGGGAATAGCGGAAAGAAAAACAGAATAACAGAAACTGGCGGTAGAGGAGGATGGCTAAGGAAAAAAAGAAGAAGGAGAAAAATGGAAAAGACAAAGTACACGAGGAAGAACCTATACATTGGGAGATGGACTGTAGGTGTCCTGTGATTTGAAATAACGCAGGAGAAGCAAAACAGGAGAAGAAAGGGAGGGTGCAGAGGAGTATAAACGGGTAGGGGTGAAAGCTGAACAAAGGGATTGAGGACAATAGGAAGAAGAGATAAGGAGAGGGAGAGTGAAAGAATAGAAGATAAAAAAAGATTATCAGAAACTGGCGGTAGAGGGGGATATGCTGTAGAACAAGATGACAAAGGAAAAAAGGAGGACGAGAAAAATGAAAAAGACAAAAGAAGAAACTATACATTGGAGATGGTTGTAGCTGTCCTGTGGACTTACAGATTCAAAATGATTTCTGAAGAAGTACACAGAAGAAGCAAAGCAGAAGAAGAAAGAGAGAATAAAGAAGAGTATAAACGGAAAGGAGTGGAAGCTGAACAAAATGAATGAAGACAATAGGAAGGACATATAGGAAGAAAGAGCGCGAGGGAATTGAGGAAAGAAAACGCCTATCAGAAACTGGCAGTAGAGGAGGATATGCTATAGAGTAAGATGGAAAATAAAGAAAAGGAGAAAAAGACAGAGGAAGAAACTATACATTGGAGATGGCTGTAGGTGTCCTGTATACTAAATGCTTTTTGAAGAAGTAACACAAGAAAAGTAAAGTAGAAGAAAGGGAGGATATAGAGGAGTATAAACGGGAAGGAGGGGAAGCAGAGGAAATAAAGTAGGATGAGAATGGGAGCAAAAGCAGAAGGTGGAAAAAATCATGAGAAAAAGGTACGTTGTCAGTGGAGGAGCACGGAATACCAAAAGGAAAGGGTAAGATGAGTAAGATGAGAAAAAGTAAGAAGGGTTGTTAAGGAAGAAGAAAGGGATGTTACGGAGAACAGTAAGCAAAGGTTTTCTCTTTTCGTTCTTGAGTTAGACGGACACAACTATCGCATAAGGGGAGAAAGGTAAACTGTAGAGCAAGTAAGAATAGAGCATAGAAAAAAGTAGATCAGAAAGAAAGTGTACATTGTGCAGGGGAGGGGAGAGGAAACGGTGGAAAGAGATACATGGTAGGTTAGTAGGTAGAAAAGCAAATCACACAAAAAGGATTACGGCGTGTAGGAGGACCAAAAAGAGGTAGGGTGAAAAGGATGAGGAAAGGGCAGCTGAAGAAATCAAGAAAGGTATGAGGAAGGCGAGAGGAAATAAGAGGACAAATTGGGACGATTGGGCATTGTTCTCGGCCCCTTTACGATTTCTTCTCTTCCTCAAAAATCCATCGCGTCTCCTTCACTACTCCTTTGCATCTTCTAATCGAAAAAGTACGAATTGTTTTGGATTATATACGCACCAAAATTAATAACAAAAAGTGTTTTCCCGAGAAATTTTGGTGCAGTCGATTTTTGGTAAAAAAGGAAGGTTATACACAGTCTTTTTTTGAGCACCGAAAAAAAAATTGTCTCAGATCGACCCGGAAAAAAAATTTTCTTATGGAATGTGGCCTGTAGAATCCATAATTTCAAACAGTTCCAAGATTGGGCTACTAGTTAGTTGGAATGTGGGCCTGTAGAAATCCATAATTTCAAACAGTTCCAAGATTGGGCTACTAGTTCAAAAGTTACAGCCCTTTGAATTTTTTTTCGAATTGGTTTCTAGTCTATAACTTTTGATTGAGAAGTCTGATCGAAAAAGTACGAATTGATTTGGATTCTACGCACCCAAATTAATAAGAAAAAGTGTTTTCCCGAGAAATTTTGGTGTAGTCGATTTTTGGTAAAAAAGGAAGGTTATACACTGCCTTTTTTTGAGCCCCGAAAAAAAAATTGTCTCAGATCGACCCGAAAAAAAATTTTCTTTTAGAATGTGGCCTGTAGAATCCATAATTTCAAACAGTTCCAAGATTGGGCTACTAGTTCAAAAGTTACAGCCCTTTGAATTTTTTTTCGAAATTGGGTTCTAGTCTATAACTTTTGATTGAGAAGTCTGATCGAAAAAGTACGAATTGATTTGGATTCTACGCACCCAAATTAATGAGAAAAAGTGTTTTCCCGAGAAATTTTGGTGTAGTCGATTTTTGGTAAAAAAGGAAGGTTATACACTGCCTTTTTTTGAGCCCCGAAAAAAAAATTGTCTCAAATCGACCCGGAAAAAAAATTTTCTTATAGAATGTGGCCTGTAGAATCCATAATTTCAAACAGTTCCAAGATTGGGCTACTAGTTCAAAAGTTACAGCCCTTTGAATTTTTTTTTGAAATTGGTTTCTAGTCTATAACTTTTGATTGAGAAGTCTGATCGAAAAAGTACGAATTGTTTTGGATTCTACGCACCCAAATTAATAAGAAAAAGTGTTTTCCCGAGAAATTTTGGTGCAGTCAATTTTTGGTAAAAAAGGAAGGTTATACTATGCCATTTTTTGAACCCCGAAAAAAAAATTGTCTCAGATCGACCCGGAAAAAAACTGTTCTTATAGAATGTGGCCTGTAGAATCGATAATTTCAAACAGTTCCAAGATTGGGCTACTAGTTCAAAAGTTACAGCCCTTTGAATTTTTTCCTTTCCTTCCTTTTGCCTTCCTCGCGTCTTATTTCCGCCTTTTTCCTCAAATCCCCACTGCAATTCCTTCACGTTTCTATATGATATCTCATACGCATCTCCTTCATACTTGATTTACCTCTTCCTCCGCATCTCCTACACTGTCCTCCTCACGTTTTGTTTACATCTTCGGGCCTCTTTTTCACATTTTCTCTTTTACCATGCTTCACTTGCCTTTATTATTTCACGCCTCATTAACTCGTTCTTTGCGTTACACATCCTTAAAGACTCTCTCAAAATGTTCAATCCCCCCTCACCCCCTTCGCCACGGGGATTTACAATACTTTGTAGCTTAGCTGAATACAAAATATACAGGGTGTTCCATTAAACTGAATGAAATTTTGTTGAATATCTCGATAACTTGGTGCTTAGATGTTTTTCTGATTTAACATTTGTCAAAAAATCTAGGTTTCCGCAAACTGTGTGGGCTTTAGGTCATCCTGTTTACTGTATGGACGCCTCCTCATATTTAAAAATAGAAAGAATGCATATATTTCGAATTTTTACAACAGGACGGTACCAAGGTCTTCCTGCCAGCGTATTGTCATAAAAGAACGTAACTTCAAGGAATTTACCTTGAAATCAAATACCTGCAATACACAATAAGCGAACGGTGAAGTGAAAGAAAGTAGTATCACGTAACACTGTATTTACTTTTGTTGTTTACGTAAAGGTCGCTGGTGAATCCTAATTTGAGCGTTGTTGTGCAACGTTAAAGTCTCCCACGCGTCACACTTTCTGAATGTAGCACTAGACCGGTTGGCAAAAAGGACCCATCGAGATCCCACTTTTACAAAGAAGGCAATGGTGAAGGTGAAGGTGACGTCATCGCTTGTTAACTGTAAACCAGTTCGGCAAGTGCTTGAAATAAATCGCGTCACTCATTCAGAAAGTTAAAGACTTCTTTGTGTGTCTGTAGTGGTAGCTGCTGTTTTTTTTTTAAAGAAAGTGCCAATTTCTAATTAGCAGGTCAGGTGGGTAGAAGGGGTCTTGCAGTTCTGTGATAATCCATTACAATAAAGGTTGTATTGGGTGTGTGGGTGATTTCAATATTAACACCGCGCGTTTTGTTCGCAGCCAAACATGAAGCTCGCCCTTATTTTATTAGTTCTACTAGTCGAGGTGTTCTGCAAGAAGGATATGCTCCGAAAAAGCATAGTTTTCGACCAAAAAACGCCAGATGTTTTTTACTGTCCAATCCACAAGCCCACATCGATGGATAAGCTAATGGTGAAGTAAGCGATCCACTCGGCTAATTACCGCGACTTATCGCCTAATTTCTAGAGCGCGACCTTTGAAAAAACTGTGCGAGTTTGAGGGAAAAGAAATTCCCGAAGACTACAAGAGCGATTGTTACCAGGACGTCGACGAAAGCGACTACGCGTGCAAGGAGAAATATCGAATTATGGTAATCCATTTATTTTACATTTGCGTAATGGAAAGCTTAAAGTGAAATTGCACTTGTAAATATCACCATCGAAAGTGGAAAAAGTGATGATATTTTTTTTGTTTTTCAGACGCGCATTAAAAAGCTTCAGCTGGCGGATATTAATAAGGACGCTGGATACTAAAGCTATAATCAATAATGGCCCATTATCATCCCTCACACTTTGTATCATACTCATTTGCTATTTTAATTCATGGGGGTAGCAGTTGGTGGCGGCAGTCGTTACTTTATTTATTAACGTATTTCTAAGACACTTCTATGTTTATCTCGATCTATCCTAACCATTCATAATTTTTGATCCACCCTGTGCATTGTTATCGCTTTAAAATACAGTGAAGAGCAACGATTAGGTAGGTAGCGCTTGTCTCTAGATCTTGTCGCAAAGTCCGTCATGATTGGTCCGAAATAGCGCGGGAAATTTTAAATTTGCCGCGCTTTTTTTAAATCAAACAAGGCGGACGCGCCTCTTTCGCACTCATCTGGACGTTTCCGGGTGACTTAACTTTTTATATTTCTAGATGCGTCTTTACCCACCCGGCTCAGATTCTCCCTTCGATGGTACACGCCTTAAACGATTCATTAACGTCGATCATCAGTTTGTTAAGCACGGTAGCACAAAGAGCGTACAATTGCAAGATCGTTTGGGTTGAAAGAGTAAACCTATACCGAGTACTGATCTGTTCCTAACCCCTTTATTACTGTACCTTAATTTAAGAAATCGTTAGATTTGTTAAACATATTTTCTAATTTGAATAAAAAAAAAGTCCCTTTTAGCTAAACAAGGACGCCAAATGACGTCTTGTTCTTTGTACACTACACACAGGATTCAAACCGGAAAATTAAAATTGCATATTTACTATACTTAGTAGGTAAACAATAATAAAGTTATATTTACCTGTGATAGCAGCCCTTCCTTCCACAATCAGGCTCGCAGGAATTCAAAACGTGGCCCTTAGCATTATTTCATTAAGAAATCGGGGCCCCAGAGATGCATTAAGTTTTCCTAATAATCTTCCATTTGTATCAGTATGTAGGTACCTAATTATATTTTCCCGATAAAAATTTCTCCTAAAAAATTAGGTATCAGGATCATAGAAATGCGAGACAAATTATATCTGTAAGTACCTTTCAACCATTGAATAAAAAACACTATTTTTATTCAATGCTTTTCAACGTATTCGATTTCCTGCAGCGCAAAGAACGTCTAAAATGTAAACGCAAGCACATTCCTGATACGAGCATTTCTCAGGATATATTGAAAAATACATTCTTTCGCATGTTCTCCTGATTTTTTCTTAAAAAGTGATGTATTAGAACTATAGAGATCCTTCTCACGTCCAGAATTAATACAAGCTTTCCCTTTGACACATGATTGCATCAGGACCGCAGCTACGCAAAAGTGTAAAATGAACATCTTTCTAATTCTCCTGATACGGGCGTCTCTGAAAAATTGTACAAATATCGCAGAAACGCAAGTACGTAGAAATAAACTTTCTCACTTTTATTATGTTCTCCTGATACCAGATTCATAATTTGTCAAAATCAGGATTGCAGAAATGCAAAACGCTTTAAATTGAGTGGTTCTTTCGTATTGTGTACTGAATAGCCAGGAGCATAGAAACGCAAAATTGGATATTTATTGCCAAATACCTTGCAAATATGAGCTTCTCTTAAAAATATTCAATATCACATTAGGGAAAAAGTTTGTAATGTATTACTCGTGTACAATCTTCTCTTTTGAAATCGCTTATTATGTTTTCCTGATACAAGAGTCTCTATTAAAAAATAAGATTACAGAAATGAAAAAGAATTTTAAATTTATTTAGAGACGTACCTATTCTCTTCCGGTATGCGCTCCTAATACTAACATGTCTCTCAATAAATTCTGATTTAAAAATGAGGGTTTATACGAAGAGAGAAGATAATATTTTCAACTTTTTTGCGCTTCTGTGATACTGATTTGCAAGAAAGGAGTTTGTACCAGGAGACCAGAATAAGAGAAAAGCTTAACATCCCGAGTTTCTGTAACTCATATGCAACCATGATTATAATAGACACACATAGTAGGAGAACATGATTCGTGTGGTGCTTTTCGAATGCATTTTTAACTTTATCGCGTTTCTGCGATCTTGTTTGCATCAGGAGAACGTGTAATATTAATGCATCTCTCAATAATTGCAAGAGATTTATAACAGAACAATGTAATACATGAGCAGATGTTTACTAAACTAATTTTGTACTTTCTCGAGTTTCTGTGATCCTGATACAATCATATTAATGGTAAATTTATGTCGGAGAACATATACTATACGAGCGAACCTTTGTCTCAATGAGTTTGTTGAACCTGTTTCCGATTGCTTAACCTAATAGGGATAAATATACCAAATTTGGATTAGGAGAACATAATACGAAGGAAGGGTATCTCAATTTGTTGACAACAAATGAAAAGATATTTATTAACAAATTTTCACCTTCCTTCGTTTTTGTGACCCTTTTATACAACATTCTAAAACGGGTATTAATATCATAGAGATATATGTCTGCCACTATACATTTCTTTTTTTGTTGTTGCTTCGATTATGATACAATCGTTTTTACGAAGGATTACATATGTGTCTTTGTGATACAAAAGTAGTTTGTACCAGGAGAACATAATACGAACTTTGATTTTTAAATGGAAGGCATAACCTAAAAAACACTTAGGAAAATATTTAACACCTTCTGAGTGTCTGTGATCCTCATCAATTATATAGTACAGGAGTGCATAATAGGAGAAAACGCCAATCAACTTTAAATTTGTTGTATTTCTGATATCCAAATTTAAAAAAAAGAAGCTTATGGATCAGGAGAACATAATAAGAAGGAAGATACAAATCTTACACCTTCTTGCGTTTTTGTGATATTTATACAATTTTTAAAAGCGAACCTGATGCAATCACTTATAAATGTTGTGATTCCATTATAGTCCTTTAAGGGGAAATTTGTACCAGGAGAACATGATACGAAAGAAGGTGCTTTCAATATCCTTGAACCCTATTTGCATTTCTGTACTTGAAAATGGAGTTTGTATAAGGAAAAAATAGTGCGTAAAGACAATACACTGTGTGCGTAGAGCTCACGTACATAAGATTAATTATGAAAACTTCCAGAGTAGTCAAACCTTTCAAATATATTGTAGTTTTCTAGGTTTTTTGAGTATTCTAGAGTGACCTAGCGCTAGGAAAACAATTGAAAGGCAGCTGCACAGCTCTCTTTTCAACTTAGTCGTATGATTTTGATGCTGTGACCAGGATGCAACATTGAAAAGTTGCAGAGCGTTACGTGAAGAGAGACGACTAGGATACATGTGTGATCACACCAGTCACCCTCCGAAAGAATGCCCTTGCGGGATAATTGTAAGGTTTTTTGTACAATTTAAATACAAAAAAGGGAAAATAATACACTTGGCAATACATTTTATATCATCAATTTATTGAGTCATATATGTTACAAAATTGTGCTGACGTGACCTACCCCTCCGAGAGGTACACCTCACCCTCGTTCGGCACCGACTCCAAGTGTGTCTAGGGTCCTCAAAAAATTAATTTCGATTTCTGAAACTCAAAAATAAATTAATCTTGAATTGGATTTAATTAGGAAAGCTTACTTTTACGTCAGACAATCCACTTGTCACACAAGGTCGCTAAATCTTTAATTGGAAGCAGTTACAGCACAAATGAATAAACACATAAATGTATAATCAGACTCCTCTACTGGTAGGCTGCCCCTCGTTCGGCACCGACACTGCAGTGGTTTTCATTTCTGTCCCTAAGGTTTTAGCAGAATAATACCCTTTTCAATCAATTTCATTTTTATTTATCAATTATCCAGAATTTTTTTAGCCATATTGCGAACGACGATCTCACTGTCCATGTCTCAGGAATATTTTTCGAAATGGAATAAAATTTTATAAATGAACACATGGACGATATATGGCAAAAAAAAAATTATTTTAAAACGTGGTACAGTCGGCGAAATAAATAAATGTCAAAAATTAACATAACCTACAATACTAAAACAAAATTACTACTGCTAACTATTCAATTTGGAATAGCCTATAAATAATTTATATTTGTTAAGGCAGTGAGCTAAATGTTGTACTAAAAAAACGTTGCGATTACACAAATTTAGTTACTAAAACGCTAACCAAGGATGATTCTTTAAAGATTCCCTAGATCGATCTCCGTAATCGTAACTTATCTCCTCGCCAACGGCGATATCGTCCTTTGCGAGAAGTATTAGGTGGGGATAACCGTCGACCGATACCGTCCGGGTGATCAGATTGCCGTTCCTCGAGTGGTTGACCAATCGACCCAGGCGTCCAGATTCGGCGGTAGCGTCAATGCTAAAAAAAACAAGTCACCAGGATAACAGGGAAAAAAGGAGCGACTTACCAGTATTGCTGATTTAAATACTTAAAATAATACATATAACACCCTGTCGTTTCGTCTTCGGCGTACTTGGCTTCTCGAATTTTTGCCGCAGTGACATCTAGCAGTTCGCCGCTGTACTCGACCACGAAATCGCCCCGACTGAAGGGTTTGGCGGCAACCACGCCGCGGCCCTTCCCTTCAAAGTAAGTCACCTGAAACAAAACAGGGGGTTTGGTTATTTCAATTAAAAAAGCAAGGACCAATTTTGCAGGAGAAAGTTTTAGTTGGGTATGCTGTGGTTGGGCCCCCTTAAGACGACAAAATTTGATGGCCGTCCGGCCCACCACCCAGGTATAGGCTACCTATTGCACAAAATTCCAGAACTCTAAGACAATTCCCCTAAAAGTAGTTCAAATGCTCGTATCGCCCCGGGTTAAGGTTTCCATATAAACCAATGCTCCGTCAGCAGCAAGGCGACTAAACAGCGCTGGTAAGTCGCCTAGTGTGAAGGGGCACTTAAAGCTGACCTTTCCGAAACCCGTTTTACCACATTTCTCACTTTTTTCGAATTTTTCAGACCTCTTTCGATACTTTCCGCTTTAAAATAAACGCAAAATTAATGAAAACGACGTTAACAGCGCCTTCGGCAACCTTCGTGCGTGACGTCATTAAACGAAAAATGTTGAAGCGGTCACGTGACTTACGCAGAGCCTCGGGAGAAATTTTATTAGGGCGCCGTCCTCCACGTAACCGTCGCGTTCTAAACGGAAAAAGAAAGAAAAAACTCGACCGCAGGTGCGTACGCAGATTCCGTGCCGAAATCACGTCGCCCTGCCGCGTTATTCCAAAACGCGCGTTTTCCCCCCCCCCCCCCCCCCCCCGGGGTTGATAGGTCGACCCCGATAATCACCGGAGGAATTTTTTCGGCCCAGTGGAAAGTTGCGGCAACTATCCCTACCCCCCCCCCTCGCCGGCGCCTCGACGCCCTAAGTCCGACCGTCTGGAAGCGGCGAACTTTTCAACGCCCGCGCGCACATCCATGGCAACGCTTCCAGCGAATTATCCCAGAGGATTGATCTAAGAACATCTCAAAATTGTCATTAATCTTTAATGAAATTATTAAGCACTTTAAATACGCTTAAGGGATGTTTGACCCCTACGAATGGTATTGGAACTTATTAAAATAGCTCCCTAAGTATCATAGATAAAAATCAAGGCTCAACTGTAAGAAGTGAGTACAATTTTTATGTACCTGTAGCACCTGGTACCTGAGAATTGGCCGTCGGGCCGAGCTAGGGAGTTGGCATACCTTCCCTGTACAGGATGGTTTAAATTACACACTTTGTTACACAAACTCCCTTTATTTTAAGATAGAAAAGAATGCACTTAGGTGTCAGGAGCTCAATTTTAAAGAGAAAAAAATCACTGGCACAAACAGAATTCAGCTATGTTTAATCGTTTGGTCAGTAGGGGGCGTTTCTCGAATGTAGTCATTTCTTATTAAAAACAATTGATTTTGGCAAAATCTTTCTTAGGGCACTTTTTTATGTAAAATCTTTCACGATTCGCAGTTTTTATACAGGGTGTTTCGTTTTTCTTAGATGACCCTAAACTACATCTTTTCATATGGACCACCCTCTATATTTTGGAGTTTTTGGAAAGAGTATACAATTCCCTAAATTTTGATGGATCACTTGTATTTATAATAAATATTATTTACAATATTGCTTTTCATACATTAAAATATTTTTACAGCGAACATCTAGGTTTCCATGGCGAATTGTTTAAAATAGCAATTTCTTCATCATTTGGAAATTTTTATTAGTTTCAAATAACACACAAAAAAGAAAGGACGTGAAAATCCATGTGAATAAAACAAATAAATAATGCAGATAACCAAGTTTTAAACAAATCTTTTGTTCGCCATGGAGACCTACTTGTCTGCAATAAAAACATTTTAATGTCTAAAATAGAATATAATTCAAGTGCTACCATCTTTTGTTCACCATGGAGACCTTGTCTGTAATAAAAACATTTTAATGTCTAAAATAGAAATATAATACAAGTGATGCATAAAAATTTAGGGAACTTTACACTTTTTTTTCAAAAACTCCAAAATATATGAAAAAATGTAGTTTAGGGTCATACAAGTAAAACCAAACACCCTGTATAAAAACTGCATATCGCGATAGATTCTACATAAAAAAGTGCTCTAAGAAAGATTTTGCAACAATCAATTATCTTGAAAGGTATGAAGCATTAAAGAAGTAGACTAAATTCGAGAAACGCCCCCTAGCGGCCGAAGATTAGAGATAGCTCAATTCTGTTTGCGCCAGTGATTTTCCATTTAAAAATGAACTTCAGACACCTAGGTCAATTTTTTAAAATAATGGGCGTTTCATTAAGAAAGTGCCCAATTTGGACCACCCTGTACACACTAATACTACTCTATTGTACAAATTTTGTCGATCAGAAAAGAAGTAATTTAATTCTGTTCGGTTGAAAATCGAATTTTCTCAACTGGACAGATGGATCAAACTGTCAAACTTTTGTTTATAACAAAAGAACGTTTTCTATTTCCAAAGCACTCTTTGCAAAAAATGAAAATTGTATTTTTAGGAAAAATGATTATACTAACCCCCATATGTGATACATCGTTGTAAAGAGAGCCGAAGATGTAAACTCAAAATGTCAAAATCTAAAATGGCGTCCATAAAAAAAATAAAGTTGCCACATGTTTCTCTGTCATCTTGAAAATTATTTAAAACCGGATTCTCCATAAAAGTGTCTGTTTATCATGAAAAAATTAAAAATTAAAATCAGAAATCTTCGTTTTTTTGCGATATTTTCAAAACTATGGAAGATATTTCTAATTACTTTTCAGATTATTATTCAGCACAAAAATTCACAGCTTTCTCCTCATTCAATCAACTTTTCATCTCTTAAGATAAGCGAGATAGTGGCACTCCAAAAATGGACACCCTGTATGTAACACCAACGAAAAAGTTATAGTTTCAAAGAAAAATCGAATCGTAATAAAAAATTCTAAAATTTTGATAAACATCTTTTCTCTCGTCTTTTCTTCTATCTAATATATAACAGTTTATTTACATGGTGTAATGGTGGTAATTTTCATTAATAATGTCCAATACCTATCTGCATTGGTTTTTGAAATATCTTTATTAATTAATTAATACGAAACTACATAATTACTTATGCATGTTAAAAAATTGAGCTGTTGTCTTTGGCTTCATGAATTATTTATAATTATGAACATTAAAATATTTGAAAAACCATACGTCATTTTGGTCCACTAATTTGAGTGTCGCACCCTGTATAATTCACCATAATTTACAATATGCAGAATATTTTTGCTTATTATCGTAGCACAGCACAATTTCGTCAAATCCTCCCTTAAGAATAGCACTAAGCGCAAGAGGGTAAACTTTCAGTAAGGGACAGTAAATGTAATTAAAAAAAAATTAGTTTGGTATTTGTAATTAACACTGGGAAGCCAGCAATAGATTTTGCATATTTCTTGTGAACAAATATGCATATGAATGGATCAATTCCATGTAGGAGTGTTTGAACACCCACTAAATCACATACAATTGAACCATTCGTATGTATATTGTATCATTATTGCTAACTTCACATGGGTTTCAGAGTTTGAAGTTTGCCAATTTAGCAGTTCAAACATGGCCTTCTATGGTGATTGAATACTACCAAAATGGCCGATTACCAGCAAGTCACTTTTATTACTAATCTACTCTCTGGTTTTGGAGCTACCTTTAATCCTTCCTCGATACCATCCCTCAAAAGCTGCTCCAAATTCTTCCGCTTCTCCTCGAGAACCGTCCGTTTAGTCTTACGTTCCGATCTCCGTATTGGAAAATACTCGGTCAACTTGTGATTATCGATCGATTCTACCGCCAACTTCCCGTTCAAGTTGCTCCTAAAAGCGAGAGAGACGGTTACCGCGACGCTACCGACAAACGAGCTCACCTGATCAGGTTTCCCTTGACGAACTTTTTATCCTCGTCCGAATTGAGTTGGATACGGTGAGGGGTCGATGCTCTGCTTGTCGAGTTGAGGATCGACTCTAAAACTGGGAAGGTCAGGGAAATATCGACGTCGCTTAAGGGGGTTACCTTCGACGACCATCAAGAGGGCCTCCTTCGCGTCGTAGCCCGACGAAATTTTGCAGTCGTCTTTGAAATCATCGTCGGAATCTACTATCTAAAATGAGACGGTCAAAGAAACGCCATCGTTAGCACCGAACACCTTATTAAAATACGAGGTTATGCAATTATCGAGGTCCTTTACGACGCCCCCGTTTTTGACTTTTCTTCGGGTCGGATAGCAATTCCGTACGCCCGTGGTGCACGTATTCGCTACTAAAGCCTTCACGCGGCGCCCTGCAATTGCGATTTAGTGCAATTATATTGGCCATTTGCATTGCAATTACCTTTGACCATTGTGATTCGTTTCGCCGACAGCAGGTCATCAATTACTCGGCGACCTTCCCGATTTTGCTATAATTACCGTCAAATTATTACTACAAATTACACAAATACACATCCATGTCTGCAAGCAAACAAAACATCACACACATACACAAGCGGAAAACCGACATTTGGATTTGGGGGAGGAGTTATCGGGTTTCGCGCGCCGTTATTGGTGCATTTTTACGAAAATTACTTGATATCTTTCATATCGACAATTTAAAAATTTCTTCGAGTGGTCGTCTTTTTTAAAAGTTCTTTTAATCATAACTGACCTTTGCATGTTTCGAATGCTTCAAGTTTATTGTATTGGAGATGTTGCATCTGACGACGCCCATATAATTCGAGATTTCGTGCAGATGGTTGCGTTTCATTTGTTCCTTTAGGGTTAGGCAGCACGACATACAATTGTTGCAAATCTTTGTAACTAGGGAATGCAATACGGGATCACGGGATCCCACAGCATTTTTGCAGGATTAATCCCGCACATAAATGGAGCGGGATCCCCCGGGATTTGCGGGACTGAGGAATTTGTCGACCAAGGGGACGACTCTGTTTGCTTTAATGAAACGCATAATGGAGAAATTATTTTTAAAATAATTGTTAAACTTTTTCCGTTAAAAATGTACTTTGATTTTTGAGGCACTTTATAAGTTCACCTTTTTGTGCTTTACAGGTGATTTTTTTGAGATCTAAGTTAGACTGAAGGTACTTTTTGTTCAATATTGTTATCAGGATTGTTATCATTAGCGATTTAGTTTAATACAGAAGTTAACCGCACAAAATTGCTTATTTGCCAATTTATTTAAAATTTTGCGGGATCCCGCAAATACCGGGATCCCGCGGGATTAACATCTAATGATCCCGCAAATGCCGGGATTGAGATTTTGCTGCGAGATTGCATTCCCTATTTGTAACATTGTGTATACAGGATGTTTCATTTCCGTTTCCTTTCAAGACTATTAAACATTTCTTAACCATTATGAAGACTAATTATGTACATTTGAACATGAAGCAAAAACCGACGTAAGCGTCCCTGGTGAATGCACCGGTACGTAAATTTAAACACGTGATCTATCTATGTACAATTGATTATTATATTTCACAGGAAATAACACTAATAACAAGAAACAATTTCTTCCGCACATATGGCGCACCTCTTTCCGTTCTTACAGTTACCCTTGTAGTGGCCCTGCTCACCGCAGTTCAGACACTAGATACTGAAAATTATGTAACTGCTCAACATTGTAGCGAAGGGGCTCTAAAGCTCCAGAAAGGATAAAAGAGGTTCGTTGTACAGTATTAATAACACCTTATAAGCGCTAGAAATCAACGGTTTCCAGAGTATACACAAAGCCTGGAAAGTGGCGTGGTGTAAACGCACCTTTAACACAGAACAGTTGGCAACACCGTACCGAGTACTGTAAATAATTCATAACCTAACTTTAAATGTTCAGATTGTTATTCGGCCTTTAATTACAATAAAATGCGTCTTTTTCATTACCTTCTCGGCCGAAAGTCGCTACCGAACAGTTTTCCCTTTCGTGGAAAAAATCGAAAAGCAAAACCGGTAACGAAAGATGACTACTGGAAGTTGAAAACCGACTTCGAAATCGAAGAGAAGAACATGTTCTATTTACGACACGCGTACCTTACCCCCGTAAGTAACTTCCGGTGGGCGAAGCACGCGAATTAAATTTGTTCATTTAGGAACAGTCGGCGGGACACGCGAAAGCCTTAAATTTACCGCAAAAACGATTAATGGGTCTTTTGTGTAGGAAAAGGAACTTTTACGATAACGTCAGCATCGAGTCACGTCTGGCGCATTTACGCTGTAATGAAGTATGGGATTAGAAGAAAATAACGTAGTTATGGTGCAGTCGTTTTATCAAAATACATAGTGTACGATAAGAGATATTCGAGCTTCTTTAAATATAGTTTTAGATCTCTCTTTGGTAGTTTATATTTCGGGCAGTTTTGCAAGAAAGTATTGCCAGTGCCTTGCTTCTCCTTCATCAGCGCCGCTATCAACCTGTACAGATCGGAAAGGGCGCTTAATGTGAAACAGTTTTTGTCCGTGGCACGACCCTTCAGTATAACGTTGACATCACTCTTCATGGTTTCCATGTTTTCGTGATCGACAGTAATCCAGTCATTCTAAAAGCAAATTAATTAATCAGGTCAACTAACACAAATGCAACACCTCAAGTCTAAAGTGTTAGAAACGAACCTTTAAGCACTCCTCTTGAACGGAATCGACCGCCTCCTCAAAACCACTGTAGTTTTTATTCTCCTTCAAGCACAGCGACAGATAAACCACGCAACCCACCGCTTCCCCTAAAAACTCGTAATAATCACCGTTGAAATATCTGGCAGTAAAGACATATGCGCATACGATGTTTACCAAATTATACCGAACGGTTTCTGCGGGTGGTTTGCTCTAAAAAACCTCTAAAGTGAGCTAGCTTTCAAAATCGAAGCGGTTACCGTTAGCGAACTGAACTTTGCGATGTTCTCAAGTAAGGGGGGAGCGGACTGCTTCTGCAATTCGCCGACTTCCTGAATTTTCGCGGGGCACCACCAAGGAGTCCACCTCGGAACCAACTTGCTTACATCGCCCGACCTAAAACAGAGCACTTTTAGAAGGTACAGTCGAAATGTCGCACGAACAACTTTAAAAACGCCTCGAACTCCTGACGTTCGTCGCCGGTCAAACGTTTCCACACTTCCTTCGTGTCGTCGAGGTCGACGTTCTTCAGCCGCGTCGCCAGGGATTCGCACTCCTCGTCGTCGTCCGAATCCAACGGGTCTTCCTCGTCGTAGTCGCGCAGCCTCTGAAACATCTCGTTCAATTTTTGACGCGCTTCCTCATCGTCGTAGGGGCCAGTCGGTAGATTCTCGAGCACGCAGCTTTTGTAAAAGGACTCGGCGCATTCGATGTGGGCGGTTGACTGAAAGCAGGTGATCGAACAGTAATCCGCCTGACACTGTGGGCAAGTGTACTTTTTGGTCGTGCTCTTGCAACTGTAATCAAATGGGTTAAATTTGGGCCAGTTTAAGAGGGGACTCAGTTACAAAGTGCACAAATCGTCGCTAATTCTGTCCATTTATCGACTTTTAATTTCAAAAGTGTTTAATAACATAACCTCTCACTTGATGACATAACCTACAAACTTCAAACATGTTATTAGTGTACAGGGTATTGCAAATTATATATAAATTTTTAATGACCTAGACAACATTTAAACAAGTTCACTTAAATTAGGAAACACTTTCTATTAAATGCTTTTAATCGCCAATTAAAGTCTTTTAAACCAAAACCCATAATTCTGAAAAGATTTTTGATAGATATTTAAGATTGGCATATTGCATACTTTTGTAACTTTTGAAAACCTTTGGAGGCTTAGAGGTTTTAGAGACTTGATAAAACTCTTAAAAACTGTAGCTTTAAAAAAGTGGTAATCACGTTTGTTAAAAACTTTTGAAGCCCCGTAAAGCATGAAGACGCACCCAAAAGTTTCCTCTTGCAGACTCTTAGGGTTTTGAATACCGTTGAAAATAAAAATCTTTCTCAGAGCACTTTTTTATGTAGAATTCACACAGTTTTTATACAGGGGGTTTGGTTTTTCTAAACTACATTTTTTCGTATGGACGATCCTCGACCTAGATGGGTCGGGAACGGCACGGAAAGGGCCTGGAAAGCTTTAAAGATGCTTTGTAAACCTTTGGCAGGACACAACAACGATAATCCTTTATAAGTTCATTTCTGCGAGTTTCATAAAACTTTCGAGAGTCTTTCAGGTCGTTCCCTGAACTAGTACCGGTGCAGGGCCTCTAATATTGAAAGACTTCCAGAGCAAGCCAAACCACATGGATAGAAGGTATGTTAATTACAAGAACCCTTCTCTCGTATTGCTTACGTCCGGCAGCGGACACGAGACGAGCAAGCAACGTAATACAGCCAATCAAACTGTATGAGGTACTTCCTCCAAGGAATAGTTAAACGACTCATACAGACCAACATCAAATTAAAGGACCCACCCCCCTTCTCGTATATGCTTAGACACAAGAGATGAGGGAGTAACGTATACAGCGAAGTACTCTCTCCAAGGAATAGTTAAATCGAATCGTACAGAGCAAAATCTCAATCCCGGTATTTGAGGGATTGCTAGATGTTAATCCCGCGGGATCCCGGTATTTGCAGGATCCCACAAAACTTTAAATAAATTGGCAACTAAGCAATTCTGTGCGGTTAACTTCTGCATTAAAATAAGTCGCTAATTATCACAATATTGAACAAAAAAGTACCTTCGGCCTAACTTCGAACTCAAAAAAACCTCACCTGTAAAGCACAAAAAGGTGAAATTCTAAAGTGCCTCAAAAATCATACTAAATTTTTAACGAAAAAAGTTTAACAATTATATAAATAATAACTTCTCCGTTATGCGTTTCATTAACAAAGTAAACAGAGTCGTCCACTTGGTCGACAAATTCCTCAGTCCCGCAAATCCCGCGGGATCCCGCTCCATTTATGTGCGGGATTAATCCCGCAAAAATGCTGCGGGATCCCGGTATTGCATTCCCTATACAGAACCTATCTCCTCTTTCCCAATATTTACACTCATATTTATAGATATGGAAACAGTTACAAGACTGTAGAAAACATAAATCTCGTAGGTTTTTTACGTCTCTTAGACGCTAGCTAGAGACCTCTTCTAGAGAGGTTTCTAGGGCTTCCTAGGTCGTTTACGGGACAAAGTGAGTGTAGAAACATCTGGAAAATTATCATAAAGTTGTGGAAAGCACTGCTTAGTTTTCGGTTGCCCTAGCAGTTTTTCTGGAGCTTTCGAGAGACTTCTGCGGTCTTTCCAAAACTAGACGAAAAGTAAAAAAAAATGTCTAGAAAGCAGTAGAACCCCTGAAAGCTCTCGTCACGAAAAAGTTCTTATTTAAAACTTTGTAATGTTGCATGATACCACAACGCGGTTCATAATCTGTGTGTAGGTCCTTACCAGGAGAAGATGGCTCTAGAACACTCTGAAAAGGGGCATAAATAAAAAATGTGACAATTAAAATCAATTGACTACGAAGGTTTCATTGTCAATCAAGAAGTGGATTTCATCAACTCGCGTGATATTCTTAATCTGTCCATTGCTGCTTTTCGTAATTATTTGGTGGCCCCCAAATAGACAAAGGGAAGCGTTGAAAAAAGATGATATCCTTCGTTACCTTATTAGCTATTTAACTGTATGTTGCCATGTCAAATATCTTTCGTTACCAACCGCTAATTTAAAGCATTGAATAAAAAATTTTATTCAATGTTTAAACATAGTCATTTATTCCCAAGACAGTCTAATTTGTCAATTTATACGTATCTATTTAAATTAAACGACTGCAAATGTTACATAATTAAGCTAATTAGCTTTGACCATCTTTGGTGCAATAGGTAATTATGAAATGTGGCAAACCAAACGTTTATAATTAGTTTCCATACTCTACTTTTAGCCAATTTTTTATTTCGACTAATTAACTTTTTATCCAGACCGGTCAATTTTTTGTCACGACCGGTCATCTTTTTACTTTTACCCTTGACAGGTCCAGAGAAAAAACGAGATCAAAAGTCAACAGATCGAATTGTAAAAGAGGTCGCCCTTCATCGCAAACTTCAGAAGCTATTTGGCGATTAACTTTTCTATTCCTGTGCTCCTGTTACCAGGCACTTTCTGGAGGTATTTGTCATCATGCTGCTGTTATGTAATATGTACATTTAATTTGCTGAAGACGCAGATCCATTGGCATGAGATCAATACACAATACTTCAGGTATTTTTGGCAATTAACCTCTCAATTGCTGTGCTCCTGATGTTTTGGAGGCCCTCATTCTGCAGTCATCCGATGGCATGATTTTGACGAACATGAAAGTCTACTTCTATCACACGAATCAAATACCCAGACGCTATTTTGCAACCTATTCACCACTCCTGATGCTATTGATTTCTATTCCAAGAGCATATAAAACCCCTGAGGAAGTGTGCGTCCTCACTCTTTTGTCATCTGATGAATTTATTTTAAAGAAAGAGCGGATCGATTGGTTTTTCAGGTAAAAAAGAAATATTCGACACCAACTTTTCCATTACTGTATTTATTCCTGATACTATCCCTTCTGTTCCGAGCGCATTTGAAACACTTGAGGACGTGTTGGTCCTCGCACTTTTATCGTGCGATGCATCATTTAGCTGTGTTCCTTGACTACTGCATTCACTTTTTAGGAAGTACCTATCAGGCGACCAACAAGCTCCATTATAAAATTAAAACCCGAATTTTGTTTGATTCGAATTCTACTTTTTTTCAAATTCTGTTCATTTCTCCGCACCTATCATAACATTTTCAAGCGCTCGGGGGTATTGCTGGGGTGAATTCCATACCCCTCTCCCTATATTCTTCCTATGATCAAAGTAGCTTAAGTTTACTCACTTCTGCCAGCTCTCCAGGCTGTAATCTTTCAGAAATATCCATTTCTAGTTCGACCTAATACAATTCGATCTTCTATATGAATTTTAGAGGCAAGTGTAACGGGAGCCCCTTAACGGATTTTATTTGGTCGAATTTTACTTAAACTTTTGCCAATTTGTATATGTGCGTATGGTCCTGGAATACGGTCCCGTCGTTCAAAATGCTTGCGAACGCTTGGGGCGCCGGACATTCGTGGGATAGGACGAATTAAGCTAGAATAAAGTGTCAACTAACAACTAACATCAGTACCGTGCGAATTGCTGATTTAACGGTATTCTCCACGCGAAGTCGAGTTATTGATATCTAGGGTTCTGATTGGACGAGCAACCTAGCCTTTATTGGTAGAAAAGGTTGTACATCCCAGAATGGGTGCCAATAAAAAAAGTAAAGTAGTGGGAATTTGGTCGTTCCTGCCGAGCCGTTCGGCATTTTGTAGACAGCCGATTCGAGTGCTTAAAAAAGCGAAGTCGACCACCTGTAAGTTAGCGCAGGGCGAATCTTGATTTGTGAGACGAATTCAGTTTAAAAATTCGTGACGAGTCACGTGATTTCCAATTCAACGAAGAAATTGTGTGTGGCTACGAGGAACCCGAACAGAGTACGTGTAAAGTTCAAGGCGTGAACCATTGTTTTTTGACCTTAAAGAAAGTTTGGTTTGAAAACTATTACGATAAATGCGAGCAATAGCGTAATTTTTTTAACGCGTGAAAGTAAATTATCGTAACAGTCTAATGGGGACCGTTACAATACTGTGGCAAAATAGTCTCTCACAACAGCTAACTTCGCAGTGGTGAATTTCAGCTTGGAAACGTCTGTTTTACTTATTAAAATTTCTGTATAATTTTTTCATTCATACGGCAGTATGTGTGAATTGTCGGCGACCATATAATTATGCGCCAAGTATCCGCCGAGGATCTATTTAGCAATTCACGTCTTTACTACCGTGTTCCTGATACGGTACTTCTACGTTTGCCGGGAAACCTCGCTTTGAGGTATAAAAAGAGTTATGGCTCGATTAACACGCGGTTTTTAAGTGATACAACCGTTCAGTTCTATAATTGCCTTAATTTGCTTTGCGTCACAAGCTTTTATTCTTAGGAAAAGTTTACAAATTCGCTTTGCCAAGTCGTTAAAACTATAAAATCGCGACTAATAGAAACAAAGGTATCTAACTACAATGCAATCCCAAAGTAAACAGTGGCGTATTCGTGATTTGGAAGCATCAAAGCCGAAGGTGTAAACATTCAAGAAATAGACTCATAACAGTGATCAGTTTTATTCTCACAATTGGTTATTTTGGCCGCCAGTTCCAATGAAAACACAATAAAATCGTTAGGGAAATGTGTGGATGCCGTTTGGATCCCACCACAAACCCCCCAGTCGCTATACTTCTCTCCCTCGACTCAGATTTTATAAAACCAAAGGCAAAATGTGGAAATTAACCTAAACTAACGAGCTGCACGTGAGGTCTTCTTTAGTCAATTACAAAAAATGAAAGCTGAACGTGGCAATCCGCCATTAATTCAAGCCACGTGCGAGTGCCCACTACGAATCCAGCTTTGTAATCGACGCTAATCAAAGTTGACTGATAAAATGGGTCATACCATTGAATTGAGATAAAACCACGCTAATTCGAGGCTGTCTGGCAAGAAGGAGAATATTTTACATTTTGTTT